TGTTACAAAACGCCGAGAAATGCATGTTTTGGCCACGTCGTGGCAGGCACTTACAGCTATTGGTTTTTGCCGACTAAGACTTAGGAGGTACCTTCCGATGTATCCTTTCATGTGCAAAAGACGGATCTCAAAAAGATGGAGCGAAGCATGAGATATGCATGAAGACGTCTTCATGATCATCGTCCCACGGCATTAGGGTTTTGAAATCGTCGAATTAGGGAAGTTCGACCTTAATTTCAGGCAGACAAATTTACCATTATTTAGAAGCCGCACATCTAAATAAGGAGCTTGCCAGGGGCTTGTCATGCATAAGAGGTTAGCCTCAACCCGGTCGTACCCGGTAGTACTAAGGGGTAGCCCCGGGAGGCCTGCAATGAAATCCAGGAGTGCCGGTGAAGGCTGATCGAAGCCTGAAAATAGCCGGTTCCGTTATGAAGTTACCGAAGCCTTTCCCGGTAAGTTAACTTTTTAGATGTCCCAGCGTCCAAGGCAGTTCATTCAGCCTTCTTAATCGTACAGGGGCTAGCTAAACAAAAGAGAAGCCTCAAGTTAACCGTCGGCCTGACTCGATTTGGTCAATGGATGTCAAAGGGGTGCGCCATTGTGATTGGCTCGGTTCACGTGCCCCGGTCCAGGATCGTCGATCGGAACACGCGTACAGCTGCATGTTGGTGCTTGGCGAGAAGCGATCCCGTCGCGCGCCTTCAGGAACCCTTGCCAACCGATTCTCTGCCGAAGAAATAGTGTACATGTGATTGGACGGATTTATCTACGGGTCCTCACCTAACGATCAAGCGTTCGAATCCTAGCAATTACAACAACGTCAATACATAAGATTTTTTATAGTATCAACTTTTTGTCTAGACGGCTATGTAATCCCAATGTATATCTGAAGTTGAATCGCTAAGAATCAACACTAATCACTTCTGGTCCGACCCAGCCAAACTTGAAACCCACCGACCAAGAACTAACTAGGGTCTAACCGTGTATGTACAGCTCCAAGCCCTTATGTACAGCTCCCAATTGGCCGGGAGGCCATCGATCATCATCCATTTTCAATTGCTGACATGCATTGGCAATGGCCGGGCTTGATTTTGATTGGCCCCTAACCTGCATACTCATGCAGCTGCGAATCGGCATGGCGAACTTGATTGGAAAATCAACCCGTGCGTTCAGTGGAAGCGCATGGCCCAACAAAAGAGTACCCGCCCCCATGAGTGGGCATGATGCTCAAATGTTACTGAGCTCGGTGCAGATGTAATGCGCATGGAGTAGCCACGAATGCATACTAATCGACTTCATGTTGCGCTACTATTTACAGCTGCCGCCACATGCACACCATCCTCGCTCGACATATGCGGGAACTATCAGTCATGTAGGCCCGCGTCCATCTGGCAGCCAGGCTATTGCGCGAGCATCTTGCAGCCTCAATTTATTATCTTCACTAAGATGCCGAAGCAATCTCCTGTTGGCGTTGCTATAGGACAAATTGACAAAAGTAAACAACAATGAATTGCTCGTCAGCTATTTCGATTCCTGAAAAGAATGTTGCACGAGAATGCGAGTTCAGGAGTAGCTGATGCAGCTGACCATAATCTGCAGGCAGGTTTGCAATGGTGATCCACTGATAACAGTGTCGCAACAGATCAGAATCATCATTTGTTTGCTGCGGTGCAGCTTACAGAGCTAAGAGCATAGAGATCCTTTGGCGCCTCAGATTTCGTCGCAAGCGAAGGCGCTTAAGCCACACTACACTTCAGCGTCGCAACGAATCGTCCTTCTTTATACCTCAGCTGCCTTACTACCCCAACGCCCAACTTATACGCTCGCTGCCATCGCACCTCTTCCTGCTCGTCCAAGCAACCTCTGACTTTCGCGCCTTGATCAGTGCTGACCAATCTTGACGAAGCTAGCTGCGAGCTCCTACTTGAATTGGACGGGAGTACGTTCAAACAGTGTGACAACGGATCGGTAACGAAGCTGCAAGGTGACGAGGAGATGGTCAGATTCGATTGCCCTTAAATTCAAGCGTCCAAGGATCAGCGCGCTGATTGTCTGGTTGATCCATACCGGCTGCCTGCGGTAGCGAAGGTTGTCCATTCTTATGTCGAACACGCAACCAATGAAGCTTGCCTTCCTGAGTCAGAGTACCCAGCATATCATCGCTGAAGCGCTACCGATTGGAACTTTAAACTTACCTCGCATCCAGTGCTTTCAAGCTGGACTGCTTCAACGCCTCACAGACCCGTGAAATGATCCAGGGGGCCACGAGGGCGTCCGTCAGTTCCAGGCTGTAACCCACGCTGCCGTTTGCCTGCTTCATCTTTCTAGTCATGGCCTGCAGGGAGTTGATCGGACAAGATGAGAACCAGTATTTTGTTAGCAGCCCTTCTCATAATTAACGATAGCAGCGCCTTTCCAGCAGAGACGGCGTTGGTGCTCCAAAAGATGCATGGTGAAGACGCCCTACTGTCAGCCCACCGGATCCATTCCAAGATCTCATAACCCGTTCTTCATCTGCTTCCCTCCACCTTAGCAAGGTGGTGCAGACCCTTGCGTGCAGCGGACTTGATCAAGTGACTAGGTTTTGGTAGAGCGTGGATCAGCGAGCGGACGACACCAACAAAACGACCATCTGAGGTTGCGGCACAGGACCGAAGTGGAAAGTCTGCAGAAAAGATGACTTCGTCGGACTATACCAACAGATCGCAGACGGGATCCTTGCAGCCGAAGAAAGGTGTCCCTGGACCTTGGAACTTACCCGTGGGGTCTTGAGGGCTGCGTTCGCAAATGGTACTGGGGAGATAAGCGGGGGAGCATCCGTGAGCGTGTTTGAGGGGAAAAATTCTCTGCAAGTGGAGCAGATCAACTGGCTTAGACTGGCACTGTCTAATATACAAGAAGGAACGTACAAGCAGTTGAAGGAATGTCGACCCTTCGGCGTTCCGTGGGGAAACGAACTGCCAGGCTGAGTTATGACGGTGCTCGATGACAACTTGTGCGGGCTTCGACGCTCAAAACTACGGAGGAACCCTCGGACATTATTCGGATACCTGTCAACCGCATGGAGGATGCAGGAGCCTTTCTCGGATGCTGCACTGAGCAGCCTTTCGACGTGGCCAGTAGTGCGCGCACCTGTGGTTCAGCAACGTATCGTACAGCCCGTGGACAGCGTCCGCTCCTTCGAAGAACAGTAGAGACTGCGGCGTGGAATCGACTGCCGACGCGGGATCCTCATGTTGGACCTGTAAAAAAAAACCGCTGTCAATTCGAATACACTGATTCCGGCCATCGGCCTTTTCCTTAGCCCTCTTGTTGCGAACTTTGATTTCGAAACAGAGCAAGAATTCAATCTCTTGAGCGCCTCGACCGTAGTCTGTGCTGTTCAAGAAACTCAAGCAGACGGAGAATGTTGGAAGTTAATTTTGAGATGATTCCTCGAAGTATTGCGAAGGTAGCCACCACATTGCTCTTTGCAAATGGTACGCAGAGGATTGGCTATGGCAAGAACACATCAATTTGCTAGAGGGCTCGTGACTCCTGGTTGTGTACCAATACATACCTTCCATGGCTCCTCTTCCGCCAGCTCGGCAAATTGTCTATCCGTGTCTTCGTTAAAGGCCTCCTTCTTGGCTTTATACAGGGGCATGACAAATTGGATTCCCTGCAAAGACAAGAAACTGTCAACAGAGAGTTTCGCTGCTCCGGGAAAGAACCGGTTACATTTCGGACTTCGATAGAGCACGATACAACATTCTCCGAGTTTCTGACCAGGATACAAACATTCTCCGAGTTTCTGGCAGGAATGTCGCCGTAAGGAAAGCACGTACAGCTTCCACGAAGCATGTAATGCTTCCATCTGGTTTGCCCCCAAGCGAAAGGCGGCCCTGAGTACGATGGCGAATACTTACCTGCTCTTTGAACAGGTCCCTCATGCCCCGCGTTGATCTCGTGATGTATGCGCAACACTCCCGCTCTCCGTGACCTCCAATCCCGGGGCCCATAAACATAGCGACGTATTGGGGATATCGGCCTAGAGAAAATCAATAATACGTCAACTCCTGATAGGATGAGCAGAGGTACTTTGATCAAGCAAAAGCGCAGAGCTCGTTGGATGCCGACTATATCACAGCAAGCCGGAAATATCGATTTCAAACGTTCCGGACTGAAGGGCGAGCAGATGGTACCGGCATATGTCGGCCCTGGCTGCGTTTCATGGTCGCCATCTTGAAACACGGACCAGCTTCTAAACAAGCACAGCCACCAAGAAACAGGAGCATGACATTGATGGATGAAAGCGCTGGCAATAATGGCCAAAGGCTGAGCTGACTCACAGTAGAAGACCGGGCACATCCTGGTTCGGAGCATGAGGTACAAAGAACGTAACGACTCTTGCCAGCTGGCCTCTCGCTGCGTCCAGAAACGTGCATCTGCAAGACCAACAAACGAGCGTCCCATAAGCAGCCTTCACATACTTGCTTGCTTATGTTCAAAAAGGTCGTACCACACCTACCAGCACTTGATTTAAGATTACCTGCATTCTGAAAGGCAGGTTGTGTTCAAGCACCTTCGTAGGAACAGTTATACAGTTCTGCATGTCAGACGGCTGATTGACCGTTCCTCTGACACTGTTCTGCCAACCACTTAGCTCTAATAGGAGACGAAGGCGAGAGTGCACCAGGCCTGCTTCTCCAATTTCAAAGCCTCCTAGAGCTGCTCAGAAGTTAAACCACTGGACCATTTGCAACACAACTCCCTTACCTTGGCCAGCTGGCTTTTGCAGCCAGTTCTGAACGGCTTGCAGGATGATCGGAGGCAGGCTGCTCTCAGGATACGACCAGCTGTGCAGAGCCGCTCGGAAGGCAGCCCCGTCTGCTGAGCCTCGGCCAGAGGTTGATGCCTGGCTGTCAGGGCAGGAGCGCTCGTTGGCAGCTGAAGAGCGCAGCGATGAGCACTCATCCTGGGCGTCGGCGTCAAGGCACCTGGAAGGCCATTTACATGCAAGGATCTGTGCGCGGCAACAGGAAGAAGTTGCCATAGTAGAAGAAGGAATAAACTCTGAAGCTGTGCAAACAGCAACGGGAGTGTGTGCTCAGAAACAACAAATGATAAGGCATTCCCGCAATCTGGTAGCAAATCCCAAAGAGAAGGTTTGCAAAGAGTGATCCGAGCTCTGCAACAAACAGGCCTGATCAGAACGCAGTTGGTGAGACTCCAATGAAAATTTGGAGTCTCACCAGTTGAAGCTTGTTGTGGAGCTGAAGCGGGCGCTGGTCTTGAGACTCCAGTCCATTGGCGGGAGGCCGTCACTGCACTGAACCTCTTCGCCATCCCTTCGCCGATGTTCTTCGAGCACTGAGTGAGCTATGGGGGCAAGCTTGAATGCTTCTTTGGGTTTCACCTTCAGCGGTGACTTTGACAGCATCTGATTGATGCCATTCAACTGCAAGGACAAGCTGGATGAGGCTGCGCCATCTGGATCCAAGTCAACCCAGACGTTTCTTCCAGAAAGGTGTAGTGAATCACTTGCCAGGGCATTCTTGAAAAAGAATCATTCACAAATCACAAACACACCTCCAAGACATGCAATTGCAGTGAGGAACCTTTGGTTTGTGCATCAGAAGACTCGCCGGAACTGAACGTAGAGAAAACTTACGACGTTCAGGGGTTTCCTTTCAGACGCTGGCACCTGCCGTGTCTCGTTGATTGCATCTCCGATTGTGCGGAAGGACGACTGCGGTCTGGGTGGTTTCTTCGAAGGGGGCTCGTCGAGTCTGCAGAATCAACATGATATTCAGTGACCAGCTCACTCTGTCAAGAGACTTTGCTCTTTGCTTGTCAGGTTCTTCTTGAGATGCATCACAAGCCCTAGAGATGATTTGCAAATGTTTTTCCTCGTTTTAACCCAAGCCATGCCTGCATGCAGAGGGTTTTATCCCCTTGTGTTTGTTTCACAGCAAGCTCTTCCTGGAGCAATCCAAAAAAAACGGTAGGCGCACACAATCCAAGGTACACGACTATGTCAGAGAGGCATAGGTGATGATTCTTACCTACTAGATTGGAGACGCCTAAGGCCCTCCAGTTGAAACGGCTGGCTTTGTGATGGAGCAGACCCATCCACAGCACTAAGTCCATCATCTTCGTCGCAGCTCGGGGTTGGATGCGAGCAATTCTCCTGACCAACGGCTTCCTCCCTGCAAAATATGGCCGGTCTTTGAAGTGCAGGAAAGCACGTCCAGGTGTGCAGGATAGCAGAAACTGTCGCAGAATTAAAGACAAGATCTGTTAGTGCCTATTACTCAGGCGGACGCTAAATGAAATAACTTCATGCTTTGGCTATGACCACTTCGAGGTTCTTTGAGAACATGACTGAAGCAAGCTCAGCAATGCTCCAGTTTCAACTCTGGCACCAAATGCCTCAAAGTCGATATGCTTACCTCAAGCTGGCAGACTGACTCTGGCTGCTTGAAAACTTGGGCCGGTGTAACTGCTCACGCTGCACATTCCCCAGATAAACATAAGGTCCTGATTGCTGAAAATCGCACTTCTCTGTAAGCAAAGTACACAGCGGAAACATAGTCTGCTCGCTAGCGACTTGTCAGTCAACAGCATCTATAACAAAGCTGAACATCTCAGAAGCAGTCGCCAGCAATTCAAGGAGTCACTATGGATGCACGTTGCTCCATAGCAACGCGAATGTTGAAAAACTCTCTCGTAATCCTTTGCAATCTCTATCAAACAGGCGGCACAGCAACTACTCTCAAGCAGCTGTCTAAGCGGCAAATGCTCACCCTGAATTCCTTGACATTGCCTGGTTTTCGCTTCCCAACCATCCCTGATTTGACGATGGGAAAGACTTCGGACATGGTTGTATTCCTACCTCTCATCCTACAGACACTTGTTTCCAGCAAAGGGTTTGTTAGAGTAGATTTGCGCCAGATGCTTTATCAACAAGATGTTGAAAAGACGGGTCCCCAGGTCCCATCAGCTGTTTTCTGCTTCTGAGTACCTACTTATCCATACGTAGATGTCCTCAAGAGCCCTTGAGCATTGTCGAAGATATCAAGGGAGTGTGGCATCAAAAGGTCGCCGCAAGGGGCAACATCTTGTCGTTGATCATGAGAACATCAATTGTCTTCCTCATTGTTAGTCTTTCCGGCTCGATCCCTGAGCATCAATGTATCATCCAGGATGCACTGTCCACAAACACTCTTGAGCCTTCCACAAAACGCCCTGAGATCCTGGAGGCCTCCTTCCTTTCGACTTCAAGCCTGCCCTTGCGAAGCGCCTTCTTTCGGCGTCGCCTTTCCCGTTGGAACTTGGCTTATCTCTCTGGAGTGCGACGAGCGTAGTACCTAGGCAAACCGTAAAGCGGGAATTTTGAAAGGTCAATGTGCTTTTCCTCTTCCTCACCAGGTTTGATTCAACTTTTTAGGAGCCGCACTTCAGCACTGATATTGATCAAACTTGAGAGGATTCGTATTTGATTCAACCGACCGATATGATCTGACCGCCTCCGGCCTTATACATCGTTGGCTGCAACGGGAAGTGAGCGCTTATGAAAAGTTTGCAGTGAAGTTCAGTTGAATGATATAGGCACCCTATCAACTAATAGGTATGCATATATCTGTTAGGTACGCACAGGTATATTCATCCACGCGGTTATGTGTTATCCCGCACACGTATGTGAAAGGACCCGTTCCTTATACCACCGGCAAATCCTCCGGGTTTGCCGGACTTACTGTATCAACGATGAACCGATGGGTTCGTTTGTCGACGTCGGGAGTTGTGCTCTGCAACACGGTGCGCTGTAAATCGACATCTTTTACGATGCGAAACCATCAATAGCCTGGTTCTTAGATCTCGGATTCAGTAGATAGCTGTATATCCGGACAGGCAGATGCCAGACATCCAATAATCAAGGGGGTCCGTTCTTTGGCAACTCCGGATTTATAGGACACACAAATGTACGTGGCGGCGTTTGAATCGATGGCCAAGTCAGGTCCTGACTCCTGAGCCTCCAGGCTCCAGCCTCGAGGTGCAGGTCCACGTCTTTGTGAACGCCACGAAATCATTCCTTTTGAGTCTTGTGCAATTCAACCACCCTTCGCCAAAGGCCTTCAATGTTGCAAGGCTGGCCTTTGCTACGAGTGGAGCCATGGCACCAGCGCGCAATGCTGCATTCCCCCATTCTCTGGCACTTGTCCTAGGAGAGTCTCCCCTTCTTCCCCAGCAACTGTTGTCATCCATGAGAAGAGCATCCCCTAGATCTGCATAAGGGTTGGACCCAAGTACGATAGCACACTGCTGAACACTCCTTCCATTCTCCGATTTTCATGCCATGGAAACAACAGCAACTGAAGCTGCGAGCCATTTTCAGGTCCTCGGCGAGATCCTCAAACAGCATCTTATCCAGCCTGCGGAGAAGACTAGTGCACGACAGGATAAGTGCTCCACAGAGGCTGCAGCATGGTTTCCTGTTCTGCAGAAGAAAACTTTTGAGACCATCATAAGAGCATTTACCACCGTTGTGGAGAACAATCGCGTGTCGTCAAGTGAGGGCTCAGTGGAAGACCTTCACTCGTTGCTGGAAAGACAATGCAGATGCAACCAGGACTGGGTGGAGTTGTGCACGTTGGATGTCTCTGTTGTACCGCCTGTCTCAACACAAGATCCGGAAGCAGGGGGAGAGTCCGCTGTGTCACCAAGGACTTCGGCTGTCCAGGGAGAGACTCCTCAAGTTGAACAAAAGCTCCTCCTTCATGAACAAAACTCAAAAGTTGCACTGAGCTTCTCAAATGGCATTTATGAATCGGCGCAAGAAGCTCTTGAGCCGGAGGCAGGGGGTAATGTGGCTGTCTCTTCCATGGAGGCGCTTTCGCAGACCAGTGAAGGCAGGCAAGCACCTGTCAGCGAATTCCATGATGGAGAGGCTGAAAGGTTGCAGCAAAGCACTGCAGTTCACGGTTTTCATGAGGGCTTTGAATCTGAACCTGAGGACTCCACTGAGTGTTTCATTCGAAGGGAGACGTTAGAAGCTCTAGCTCAGGAAGCGTCTGAAGCAGAGTCCTCCATCGCTAGCATGTCCCCAGAGAGCCCCAGACAGTCAGCGTGGAAAGCCAACAGTCCTGGGCAATACTCCTACTCAAGACTGGGAGCCGGCCCAGAACTCATCCAAACACAGACCAGTAGCCCGCAGCATAGACACTTCTGGCACCGCTTAAAGCAAGGCTTTTCCGACAGTCCCAAACCACACAGCTCTTTGCCTACATCGCCAAAGCGGCAACCAAAGGAAGGCTTTACTAGGGAGCGGGAAGCAGCCCCCTCTCCAGCGTCCTCTCCTCTGCGGCTGTCACCTGAAGCAGTGCATGTGGACAACCAGGAAGCCAGTGTGAAAGCTTCCGCAAAGCTACTACGGACTTACATGAAGAGTCGGTCCAAGACGCAGAGCTTGTGCGGTTTCCTAGAAGCTGCTGGACCAGTAGAAAGGTGGGTGCGTCTCAACTTGCAAGTAGGCTCTAGGCGGGGACGTGCGAATGAAACTGGCAATACTGACTCAGAGCTGACCAGCCAAAGAGGTCACTTCACAGGGTTCTGGTGACCACTTTCCTTTCTGATTGTCCTTCAAATATTCTTGAAGAACAGCTGTGTGACCGGCTGTCCAAATCCTTTGCTCAGGTACTAAGAGCCGCTTGTGCTGACAATCTGAGCAACTATCATTGTTGCAGCAATGATGTGAACGAGATCTATGCTTGGTCGTGGCTGCTTCTTGTGACCGCAAGCGTCCTCCGCGTCAAGAAACCTTACCGGCTTCAACTGCGGTAAGAACTGGTTTGAGGGTTGCAAACTTTCAGGTTGAGGAAATGCACAGTCGAAATCCTGAACTTGCGTAGACTAGTGATAGCAGTCCCATCCCCTCCAAAGTCAAATGTGACAACTCCGTTTCGGGCTTTCCTGGCGGCAGTGTCTGTGCGCATATTTTAAAGAGCAAATATGTGCGTTCTCACTGGGGACTAGATAGCTGGACAGCATTAAATCATCAGTGAGGTTTTCATTTTCGTTCTAGTTGCTGATGTATGCTCAGAGCCAGGTTGTCCGGTGGGTCCATTCGTGACCATTTCTTACAAATCTCTGGTCGTGATGATCGGCAGGTACCTTCTTCGGGTGGCTGATCACGTTGCTGATCCGGGTTGGCCCGTGCCTCCAACTGTCCTGCTTGTCCTGTGTGACAAGCTCGGCTTCTTCGCTGACACCAGCCCGTATGTCTTGCTGCGCTCGAAAGAGGTAAGGGCTTTGTGCCAACTCCTCAACGATACGACGGATTTGGCTGCTTTGCTTGACGTCACCCTTACCTGCCATCAATGTGCATAGGTGTGAGCCTTGCTCTGTCAGCAATAGCAATGAAGAAGGGCATCAGCAGTGAACTGCGGCACAACCTCAGATCATCCCATCAGATTGTGACAGCAAAGACTCGTCCTATGAAAACTTCCGACGAAGTCCTTTGATTCCAGTCGTTTCTGAAGCAGTTTCGGCAATCACCTCCTGGAAGGCAAATGTCTTCACGTTTCTGCAGAGAGTCCTCTTGAGGTCGCTTGCGGAGAAATTGTCCAGCATCGCTCGCACGGTCCTCGAATGGTACTTCCTTCATCAGGCGAGCAGAGTCCGGGCAGCTCTCGTCGTTGGTGCCGTCCGCGTCTCCTTCGAACACGAGGGGACCGAGCTGCTTCCTGCACAGGAGATTGAGGTGAGGACATCGACTATTGGATCGGAGAGGGTTTCGAGGAGTAAACGGTTTGGCTTTGACTGACGCCAGCGCAAGATCTATTTCGGTTTTCACTTTCGTACCTGCAGAAGGTGTCCAGCGAATCACCAGGGTTTTCATGTCACACATCAATTATATGATGACAATCATGCTAGCGGGGTGGAGAAGGCAATGGGTTGCATGCTACGTTTGCTACTCAAAGCGGAAAAAAGACGTCATCAACTGTCTATCCAGCAAGAGTCAGTCACCTAGGCAGTCTCAACCGTTTCAAGATTTTGACTTCGACTTTTGGCACAAACAGACCATGTTATGTCATCTTTAGAGAGACAGTTGCCGATCAGGAAACGCAGAGACATATACGCACCAGATTCCAAGCACGCAGAGGAAATCTTTGCGGTGCCTCTGCAAGCGTCGAAAAGTTTGTTTGTGCGAGTGAAAGCCCCACTCTGACAGAATCATTGTACTGCAGGCTTCTCTCACCTTGGCCGCTCAGAGGCGCTACACCGAGCTGAAGGGGCACGCAGAGAAGGTCACGAAGCAGATTTTTTTGGCGTTCCTGACCAGAAACGTCACGACCGAGCTCGACGAACAGTTCCAGAGGTAGGTCTATTGTGCCGGTTGACCCTTGAGAACCTTTTCCGCTTGCAACATCTTTCGTCTTCGAACCAACCAATGTCCACTTCCCGTGTTTCCTGTGTAATGTGTGGGTCCCTCTCAAATCTGTGCTATACTGTTGATCGCAAAGCCAGGTCGAATGGGCCGTACCTTGCGATGCCGAGAACGCCGTGTTTGGGAGGGCCCTGGGCTATGATTTTTCCCGGGCAATCAGAAGTTGAAACGCTGGCGGCTTGAGCCTTTTCAAGCAAGGTCATGGTTCGGATTGGACCACCTAAGCCCCTGACGTGTGCGCCTCCACCGTTTAGTTGTGCCAGCGACTTGCTTCCACTGTTCACGGCGGAAGGCAGAGAGCTGGAGTTGCTGCTGCGAACATGCGTGCAGAACTCTCATTTGGCTGCGCTTGTCAATACCTCGAAGCGCTTCCTTCCGTTCACCTGCCTCGCCCCTCGGAGCACCTCCTGCCTCACTCTCTGCAGAACCAATACCGGAGCCCTCTGCCTATTTGACCTACGCGATCCTGAAGGCTTTCTTTTCGGTTTAGTTGCAAACACTCTCGCCTCTTCATCACCGGAGGGCTTTCTTATGTTTGAGGGGTTTCTTTCTTTTCCCCTTCTGATACCCCTCGAAGAAAGTCCTGTCTGTTTTTCACCCCGTACAACCCGCCGACTCGCATATGCTGCGGTCAGAATCGCAGGCGTTAGGCACAACCACTGGCTTGTTTTGCCGACCTCTTTGTCCTGTTACGTGCAGATTTTGAGACATTTGTATCGTTTAGAGCCGCAACAAGCGCTGTTTTGTTCGCTGGCGCAAATCCCAATGAGCCCTTTCTCCGTAGACCAATCAAAGCCTTGAGAAGCGCCGCTTTGTTCGCCTGCAGATACCCCTCCGAACATTTCCCGGCGGTGCACCCCGTGCGCATCGCGGCCGCCACCTTCTGCGCCAACCTCCTGCGCGAGCTGCACTCGCTCCAGGCCGCCTCCGCCCTCGAGATGAACCGCGACTTCTTCACGCTCTTCGAATCCTTCCTGGAGCTCGACGCGCTCGCAAACCGCGGACCGAACGCCCCCGACGCGCAGAACCCAGAGATCAGGATCAGTAACCTGCACGGCCAGCCGATGACGCCATTCCTCGCGAAAGTGTGTCAAGTCCTGGAGCCTTACGTCATCAGTTGGATCAGCAGTCTGAGCGACCAGTTGCTGCGGTGGGACCAGAGCCTCGTGGTGTCGCTGTCGAAGCAGACGCCGCTGCCGGGGTCGAAGGGGAAGACGAGCCGCTCGCTGCGGGACCTCTTCGACGGCATCGTTCGGATCGTGGGCAGCGAAAACGCGCGGCTGGTGTACCGGAGCGCTCCGAGATACGCTGCACTGCTCGACAAGGTAAGCAATCCCTGCTCTCGTGCAATCAGAAGAGCAAATTGCCAGTCTTTTGCATGCTGATCCCGATCGTTTAAGATTTGCTAGGTCTTCCTCTTGCCTCACTTCAGAGCCGAATCTGTCTTCCATTCGTGCCAACTCCTGGTCACGTTTTGCTGGGCTGAAGCCGTCGAGATTTAAAACCGCTGGCATATGCTCTACTCAGTTCTTAAGAAGGGGCCGGTGTTGTCTTCTGCTGAAGACGCAGCGTGGGTAGTGGCAGAAACGACACATTTTGCTTATTTTGTTCCCTTGCCTGTGCATCCCGAAGGGTTTTTCCAGTCAGGAAATCACGCTCATTGAAGGTGATCTTCTTCAAATTCGTGCTATTCCTTTTCCAGGCCCTCTGCCGCGTCATCCTGAATCGCACGCAAGCCATCACCTCCCTCTGCCACAAGGCCCTGTCCCAGGCCGCCAAGCAGTATTACCTCCCACTCCCGCCCGCCCTGAAAAAGTGGCGCCTGCCCGCGACAGGGCCCGTGCTCAGCCCCAACGTGTGCGTCCTGCTCAACGACATGCGGGAGGTCCGCTCGCGCTTCTCCACCCTAGTTGCTGACATCACCGCTCCGGCGAGGAACCACCCGAGCGGCCCCTCGTCTCCGCTTCGAATCGCGAACGGCTCGGAAGAACCGCCCGGTTCTCGAGCGCCGCCGAAACCGCCCAAGGACGCGCCGGCCGGCCGCGCCAAGCCCGGGTTCTTCTCGCGGTTGTGGAGCGGCAGGAGCGCCGGCGCTTCGGACGGACCGGCGGAACGGACGGACGGAACGGAATCCGGAGTGTCCGAAATCGACCGAAATACAACGGGAAAGAAGGCGCGTCCCTCGAAAGACCCGGGCAAGCAGAAGGACGAGCGGAGGACGTCCGAAAGCGGCGGCAAGGCGGAGCGCGAACGGGCCTTGGTTCCGGCGGCTCCGCCTCGGAAGCCGGAGCGGATCCCGAGCGCCACCCTTCTGAAGCTGGAGGAGGAGAGCCTCAGCTCGATTGCGCTCCCTAAGCCTTGGAAGAAGGCGGCCGGCGGCGAGGCGGGCGGTTCAAAACCGGGGAAGAATGACGGAAGCACGTCTCTGCTGTTCAGAGAAGCGGTGGCCCGAAGCCTGTCGGCGCCGGAGAGGCCGCTTCAAAAGCTGCACAAACCGGCGGCTGAGGAGCCCATTCTCCGCGCCGCGTCGGTGTTTCCAGACACTGGGTCTGGCGCTCTGGAACGGGTGGGGGTGGGGAAGGCCGGGAAGAAAAAAGAGTCGATGTCGGGACGGAGTGCGGGGAAGGGGGCCGAGGGAGCCCGGGCAGTGGAGAACGGAACGGAGCCGGCGGAACAGGAGCGGATCTGGGCGGAAGAGGATGCAAGCGCGGCCTCGACGTCGGAGGAGCGGTTCAGCGTGCTGCGAATGGAGGTCGAGAAACAGTACTACGAGCTGGTGCGGAGCGTGGCGCGCATGGTGAGGGGACCAAAACATTCCCTGCTTCGATGACGGAACGGCGGATGCGAATCTGTGATAAACGTGCAAATCGTTGTCTGCTCAAATTGGACAACAATCAAATGCAGTGGGTTGCTTCCGAGAAAGGTTTCGATGATTCGGGGCGGGTTGCACCGTGAGTTGCTGAGCTCAAGTCTTCCCGTGCCTTGAAAAGGCCGCTTTGGATTGGATGGCATCTTATTGTCGAGATAATCGAAGCAGGGTGCGGAACCGCTTTTGGAAACTGCCTGGCTCTGGTTAGTCACCTGACAGGATCCGGAGAAGGCCCTGGGCTGCTTAGCTTTCGCGACTACCGCCCTCTTTGAACGAAGTTGAAAACATCGTTGAGCAGAACTCCACAAGCATGGTTTGGATGAATATGCACACAGCATAGATTGTCAGCGCAAGTTTGCAACCGACCGCGATATCTCTTCTCGCACACTTCGCATCAACGGGGAGCCGCATCCAGTGAATGGTTGCCTAATATCTGGTCGGGCTTCCGCAGATCACGCAAGACTTTGCGCCTTTCCTGGAGGGAGTCATCCTGGGACCGGAACCGCCGGCGCCTTCCGCCCACCCCGTGCCAGGTGTCAGACGGCGATCCGCGCGGACAGATGCGACGGACTTTGGGCTGGCGCTGGATGCGCGGCGGCGGATGAAGCCGCTGCTGGACTACATCATGGAGACGTTCCAGGACGAGAGGGACCTGATGGACAGGTCAGTTCGTCGAAACGCTTTTAACAGGAGCTGCGTACGCTGCGTAAGAGTTGACCTGGATATTGGAGAACTGCTTCGAAACCGAGATGTGCGCACGAGTTGCGCTTCATCTGTTCGTCCTGGGAATCAGATAAAAAGCCGGCTCGTATCCAGGATCTCTCTTGATTGGATCTGGGTTGGAGTCCATTGCGTTTTCTTCAGGGTATTTGGGCAGCAAAAAAAGTCGGCAGCTCGGAAAAAGAAGAAGCTGATGCTTCCTTGACGTCAGCATTAGCGAAGCTGTAACCAGCGGTGGACTATCGCTTTGTCGGACCTCTGCAGTAGTTGTTTTGTGTGTCGAATACTGGTCAGAATTGTTTTTGACAGTACAGCCGTTGACGTGCTTCATTATCTGCACTTTTTTGACGCTCAACTTGTTCCTTGCAGGTCCGTGCTGCGACGGCTGGCGCGAGACACGTGGGACTCGTCTGCCGAGGCCCTGTTGAGCCTGCTTCCGTCCTTCCAGACCGGCGCGACCAACATCGGCGGCTGCTTACAGGGCCTCGCTGGCGTAGACGACGACTCCCCGTACAGCGACGACGGAGCGTCCATCGACCTGTCCTCGATCGACGAGGCCGCGCCAAGACTGAAGAGAGTGGGCGCCGTCTCGGCGCAGATGGACGAACTGTTTGCCGACTTGATTGTCAGCGTTAGCACCAGCACAAGTGACTCGAGAAAGAAGGTTTCGCTCGCGCCGGGGAGAGGGGCGGGCGTGGCGCTTCCGGCGAATGAGGTGCCGCGGAATGTGAGGAAGCTGCGGGAGGTGCTGGATGCGTTCTCGGGGGTTGGAAGTGCCGCTTCGTGGTCGTCCACTTCGTATGCTAGATAAGGGGAAAGACACTAAACTGCTAAATATCGTACTGTGGCGAACGCTTCCAATAGATGAACTATTGATCATATTCCGAAGAAGCTAGGGCTGTCCTGTTGCACAGGGGCCGATAGCGGGTGTTCCAGTGAGTACTATGATGTACTACTAATGTAGGATTGGCCGCCAGATGACTAAGGACGTAATCTTAGCAAGTGGACGTAGGCAGCCTTGAAAGCGATCACTCAGCTGCGCGAGTTTAGTGGTTGGATTAGGTGTAAGATGTAGCTGCCCTAGGTATTCAGGACAGAGAAGGAGCCTTCAGAAAGCCTCGTCATTGAATTGTCCGCATTCATCTCATGGCCTCAAGGTTGGGCGCCAGCGTCAATCAATCTTTGTATACGCTCGTCTATAGACTTAATATGAGGATGGCAGCCCGACCGACAGTACACAAGCACAAGTCTGCATGCAGCCGCGCTACAGTTGCTCAGCGTTCACTTAGGTGGCAAAGGAGCTTACAACGATGGCCGACCGTCACAATTGAAATACATCATGTTGGCGATACCTACAGTTGCATGAGAACAGTGCCGCAATCCAAATGCCCAAACGTATAAGTGGCCCATGGGCTTCAGCATGGGCCCAATATCTTCTTACATACTTCTCTAGAATATGTTTAGTAAGCTCAAGGTTTAGTAAGCTAAACGAGCTAACACTAAAAACCTAAACCCAAATAATCACTCGCTCCGCACCCGCACCCACCCTAACCACCATACTAACCCTACCCGTCCCAGTACTAAACATTGAGCTTACTAAACATATTCTAGAGAACGATTCTTACGGTACGTACGTGCTTAACGAATATAATTAAGCATGCATATGCGCAGGAAATCAGATAGGACTATATGGATGTTATGCATATATGCAGATGACATTGGATCGCGATATTCCGGCCATGCATCGACATGCTGGCATGCCGTACGTACGGCTTCAAAACCTGCGTACCGGGGATTGCGACGTTGCATGCTCAAAGCACCTTCGAACTTTGAAAATAACTGCACGCCAGTTGTCGGAGCGCTGCCGCGCCTGCATCTGGACCGGCCTCATTTGTCAACTGCCAGCCTCATTGAACACGCCGCGATCGACCGTCCGGGTTGTCTTCGACATCGAGTCCGACGACGCCGTTCTGCAGATTAATTGTTGCTCTATACCCAATCAAAGCACGAATGCGTGTGCTCGTACGTTGTGCAGGATTGATGATGTTGCAGCAAGCTTGATTGGATCTTGAAAATCTCTTGTACGCGCAGAAAGAGAACTGCAAACCTGAACACTTGTTACAAGAGAGGCTTGCGATTGGTCCGAGGCTCCGAGCACATGCCTTCAAATAAACAAACTATAAAATACTAAATGCTAAGAGTCACTGGCACTTGCAAACACCACCTGGATGGTTGGGTCTCTAACATGTGCTCGGTGCGGTCAGTGTTCAGTTCTTCAGTGTATATCAACGTTGTTGTTCAAATTCAATTTCAACACATTTTCTAGCTAATCTAATCAAGCCTATGTCGTGCATTACCTTAACAGTGTAAGTGTGTGTTCACACAAATCCTTGATCTTATGGCGTGCGTGATCCCTACCTTTTCAGTCTTTGATTGATGTGTATTCTACACGGAAATCCGGCTATGTTTAAACTCGATACTAGAAACTCGATACTGCAACAGTTTTAGGAGGGTCCTCCTTGCCCTCGATTTCCCTAACGGACTCTTCAGGCGCGCCTTCAGCGACAGGATTAATCGAAAGCACCACACCGCCGTCCACTTTATCCCCCATGTTTATTTCAACGCTGCCGGCGGGGCTCTCCGCCAGATTCCTACGACGGTTCAAGCTCCTCGAGACGGGCATGGCCCTCAGCATCTTGATTCGCCGCTTCTTGTTAAACAAGGACTTTAAATATGCTAGACACAGAGCCACCGCAATGGTTCCCGCCAGCACGATCCACAGCCCGTACACCTACGGGCAAAAAGAAGCACGTGTCTACAGTCACTAATCCTTCTCAAACGGCAAGCCTGACTGTCCTTTGACCTTTTTCCTCATATGAGCGGTGAGTAAAAAAGCTTGCCAAGGATGAAACCATAAACCAACCAAATTCCGACAAACAGCAAGCAACCGGAGAAACCAACCGTACAACAGGTTATCAACGGTCAGAACTAGCTCTGAAACCTCGACAATGACAACTTAATGATCTGGGGACATGTAAGGGGAGTCTTGTGCTCCGGACGAAGGCCTCCCACAAAAGCCGTTCATTCCAATTCACACAAAACCGCCAAAGCAAGAAAGTTAGAGCAAAGAATTGCCCATTACAAGGCTTGATAAGGACCCTGTTCAAGAACAAAAGACTTATGAGCGATCGAAAGAGAAGCACTTAGAGCGCACTTTGAGGATCTTTGAGCATGCGCTGCGTTACCTGGCCAAAGGTGACCCCCTCATTCACGCGAGATGCTCCAGAACCGCAACTAGAGGCGGGGACGAGGAAGGCCGTCCTGAGCCGGTCCAGGGTCCCGCCTTGCTCCATGTCGAGCACGGCTCGGCTGAAGTTATCCGCCAGGGTGGCGGGGAAACTCGGATTGAACGTCATCGCGTAGTTCAGGCTCCCGAAAGGGACGTCCACCTGGCCAAGATAACCGCCTTCCATCAGATGGTTTGTCTGAAGAAAGCTCCAAGCTCAAAAGACCAACAAATCTGCAGCCCAATGCTCTCCCGTTTACCGGTCAAGATTTGCGTAGGCGTACGTGTCAAGATATGCGTATTCTTTGATATACAGCAACGAAAGTGGAACAGCTCAAGCGACCAACAAACTCGTTCGACCTTTTGAAATGGGACCCGCTGGCAGAATCCGTGCAACGTACGAACCATCGAGACTCCAAGCGGTAAAGACGTTCATAAATGAGATTTTAAACTCGAGCAACCAGCCAGAACACATTGGGGCCCTCATATATAAGTTGAAAAAGGGCAACTCAAGAAACAAATTCGAACCCAAGCGCTAGTGACTGCGTGCATTCTGGCAACTTGACGAGCCATAGAAGACAAGTCTGCATTTATCAGAGAACTTCTTTACATCGTATTTACAATAATCATGACCGTCAACCATAACTAGATTGACGGTCCTTTTTTCGCAAAAATCAAGAGACGGAACCGTTAGGTTGTCACGAAGTCGGTCAAGCTAACCAACGAAGGTTGAACTAAGGTGGACGAGAGGTGAATAGCCGCACCTCGTGAAAGTTGCAGTCAATTGCCGCCATGTATTGGACGAACGCAGTATCGAGGACGAGTGCCTCCACGTGACCAAGACGGAGCTCCTCCAAAAAAGCATCCGAATCTTGGTTGTCCCTCCTGCAAAAGACGGTTGATACCTTCAACACAAAATTTGCTGGCCCCACTACCTCTCGAGTAGCTTTCGAGGTAGGCCTGCTTCGAACCGATCGATATTTATCGAACCAAACAGTTGCGACCAACGGTTAACTTGTCTAACTTTCATGGTGTGTCCTAAAGGATTCGACGACATTCGTTACGTGGTTCCTCATACAGATAAGATGCGATTTATCAATCTACGGATTTGCGAAGCCCCATCAAAGGGACATGCATCAGAGTTGCTCATTGTGATAAGGCGTTCCGCAGACTAGGTCAAACTCCTAACTCAGTTAAGTAACAATTGCTTCAAACTACGATGCTGAGTTCACCTGATCACAGATACCTCTGGATTGTCTTACGATGGCTTGCGGTTCGTATCGAATCTGAAACCTAAACTTGAGCGGAAACCTAAGAGCTTCGATCCAAGCACTTTGAAAACTCGCAAGTAGGTAAGTTTGAACAGGGCCACCTACCACGGATACGATATGGTAGGAAACACCCCCAGCCTGCCCAAAGCCGCAAACCCGCCGTTGGAAACGCCAAAGTTGGCTCCTACTAGATCGCTCCGAGCTGCAACAAAGTACGAGACTCGATTGCTGGCAATGCTTCGGACTTGAAGAATGCTGAAAGCAAACACTAATCCGCAACCCGCTTGCTGCTCTGAATCGAACTCTTATCTATCTTAGCAGACTAGTCAACGCATCGGAGGTTCTTCTAGCTTTGCCTGAGTCGTCCTTTCGTCAAAGTCGGTGATTTACAGCCACACGCTTACTTTAGATACTCGTGAAAGAAAGACGGTGGCCCGACTCCCTATGCTTTACTTTTAGGGGTAGTCAAAAATAAGTCGGTGGTTTGAATCCTTATGCTTACTTTTAGGACACTCAGAAAACAAAGTCGGTGGATTGATTCCTGAGGCTTACTTTGGATGCTCGAAGTCCATCTGCGCGCCGTCAGGATCGCTGCCGCGTTGCCCGTGTACATAGTGAGCAGCAACAGGATCATGAAGCACCACACGAAGACGACCAGGCGGGACGCCCACGTGGCAGTTGAGATGGGGTCCACCGCATTCACGATCAGGCCCATGCCTGCAAAAACGGAACAAGGCGACAGGGTAAAGACAGAGATATAGGAGGAAATAAAGATATAGGTCCTCGATAGATGACGAGGAGACGTTGCATATTGAATAAGAGGGCATCGCAACTCCAACTAGCCACAGGCCTACGATATCCAACTGGAAGCATACACTTGTCCACACAGGACGAGGACCATAGCGACTTCTGCTTCACGGAACGCCCAACAGATGAGAGGAGGAAAAGCAACAGATGCAACTGAGAGCGAGACTCTGGAGACGTAGAGTCTATGCAATACTTGAGAAAGTGAACGAGCACAGCTCCAGGCTGATCGGTGCAGTGGTCCATGCGAAGCTTACCCTTCCACATTGAATCGAACCAGCCGTGTTCACCGAAAAACGTGTTGGTCTCCAGGTGAATTTGCCGCGACGTGTGCTTTTTGGACATTACCTCCACAAGATGTATCGATACACCCACCAGCACGGCTGCACCAGATAGGAAGCCCAGAAAAATGTTGGTTAGTTCGCCACAATTGGGTCGACGCCGCTGCTTCGGATAAGCTCAGCACTTCATTGAGAGGCCCTGAACATCTGCGAAGGATGTGGGTGCCCCCTTTGGCAAATGTCGAACAGCTTGAATCATAAGGGCGGTGACTTTTGCGCGCGATCGTTTCTTTGTTACCTATCACCTCAAGAAAGGTCATTGGATAACTACTAGGAGGATTCTGAGCAGTAGGACAACTCAAACCCACAGTCAGCGCTTGCAACCTCTTACAAAGCTTTCTTGCTCTCTTTCTTACAAAACTATCTTCCCCGTCCAAGATTCGTGAAATCTTGACAGAAGGCTTAAAGCGGATTCTCTGTTTATAAATCACAGTGCTTCCATGATAGGGGGCAAAGGAGAATCAGGTCCAATAAAACAGGTGCTTGCCAACAGCATGTGCCCAGTCACATGGTCAATCATATATAGCTAGCACCGCCAACGGAAGGTCTTCGACATCCGAGCAGCTTCCGTTTTCCCCGGCGGCCCTTAGCCCACCTGACTTCCGCAACAAAAGCTGGACAACGTTTGTCCTACCTGCAACTAGAAGCATAACCCAAACCTGCCACTGGAAAGGCTGTAAGAAGAGCCAATGTCCGGATACTTGTTCTTCAGCGTACACAAGGATGGAGAACGAGTCGTGCGCGTCGGGGTAGCCAAACTTCAACCCCTGATCCAAGGACGCCCCATCGTACTGCAATTGATACGCACAATTTGTCATGCAAAGCCATTACATGGAAACATTTTTCAGGATCAACAACAAGGATGATGAAAAAAGAACGAGGATCTGTAGGGGAATCTGTATTTTTCAGAACTTAAAGGAGGAGTCAATGTGTGCAGGGTCCTTGAGCGCGTTCGGTAAGTTTGCTGCAACAAAGCATATTGACAACTAAGTGGCCGTATTAACGGGCCAGCCTCGACGTAAAGAGGCACTCCAGAGCACCACGTCGCAGACACGTGGACTCGCGAATTCTTCGTCAGAGAAAGCAGAAGAAAGAGTGTCATGTTTGCTTACAGTGAAGTCGGCTGCTGTCATGTCACAAGTGCCATTAGGGGCGACCATGTCTGCAGTCATGCTAAGCCAATCCATACACTGCCATGTGTAGTCAGATGCTCTCCACCCGATTTGTAGGGAGGCTTGGCGGAAAACCTCAATCCCATAGCCTGCAATGGAAGTGGAGGACAGGCCTCACACTGTTTCAACATTGATGACAAAATGCATTCATACGTTTGATCAGAAGTCGGTCTGAGAAACAACACCTCATAACTTGGACGACGCAAACTGGATAGCAGAGCTGCTCAGAAGATCGATTCTACATGCTCTTCGTGACCCTTCCAAAACTTGTCATATCCTCTCAACAGACTCTGCTGAGTCTTCTAGGCCCCATTGTTATGCTATAAACTACAACTAAAATCCATCCCCCCGTGTAAGCTAACAATAGCTCCGTGCTCAATGTGCCCCTTCTGCAGCAAATCACGGGTCCAAAAGAGCGGAGTATTCCTTGTGAAAGTTGACTTTGAAACGCTAAAACCCTTTCCATCTTCCGACAGGCGGAGGCGCTTCACAGGACCAGGACAGAAAGCGTATGCTCCACAATAATAACGGCAGCTAGCACATTGAGAACAGCCAATCTTCCAAAAACTTCCAGAATGATTCCCACTCTTCTCAGCCAATGGGCGCCTCACCTGAGAAGGTGGTGGGATCTGTAGAATTGATGGTGCACTGCACAAACGGCTGCCAAGGTGACGTGCACACCGTCCACGCGTCCTGGCTGGAAAGCCGGACGCCATTGAGCAACCTGGCCTCAACCTGAGGAACGCAGCAGTGGTGGAGCAAAACAACCAACCACAAGACACGTAAGAAGCAAGCTGGAGAGCCAGTTCTCTTTCGGACATTAGAATGGAGTTGCTCCATTTTTGTTATTCAGGATAGCTCGTCTTCATGTCCCATGTTCTGTGCAGACTTTAAGGTGATCTCAGCTTCGGCACGGGGCGGAACGATTGGAACGCTGTCCACAGGAATGAAGGGATGGGGCAAGGAAGAGCGCTCTGGAGCTGCAGGCGCAGAGTGACACTGTGATTGATTTCTCGTGTGGTCAACTGTGGCCCCGGTGGGTCACCATGACGCCAACGCCGGACTCGAGAGTCAGGAGCCAGTCTGCCACTGCAGCCATGGTGCCAGCCAGAACTGGCAGAGCGGGGTCAAGGAGAATCGGTAATTTCAGGACTGGGGCCGGAGACGCTGTTCAATGGAAGCGGTGACGTGGCGAGGTTTAGGGGCAAAACCCTGGGCTAGGCTCCATTCGGCCAATCATGAATAGGAAGGCCACGGTCAAAACCCTAAACCTCGCCACGTAAGCCTTTCCAACAGCGTCCCCGGCCCCGGTCCTGAAATTACCGATTCTCCTTGACCCCGCTCTGGCAGAAGGGTGTATCTACTGGAACGTCACGTTTGCCCGGCTGCTTCTGTCATATTGACGTTGGTGGCATTGCTAGCTGCCACTTGGCAGGTTAAGCGTGACGCATATGACCCACATGGGCCGATATTGATGACCTGACTGATTGATCCAGGAACAGACGGTTTCAAACTGTATAGGTAGTCTATAGAGCGACTCTGCTGGCGCGGCCCACCTGCACAGCATTGCACGCATTGGTGACTCAAGCCTCTAGGCTACGGTAGGTCCTAGGCTCTAGGAATGATTCACAGCTCGCTTGCAGCCAGCTTGCAGCTCAAGAGCTCCAGCTTGCTGTGGCCGTCCATTTCTTCGCTGAGTCCCAGTCAGACTTCACTTCAAAGCTGAAGTGATCTCTTTAACGTACAGAATCAATCGGACATGGGGGCAGAGAAGCCTTCCTGTCCAGAAGCAAGCATGCGGGACCATGTCCTGGAGACATTCTTCTTTCGTCTCTTGTTGGTGGTAATTCTGCTCCACCACCAGATTGCTCAGGTTGAGGCCAGGTTGCCTGGTGGCGTGAGGCTTTCCAGCAATGACAAATGGACAGTGTGCACGTCACCTTGGCAGCCTTTTGTGCAGTGCACAATTGGTTCTACGGATCCAACCGACTTCTCAGGTGAGACGCAAGTTGGTTGAGGTGGACTGCGCATCATGACGCAGGTTTTTGAAGCTGAGCATATTGTGTAGTTTGCTACCTGCAGTTACATATGACCCAGACGCTTCTAGTTAGGCCAGTCATGGAAGGCACCTCTCCTGGAAATGGGGATAGGTTTCTGGAATTTCAATATAGCATCTGAACCAGGTACATGCTGGATAGCAAGGGGGTTTCATCACAGAATGTTGCTTTGCAGTATAAGATATGAAGCAGTGCAATGGGGCATATCACCTGGTGATATTATCGATTTTATCTATTAGGGCTGCGTATCTTGAAAGCGGCAGCTCGGCAAACTCCAACAATGTGTTGAGATTTGAATTGAGGCAGAAGGAATAGCAATCGAAGCAGGCAAAACAAACAAAGCCCGAGGTTTCCAACCCTCATGAATTGGACCAAGGGCGGGCCTGAGAGTGTTCTGACCACCTGCTTGCTGGTGGCCAGCGGGACAAACTTGCGCAAGTCATTTCAGGGACTCAAGTTAGGGCTGGATTGTTAATGGGGCATGTTGCTGTTAAACAGTGAGCTGAATCTCCTCCTGATGTTGAAAGATAGTGAGACCACCCTTCTTTTTTTTACCGCAGGCTACGGGATTGAAGTGTTCCGTCAGGCATCCCTGCATCTAGGATGGAAAACATCGGACTATACATGGCAGTGCATGGATTGGCTTAACATGACCGCAGACATGGTTGCTCCTAATGGCACTTGTGACATGACAGCGGCTGACTTTACGGTAAGCAAACGAGGATTCTGCCCATCTCTGATCGTGAGTTTACGCATTTATTTGTCAGTCTGCCACCTGGTGCTTCAGAATGCCTCTGCGCGCCCAGGCTGCCAATCGTTGATAGAGACTTGCTTTATTACTGCTTAGCGCTGCAACCCCACAGCACGCATTTGAGGAACTTGCACACATTGACTCCGTTTTCACGCCCTGAGCACTGCTAACTCCATTTCTTGCCATACTGTTGTGACGCTGGATACATTTATGTGTATGCTGCTGGCTGCAGTGTGTAACAAAGTGTGTCTTCAAACTGCAGTACGATGGGGCGTCCCTGGATCAGGGGTTGAAGTTTGCGTACCCCGATGCGCACGACTCCTTCTCCATCCTTGTGTATGCCAAAGAGGAGACATCCGGACATTGGCTCTTCTTACAGCCTTTCCGGTGGGAGGTTTGGGTTATGCTTCTAGTTGCAGGTATGACAACTTCCATCCAGCTTTCGCTACGTCAAGACTAGCTCTGTTTGACCTTGTGACTAATAGATGCTTTCAGCAAGCACTGGTCCTCTTGACCCAGTCTTCTTCCACCAGTTCAAAGTGGCACTATCTCAGGGGGGCTTAAGAGGGGGCTTCGAGCTTCTTTTGTCAGGGCCCAATTGACGAAAGGGTCGGTGAGTGGAGGCTGCCCCCCTCAGAATGTTTTGAAGTTGAACGGGAAGACCTTAGAGGTTCAGAAAAGCTCTGTAAGGGTTGCGAGCCACTGGCTGTGGTTCTGAGTTGTTGCATCACTGTTAATCACTTTCAATGTCGGTTGTTGAGGATAAAAGTTCAGAGTGATGGGTGATAACGAAATGAACACACCTGACCTAAGCCCCGAACCCCTTCTTGCTGTTGGATGTTGGACATCTGCAAAGGCGGGACTCACTCAGACCAGTCACTGCGTCATTGTTAACCAACATTTCCAATTCGCTCACCTTCTTTTGCAGCCGTGCTGGTCGGCGTATCGATACATCTTGTGGAGGTTATGTCCAAAAAGTACACGACACGAGAGATTCACCTGGAGACCAACACCTTCTTTGGTGAACATGGCTGGTTCGACTCAATGTGGAAGGGTAAGCATGCAGGCTGATTTGCGTCAGCCTCGGCATCGACCTAAAGGGGTTGTGGTTTAGTTTTCCCGAGTAGCGTGTAAACGTGGGTTCCCAAGAATTGAAAACCTCACCTTCTCTTTGCAACCAACTGCTTCCCCACTCCCTGCCATTGGGCTTTCCGTAAAGCAGAACTCGCCTCGTCATCCGCCTGCTACGAGAAGGTCATCGCGGCTGAAGATGTGGTTGGTTGGAAGCGTGACGCTTTCTTCGCTACCGCATTGGATGAGAAGTATGTTTTTGGTTGCAGTATGTCACCTCTCGCTCATTGTCGTTCCTGCAGGCATGGGTCTAATCGTGAATGCGGTGGACCCTATCTCCACTGCCACGTTGGCGTCCCGCCTGGTCGTCTTCGTGTGGTGCTTCATGATCCTGTTGCTGCTCACTATGTACACCGGCAACGCGGCAGCGATCCTGACGGCGCGCAGATGGAGTTCAAGCATTCAAAGTAAGTGAATTTCACCGACTTCCAGTTCCATGCAAGGCTTCAACTTAGACTGAATATCAGATTTGCTTGTCTTGTTGAATTGCCAACGTGAGCTGATCTGTTTTGATCGAAGGCACTGAGTGTGTTAACGAGCTAAAGCGTTTTGTGAGTTCGAAGTACTGCCGCCAGTCCTATAACCCTCGTGCTTTGCTGCAGCTCGGAGCGATCTGATGGGAGCCAACTTCGGCGCCTCTAACGGCGGGTTTGCAAGCTTGGCGAGGCTGGGGGTGTTTCCCACTGTATCATATCCATGGTAGGTGGCTTTGCCTGAACGCCAACGTGAGTCAAAATACATGGACTTTGGGATCTGCTAAACTTCAGGGAAGTAGCCGCTGGCAGATCTGATTGAATCCTGCTAAAAGTGCAAGCCTCGGCAGTTGGTTTGTAAACATCGTCGCAATTTGTTCTGCATATTCGCTCGTGCTTTTTCCAAGTCAAGCACGATCTTGTTGTTCCGGGCAGTGCTACGAGCATGAGCTGCTGGACAATCTTGCACAGAATAGATTTGCTTCAAGCTTGAAGTTTCTCCGGTTTGCAAGTATTCAATATCTCGGAGTCCGAGCTGAATTCATCTCAGCTCAACAATCTATCCACACAGTACTTTTTATCATGTGGGGACGAGGGGAAAAATGCTGTCGATGATTTAAAAAGCAAAAAATGAAAGAGCTACGCGAGCGCAATATGTAGGGCATTCGCAAACGTGGAGAAGATTATTCACTAGTTGAACGCAGGCCCACTTTTGAAAGTCGCACGATGCAGGTCTCAACAAACTCGAACATGAAGAGAACGAGTGTTCTTTTCTGCAGGAGGAACAATAACGATTCGGCTGCCTTTCTGGAGGAGCTTCGGCTTGGTCATGTGGACGCACTCGTACTCGACACCGCATTTGTACAATACATGGCGGCAATCGATTGCACTTTCCACGAGGTGTAGCTTTTCGCCTTGCCTTATCGTGTTCCTTCACCTTATGTTAAGCTGACCGAAGTTGCGGTACCTTACTAGGTCAGTCCTTGATGATTGTGAGATTGGGGTTTGTTTCGTTTATAGATGGGAGCGTCTGACAAAAGTTTGGGTCGAATAGATCCTCTGACGGATGTCGGTTCGTCTATTTAGGAACCGGTCAGTCCTACCACAGTTCACTTGTTCCTCGGGTCCTTAAGAAAATTTGAGCGCTGGTGAAGATTCAGAGTTACGTCAAAGCGAAGGACTCAGCTTCGAGCAACAGCCGACCGTTTATATCTGGAGGGGAAAGCTTGCGTCCGGATGTCATTTGCCTGCACTAATATTGTCAAATTCAATGGTCGAGAAATCCTTGCCACCGGACCAATTTTCTAAAGGGTTTGAATTACCGTCCAGGTGGACGTTCCTTTCGGGAGCCTGAACTACGCGATGACGTTCAATCCGAGTTTCCCCGCCACCCTGGCGGATAACTTCAGCCGCGCCGTGCTCGACATGGAGCAAGGCGGGACCTTGGACCGGCTCAGGACGGCCTTCCTCGTCCCCCCCTCTAGTTGCGGTTCTGGAGCATCCCCCGTGAATGAGGGGGTCACCTTTGGTCAGGTAACGCAGCGCATGCTATGAGAATTCTCAAAGAGCGCTCCGTGTGCTTCTCGTGATTGCTCGTGAGTGATTCTCCTTTGACCAGGGTTTATGCGATGCTTTGTAACGGGCGATTTTCCTCCGATGCTGCTCCTTGCTGTAGATTCCCTGCGGTGCGGTCGAATTGGCGCAGTCCGTACTGGTTGTCTGTTTTAGGAAAGGCCTTCGTCCGGATGCAAGTCTCCCTTATACATGCTAAAGCTCATCCGAGCGTCATCGTCGAGATTCTAGAGATAGTTTTGGCCGCTGATTGATTGATCGTACGGTTCGTTTCCGGTTGAAAACATTGTTCTTGGCCAGCCTTTCCACCGCTCATATGAGGAAGGCGGTCAAAGGACAGCCAGGCTTGCCGTGTGAAAAAGGACTGTCTGACTGTTGACACGTGCTTCTTTTTCCTGTAGGTGTACGGGCTATGGATTGTGCTGGCGGGAACCATTGTTGTGGCCCTATGTCTAGCATATCTAAAGTCCCTATTCAACAAGAAGCGGCGAATCAAGTTGTTGAGGAGCTTGAACCGTCGGAAGAATTTGGCGCAGAGCCCCGCCGGGAGCGTCGAAGTAAATATGGGGGATAAAGTGGACGGTGGTGTAGTGCTTTCAATTAATCCTGTCGCTTAAGGTGTGCCTGAAGAGTCCGTTAGGGAATCCGAGGGCAAGGAGGACCCTCTTAAAAATGTTGCAGTATAGTGAAACAAGTTTCTAGCATCGAGTTTAACGTAGCCGGATTTCCGTGTAGACTACACATCGATCAAAAGCTGACAAGCTAGGGATCATGCGCACGCCATAAGATTAGGATTTGTGTGAAACACACACTGAAAACTTTCAAGGTAATGCACGCCATAGGCTTTATTTGGTCAACTAGAGAAGTGCAGAAGTAGAACTTGAATAACACTAACATAGTGAATTAAGAGTTGAACACTGACCGCCCCGAGCACATGTTAGAGACCCAACCATCCAGGTGGTGTTCGCAAAGCTGCCAATAAAACTCAGCATTTGGTTTTGAGTTGTTTATCTTAAGGTATACGACTCAGTCCAATCGCTCGAGGCTCTGTTGTAACAAGTGTTCACTTTTGCAGTGCCCTTTGTGCATGCAAGAAACTTTCAACAACTAGCTTGCTGCATTATCATCAATCTGCACAACGTACTAACGAGCACACGCATTCATGCTTTGATTGCCAAGTTGGTTGTAGAGCAAACAATATCGAGTGGTATTCCTTCTACCCGGCAAGCAGAATCAAGCAATTCGCTGCTGGTTGTTGAGATCATCTGTGTCTCCTTCGAACACGAGAAGGAGTGCGGCAGCACAAATATGCAGCGGCTCAATAAGTCGCTGGCCGTGGCCTGCTGTTGGTGCCGCAGCGACGAAGTATTGAACGGAATCGCCGGCGGCCTGCCGGCGGAACGACTGACGGCTTTGATGTGGGCGGCTTTGTTCCGAGGCGGAAGAGGATGCAAGCACAGCTTCGAAGTCGGGGGAGCGGTTCAGCGGGCTGCGAGAAGCAGTACTACTACGAGCTGGCGCGAATCGAGGTGCGCATGATGGAGCCTGCGGAACATTTGCTGGAGTCCGGGTGACGAAAGCGCTGAGGTGTGCGTATTGGATTTGTGTCTCAATCATAACCGTTCAATGCGGACGAAGGAAACCACTTCCAAGGTTAATCGCGGAGATCAAACTTGATGGCTTGGGCGGGTGCAGCCTGAACTGCTGGCTCGCTTCCTAGCTAGTGTGCTCCGAAGAGGCTGCTTTGACTTGCACGACTTCAGATTGTCAGGAAAGGTCTCGACACACGATGCGAAAGGCGTTCGAGACTGCCTAGCTCCACTGATTCAGAATCTGATTCGGAAAGAGCCCTTAAAATTCAATCAGCTTTCGTTTTCGCCGTTTGCAAACAGAACGGTTTCTCTCCACAACACTCCACCAGCGCGAGGAATGACGGAGTCGTACACATCTTAGATCGTGATGAACGCCCTCAAAGCAATTCAACTCGCACAATTCACACTTGAACGCTTCAAGCTGCGTCAAAGGTCAGAACGAACATAGCTTATTCTGTCGGTGGAGTATTGTTGTCAAACACGGACCTAGTTCCGTGAATCACGCAGCAGTTCGCCCTTTCCTGGGGGGGGCCATCATGGGGCTCTTGGGCCGGACCAGCCGGCCCCTTCCTCCCACTCTGTGCCAGACCCGGGTCAGGCAGCAGCGCGCTCGGTCGGAATCAGATACGACGTACTTCGTGCTGGTGCCAGGGGATGCGCGGCGGCACTTGAAGCCACTAACAGATTTCATCATGAAGATTTTGTAGGAAAAGCAACTTTCGACATTGATAAAAGCACTTGACGGGATCTAAAGGAATCCAGAAAGCCGTAGAGGACGTGCGATGAAAGAGCTGCGGTTGGTAGGATCCGGACTCTAAAAGTGTCTGCTTGACCGTTCAAATGCAGGTCACTCACTGGATCGAGCGCGTCGGTGGGTTGGAGCATCATGAGCATGAAGCCTGGATTCAGATTAGAAACAAGAGTTTCAACCGATTCGTCGCGAAGCGTAGGAAGGTCTGGTAGAATGACCACGAGAAGCATCCAACTAACCTCCGCCGTTGGGTTAGCATTTGTAAAGCTAACGCCCGCGATGTCGTCTGTCATCGTCCGAACGACTCGTCTGCTGTTTGTGGGCCACAAGGTCTTTGCTTCAAACGACTTTATATCTTTCACACCAATCCATTTGCAGAGCTCTCGGATTGTCCCGAGGTCTGCCTCCACTCTTGCACGTCTGTTTTGCGGCGGCTTGCAAGAGAAACGTGGCAACTGTTCCGCGGAGGCCCTGTCGGGCCCGCTTCCCGGGCGGGATCGTCCTTCCAGACCGGCGCAATCAACATCGGCGGCTGCTTACAGGGCCCCGTTTGTAGAAACGATGATTTTCCAAGAGGGACGGTGCGGCTAATTATAAACTCAGTGAACACGGTTTCGGCCAAGGTTGAGGAACTCTTTCCCGACTTCTTGTCAGCATTAGCACCAGCACGAGTGACTCGAGGGAAACGGTTTCGCTTCTGCGAGGAAGAGGAGCGGGCTGCTGGCAAACGAGGCATGACCAGGTGCCGCGGAATGTGAGGAAATTGGAGGACGTGCTGCATGCATCCTCTGGGCTCGGTGGCGCCGCTTTGCCAGCTGTCTTCCACGTCGTATGTTGAGTAGAGTGAAAAGAAATCAAGCTTACAAAAGCAAGCGCCTTCTAACGTCGAACTTCGAGTCTCAAAGTAGGAACGGGAGTACTAATTGTTCTGTTCACACTGCCCGGCTAACGGATGTTTGATACAATTACTTTGATGCAATGATGAGGCACGTCTGGCCGTCATATGACTGACAACGTCGATCAAACTAAGCGGCTGTAGGCAGCCCTGAGAGAGTCGCTCAGCTACGCAACTTTAGGGGTTGAACAGGGGCTGCATTGGCTTGTTCGAAATGCCCTCGCCTTTTACGAGTCTCGTTACCAAACTGGCCTCAATCAACCAAACGATTGTCAAGTCAGATGATTCACACGTATGGCGGCTCAAATTGACCTTAGACTGGATGATTCCGGCGGCCCATACAAAAGCATAATTCCGCAGGGCAAATCGCTTAATGCCCCGGCCCGAACCTGTGCGCGCATGCATGATATGTCATCGTGGTGGTAATTCAAGTCACTGTGTGCGCCTAGGCAGCACCACCGAATGTCTGTATTCTATCTCCTCCTAGTGACACTTCGCAACTGCAGATTTCAACTTTCAAACATGTGCAAGTCTGCAAGGTGGGCTCCGAAGTGCCGTCAGCGCCAACGTTTGACTTGAGGCTGGCGAGCGCGCGACAGAGTTATGAGCGACACTCGGGTGCGCATATGAACATGAGCACTAGATTGAAAAGTTGGATATTGATGCGCAACCGCTGGGCTCTAGAAGATGTGCTCAAGCGACAGCATGGTTCTTGGTCCAAGACCCTATACCGTCTAGAAAACGGCGGCCTTGCTATCAATATCTGCTCGCGATTGATATCATACCCTGCATGAACTTAGTAATGTCGATCTCAAACTCTATGCAAGCTCTTCACCTGTAATTGTTAATAAGCGGTGATACACACAAAGACCGTCTTAACTTTGGATGAACTGTCAATCATTCCCTCATCAGACGTTATGATCCCCTAGTCCGACAATGATTCTCAGTCACTTTGCCCAGAGCTAGAATGAAAGTATCTTACTATTTTCACATGCTTCCATGCTTCAGCCGCGCTTACAATCCTTCTTGTGTCCGGCTTGCCAGGCAGCCTTCTGACATTCTGTACCACAGTACTTGACCTGCTCGTTATTGCACCCGCCGCACCTTCTCAAGGGCCCCCCTTCTTCTGACTCCGGATCACCACAGACTTGGCATGCATCCGCTTTTCCGATATTTGCGGCCTCTACTCTCCTCTTGCACTCCCTCACGTGAGTTGCATAGTGCGCCCGCTGGCACTCCTGCAGAAGAAGAGACGTGTGATTATGTCAAATCAGAGCCCTTATGTTCAATCGTACACCAGCTTTTGAATGCGACACGTCAAAACGGACGCACTCTGGAACACATTCGAGAAGCGATAGTGACGTCAAATCCGGACACAGCCGATGTGCCGGGCAATTGGCCACGCGGTGAATTGCTTCCTGCAGTAAAAGTCAACATCAGGAGCATGAAACGTGCCATGTGAACCGAAAAGAAGAATCAGACGAACCTTTCATTCTGACGAGTTTCCGGCGGGTTGCGAGATGATACTTGCTCCACACCCCCCCCCCGCACACCTATTCTGAATTTGCATTTTGTCACGACAAATCTGGAAGTCACTCCAAATACTGCAGCCCGTTTCGCAGCTTCGCAACCTGAACCTTCAAATGATCTGGTTGTGACTATGAGATTTGACTGGAAACTGCAAGCTACCAGCCGGTGAAATCTCTCCCCTCAACTCTTGCAAAGGGATTAACAAACGTAAAAGAGGAGGGTCAAAAGGATTGCTTGGCAATCATGTGCGCTGCTAAGAGAAAAGTGCCCCTTCTCAGAGGATTCGAATCTCTCCGCATCCAGCCTCCTTGCACAGGATCTGGGGCAACTGATAGGGCGATGACTTACTTGCATGGCTGCATGAATGCTGGCAGTATTATAGCTGAAAGCATGGAAACACCTAGCCCTTGAGCTGGCAAGACGAGCCTGCAAACTGAAGGATCTCAGCACAGGTAGCCCCACCCATCTGGATCAAGATTTGCAACTTCAACGCAAAGATCAGCCAAGAATGACGGCTTACAGACTGACGAAACTGACACCTTCAAGATTGTCCTGCAGATGAGGAAATCATACGGAGGACTCCAACCAGCGTTCAAAACTTGGAGTGTACCAACAATCAGAAGAGAGGCACTTCAACATAGCCTCACCTTGCTGCAGTACAGTCTCACTGTCCTGTTGACACAGCCCGGGCAGCCTCGTAGCTCGCTTCCGTTTCTTGAGTCCGGCCTCCTACAATTAGCACAGCCAACGCAGGGCGAGGACACGAAGAAGTTGTCCAATCGAAGTATCTTGGTGCGATACAGGTCCGCCCAGAGCGCCAATGATGAGAGCAGCTTGTTCACGCGCGTCTGCGCCAGGTCATACACATCCCTTTGCAGCGCTACCCCCATGGCTTCAAACTGCTGAAACTTATCAAGGGCCATCTGCTGATGGCATTCAATGAAACCTCCCACTTTGATCTCATCATCCAGGTCGACCAGCATGGTATACTGCCTAGGCCTCTGCCTTGGCAGCTTGCCCCGGTTCATGAGGCTATTGACCATTGCTCTGGCATGCGAAATGTCATCTTTCAAGTCACTATTACACCAGTTCTCAAACAGGCAGGTCAAAGAGCCTGTGCCATCCGACACAAGATCCTGGATGTTCATCTCGGGACTGAGGAGCAGCTCATCAACCAGCGGCTTTCCATGCCTTCCAACATCTTTGCTGTTCTCTGGAATGTTCTCATAGCAATTTCGAAGGAAAGTGCCCTTCTCCTTGCGGCTTAAACCTTCCCACATACTACAAAAGCCGTGCTTGTGCTGTGCCCAAAACCTACACAGGTTGCTTTTGAAAGCCCTGGCCAAAGCCTCCTGGCCGCCGGCAATGTTGCCGCCAGAGATGCTGGAAAGAGGCACAACATCTCCTGGAGCAAGCTTGTCCATCTGCACCTGCTCGGCACGCTTTGCAACACCTGCCGTCCTTCCCTTCTTAGCCATTTCGCCACCTTCCGATATCAAAAGTCTCTGGATGATCTTCCTTATAAATGAGACTGGTCACGTCTAGGTCCTATTGCTTGTGGGGAGCCACGCGACCTTGCAAAGCCCGCCTCATGAACCGTCACATCACGTCTGCATGATGTGGTTGAAGTCCAGCAGTGAATGCGTAGAAACCGAGGAAGGTCAGCTGCAACTTCAGTGCCAATCAGTGCGCCTGCAGCTAGCCCTCGTCCCTTGCACTGGCAGGGGGGGATCCCTTGCGCGACATTCGCATATGTTGCCTGGAATAGGTATCCAACTTTTTAGGCACCGATGCGTGTAGGAAATTTGACCCCTGACTTCCTAGCAGAAACCGTGACACTAAAATATGAAGTTATATTGTGCTCAATATTGCGTCCAGGACCATACGACGCCAATTTGTCAAACGCCAATATGAATTTTGGAGGGAAGCAGCATTGCAGAGCTCAACACCCACTAATATCAGTCGAGAAGCACCCGAGGAGCACAATGGCGGAGGTGAGCAACATGGTTCTCCTGGCTCAGCTTGTCTGCTTCAAACTACGTAATCACAATAGCAGCAGGAGTAGGCAATCTGCTTTCTTTCTTTGTGTTGACGTAAGATTGTGAGCTGACAACTCTTGCCAACTGCGACGCTTGCAACGCTGTGCATCAGCGGAAGGCTTTAGGACACGGGCAGTAGAAAGTATTGGTAGGGCGAATTGTGCCTGTATCAGCACCCTGTGTGCTGTGCATAGTAGTCGACTTTGTTGGTCTTAGAACCCTCAAGCTTTAGGACCATGTTGTATGCAGTCCGATGCAGACTGATTGAGGGATTGTCAGTCTACGTTGGCTAATTTCCTGGCTTCTTCCTCACAACTTCACCTGCCTCACGTGACCACTTTCATACTTGCTGACCGATGCACTTTGCAATGTTGTCCTCGTATTTCTTGATTTCTTCCGGTCTTAATTGGTTCTGCTCAAGGTTTTACTTCTGGTTGTATCAAAGCGGGAGATATCTTCTCACGGTAAAAGTGAAGTGGAGAGCTTTGACATCGAACTTTCTTCAACTTTCTGACAATCCTGCAAAGTCTGAATCTAGCAAATCCTGCTTTTATCGTGCAGTCCAAAGAGAGCCGGGAGGTCGCGGCGTTCTTAGAGCTGATCGAGAAGAAGAAGTATGATCAGGCTGTCGAGAAACTTTCCAATCTTGCTCAAGAAGTTGGCAGCCAGGAGCACGGGTCCGTGAACATTGGGGACCTGGAGGAGCTGACGCTGAAACCAAGCAAGCCGTTCAAAAAGGTAGGTTCTTTTGCGAGCAAACATTCTGACATCTCCCTTGTTCTGCGCCGCAGTCTGTTAGTTGCTGTATCGAGCAAGAAGGAAGCCGTTTGAGTTATCGGCGGTGGCTGAGATTTGGGTGGGGGGGGCAATGTGGGCGATGCAATCATGTTGGAACTCCAGAGACTGGTCACTTCAAACCTCTGCGAGTTCCGCTGTCTCATTCCACCAACACCGCGTTTCCTTCTCGATGCGTCCTCTGATGTTTTACGCCTGCCTGTGGCACTGTCAATGGCTTTGTTGCAAGTCAAGAACTTTGTCTCGATTTGTGTGGAGGTAAAAGGTGATTGACACAATGTCATGCTCCTCTCAGCATTCTTGATGAGAGCCAACATCAGCTCACTGTACTTCACGTCTTGCAGCTACGGAAACTGTTGACCAGCGACCAAGGCGTACAGGCAGTGCTGTCGTTGCTGAAAACTGCTTCCTCCAAGAAGACAAAGGACCTTATGAGGACTCTCATGATCCTGTGTTCGGTGCCGGAGTTTGCTGAAAAGGTCAGCGCATCCTCTCAAGTCTCTTCATGTTGTTCAGTTGGAAGTATCCCCTGAGCAGGGCTGAAGCTTATACAGCTGGAGACGACATTTCCCTGACTACGATACTTTGAATGGTGCCTGCATCGACAGAGCACAATGGGGAATGGAGGGATCAAGAAGACCATGAGAGACTGATCAGGCTTGTGCGATGTCGTATGTCCTTCGTCGGGTCAGCTGATCCCCAAGCTCTTGGCTGAGCCTGTCCTCAACTCGAGCAAAGTCAGTGATCGTGATAAACTGGTGTATGAAGATCTTGCTGACTCTGTTGTGCAGATATTTAGGTTCTGATATCGTTCACGTCTTGCGTGCAGATCGTCGGTGGCGGCGTGGCGAAGTCCTTGGACCACCTTGCGAAGACCCTACACGTGCGCCTCACGGCTCCCGCCACCCTGCGCTACGACCTGGAATCAATCTGGGAGCTTCCCAAGCTCTGCGTGGCGCTGTTCAACAGCTCGCCGGACTTCTGGCAGTCCGCCACGGACTGCGGTCTGCTGACCCACGTCACCCGCCTCTTCCCCTACGCAGCCCAGTGCTTTTTGGACAATATCCCAACCCACTCGGAGATGAACCTGGACGCGTATCTCAGACATATGGTCCGACCGGTGGCCTGGCTGGCCCGCTGCTTCCTAAGCCCACCGGAACTGGCAAAGGAGACGCTAGCGGACCCCACGACCGGGCGCAAGTTGGGGGCGTGGTTCGTCTCCATGTTTGAGCACCTCAAGTGGAGTGGCCCGTTGTCTGAAAGGTACCCCGGCTTGGAAGCGGCGTGGGCGGAGTGCTTTGACGACCTTTTCGCGGCGTGGACGGACAGCCATCCCCTGTTCGGTCTGCCGGAGTCGGAGATCAGAAGGCACGTTCGGAGCATTCTGGAGCTGTCGCCCTACCTCAGTAGCTCGAAGAGGTTACGGGTTGAACACTTGCTGAGCTTCTACCGGCAGGATCCTCCGCCGAGCTCGCAGCGGCCCAATCGGCAGGGCACTGTGGTAGAACAGGCGGAGACCATCTTCCGGTCGTTGGACGGGGCTAGCGAGAGCAGCCGGAAGCAGTCAATCCAGCAGCTCCAAGTCCTTTTCCCGGCCCTTCTCGGGGCGTGCTTCGACGGGCCCATCGACGCGGACACTCTACGTCTATTCAAGGCCTGGATCCCTGAAAGTTTGAGCCAAGTCTTTATCAATGGCGGCCCTGTCTCCCCTTCCTCCTCGGAGCTCCTGTTCGCCGTTTCGCTTCTTGATGTGATTCTCCAAGGAGCCGTACTGGCAGGGGAAGCTTCACCCGCTCTGTGTGACACCGTGGGGTTGCGACTGCTAGACTGGGCGCTGAAAGAGATCCCAAACAGCGGGTGTTGCGGTCCCATCATGGGCAGCGTCCTAAAGGTCCTCATCTCCTGCTTTCGCTTCGGAAAGAGGTTACGATCAAAAAACAAAGAGCTGGTAGATCTGTTCACGCTCTTGTTGCCACGGATTGGGGAAACGGGCGGCGAACCCCTCGGCGGGCTGCAGGCACGGACGATGGTCAGTGCAAGCACGGTGGCTTGGCACTTTTTTTCCATTCTTCTCGGCTTGATGGAGGTGGAGACCGTCACGCCGCTGTTGGAATCCTGCGTTCCGCCGGAAATGTCGCTCAGGGTCGCGCTCGGGTCCTCGGTCAAGGAGCCCGCTGTCGAGCCTTTCGCTGCGAGCCTTAGGTGGGGTCTCTTGAGCCGAGAACAGAGGGCCACGATCGGCCGGGCCGCTTTGGAGTACGTCACGATGGTCGCGCACGGGCACTTCTGCCAGAGCCAGTTTGACGTCATCCACGTCTGCAACCTAGCAACGATCCTCGACAAGTGTTGCGGCGACCCGGAGGCCGCGAAAGAGGCGTTCGGGGACGTGAACTGGATGCTGGCTTCGACGCTGGAGAGCGCTTACGGGGTCCTGTCGGAGCTTTTGCGGGCCCGCGAGCTGACCGAGACGGACAAGGTCAAGGCGACGATGTGGGCGCACCTCTGTGCGACGCTGGTTCGGATTCTCGAGACCGTGCGCCGGTTGAACGCGAACCGGGGGCCAAGATCGACGGACGAAGTGCACCAGGAGATGGCGCGGGGCCGGGCGGTAGCGTTTTGCGGGAGGGTCGTCGCGGATCGGAGGGGCGGGTACCATCGATCGCCGGTTCTGCCGGAGCGCGACGAGTGGGTCGAGCGTCTCAACACCGTAGTTGACGAGCTGTGGACGGCGTTTGCAAGGGAACTCAAGCTGAAAAGCTGCAGCAACCCGGTAAGTGTCTCAATGGTTTTGCGGCAACTCGTCTGAATTGCGTAGTAACCAGGCTGCTTAACGTGCACTTCGCATTGGTGCCAAGGACTGTGACAACTTAGGAGCTATTCATCATCGCTCCAGGATGCCTAATTTCCTCGCTTCGACGGTGCCTTTTGTTTTATAGGAAGCCGCCCTGCCTGTCCTCCGTCCTTCGAGGCACTCGCGGAGTCGTTCTCTATCTACATTAGCGTCTAGCCATCGATTGTGCTGGACACTCGTTCATCTCCTCTCATTCAAGACTGATCTGCAAGACCGAAGTTAACAGGACGGTGAAACCGACTGTGATAGTGGTTAGCGACAGATTCTGTCCTTGCAATGGACAGCGCATCAAGTTTCTGCAAGTCGAACATGCAGCACGTCCCGTCCTTGTTGAGGGGAACCTGCCGGACCTAACTCAAGCTATCATGCGCTCTCCGGACGCTTTTGATCTCAGAATGCTGGATTTCATGTTTCTTGCAGGGGTGCGTCAAGGGCGTCTACGAAACGGGGATGAATGCGTTCAAGCGGTGTAGCGCGTGCAGCCAAGTGCAGTACTGTTCCCGAGATTGTCAGGTGAGTCCATGAAGGTGTACGACTCTCTTTCAAGGCGCTTGCACTGCATGGTTTGGAAGTCCACGCCTTAACAAGATTACCAGGAAGGCCAGCTGAATCTTTTCTTTTCTTTTTCGCAACCTGTTGTCCAGGGAACGCAGTGATCTGCGTTGGAGCTGACACTATTCTCGCGCCCTAGGCTCAAATCACACATCTCGCCAAATGGGCTGAGCATGTTCGTTGTGTTCAGGTCACCGAACCTGAGAATTCATGCCTTCAAACCGGTCCCTTTTCCATAGCTCTTGCTTTGCTACAAGAAATGAAAGTCTTGTCCTTGAAGATAGCTCGCCTAACGCACCACTTCCATGCTGCAGAAAACCCATTGGAAGGAAGAGCACAAGGTGGCGTGTGTAAAAAAGAAATCCACAAAGTCGTAAGGTTCTTGGATAGAGAATAGTCCGCAACTGGAGGTCCCTCCGGAAAGGATTAGCTGACGTCCTCAAGTTGACGCTCTGCGGGATTTCCTTGTCATAAAACGTCAGATGTCTGAAAGACTCTGCAGCAATCGAGCCCGTTTGCTCCAGACTTGATTTCTTCTAACGGAAGCATGCAGAGTTGTTTGCTAATAATGCATGCTTGACACTTGCCACAGCCCAAGAGCGAAGCAGTGGACCAACCCGAGGCCGCATACTGCAGCAGCTAGACTTGATGTGTCCGACTGCATGCTTGCACTTCTGCGCATGGATGTAGCTAGACAGAGGGCCGCTTGTGGAATTGCTGTAGCTCACTATCATGTTGCAATCAGCCTACTTTGGACACTGTGATCATGAGCGGCTAAAAGCAACACAATTCATGCAGGCTAATATTAAGTATGACAATACAGGCCGGCTCCTCTCGATGCCGGACGGCCCATCTCAGATGCCGGAGCCCCACGTGCGATACACATCACAACAATGTTGATGGTATGCCCATTATTACAAGAGCACTAATGCACATGCATTTAGTCAGGCTGTACGTGCAGCAACCAAGCGAGTGCTAGATAGTTCTCAGTCTACTTGCGTCATGAAACATGCATGATGGGCCGGTGTATAACGCCGTTGCAGATGAAAGGTGTCGCATACTGATCCGTACAATCGCATGCACTGAATAATCCTGTGACAAATGTCGAGTCATGCAACTCGCTGCTCGGGTGCCTTCAATGGGAGGAACGCCTGACTGTGGTCGGTCCCCCGCTTTGCAGCCGCAGTCGCAAATCGACAAGCTAATGCTTCAAGTTAAAACATTTGACTCAGAGCGGTGTTGCTTTCGATTGACACCATTCTCTTTAGACACCACCGTACTGAGCGGCTATCAGCCGAGCATCTTTGTCCAGTCGTGTGGGTCCCACTTTTGAGAGAAGTTGAGCACCGCCTTTCTCTGCTGGTCGAAGCTCTGCTGCTTTGGGCGACCGTGCGTGTCTTCCTCTGGCAGCTGAAGCATGCCGGCAATTACGTCCCGTCCGAAAGATGCTTTCCAGCCCGCTTCGTCCTGCATTCACAGGGCAATCGGATGAGCCTTGTACGCAAAAACGAGGCAGAATGAGGACAACGGACGTTACACTGGCCCTATCCCGACGTCCGAGGTCTTAGCGAGACCCGAACACTTCTCTTTTACATTGACGCTGTTGCCCGCGTTCCGAAAGAACACGTCTTCTTCGCTTTCAGCCTCCTAGGTTGCAAGACATCGGCCCAACAGAATGTGTTGCATCGGAACGCCGCAGTCAATCGTAGGACCCATGTTGATCATCTGAAATCACACTCCCTGAAGAAAATGCACGAGAATGTTGCAAACCAAACACACACGCAGAACTCTGGACCACACGCGCTGGGATGCAATCATGACATTCTGTGCTACCCAGCACCCGCGCCGCTTCAGCCAGAGCCTCGAAAGCAAGAAGGATGACGTCAGCACTCACGTCGATGACGTGGGCGTAGCCCCCCTGGAGCCCGAACTCGACATGGAAGTAGGGGAAGTTTTTGGGGATGCTGGCCTTCAGCCCCTTTCCCCGCGTGTCGATGATCTTCTTCGCGTTGTGCTGGCTCCATTCGCTCTCGGCCTCGTCAAGTGCCTGTACCGGGGAGGAAATCGGAGCGTCAGGTCTCAATGTGTTCATGTTTCGGGAGCTGATGCACGGGAAGCGTTGGAGCTTGTATTACTGGGACGCTCAAAACGGAAGCTTCAACTTCTTTGGTAGTTCCAAGCTTCAATGGATCGGCTCGTGTTGTCTCACACTGCTGTCGTTCAGATTTGAGCAAGATTTCTTACCCCCGTAGCACGGCTCTTTATAACAATTCAAGAGCAGCTGTCTTGTTTAAGTTCCCTGTACACAATTCACAGCAGTGGAAACGAGACGAAAAGCACGGAGTCGCTCTGTGGACCTCTCCTAGCCGCTCATTGCCGGACTCAAAACTGCATCGTCAACGACCATCCCACGAGCGGTAACTTGAATCTCCTGTTGCCCGCCACAATGATTGTAGGAAACGCGGCAAGGAAGGAGAGATAGACAAAAGCAGTCCAGAGCACTTTCCAGCTTTCTTAAGTCGGAATGAACTTGTTAACCCCTCAAAAGGACCTCCAATGGGCCTGCCGCAATGCAACCTTTCCATGACCAAAATGTCCACCCAAAAAAGCCCCAATCCCCAAGCAAAACCTCTCTCTAAGACCAAGATTCTCCCCATCAACACTGCCCGAACTATCTCCCGTGCTCTAAACATAAAACCTCACCTTGTTGAGGTAGAGCGGGGCCTGCCACGACGCCACCTCTCTATAAGCAAGAAAATCACCTTTAAACCTCTTTTAGAAAGCCGTGACTTCCAAGCAGAACCTCTCCCCAACGAGCATAATGTCGTCTTCAAATTGACCCAAATTGACCCGACAATTCTCGTGCTCTCGAAACTGACTCTCACCTTTTTGAAGTAGAGCGGGGCCTGCCGCGATGCACCCTTTCAGTGCCTCATAACTCCCCCTCGATAAAAAGGGTCCTCTTTCGAAGGGATCCCTCTCACCTTTTTGAAGTAGAGCGGGGCCTGCCGAGACGCCACCCCCGCGGGCACCGGCACCGCCTCCACGACGCAGTGCCGCTTCTGGCGCTGCAGCTGCGTGGCCGTCTCGAGGAAGAGCACCTCCTTGCCGTCGCTCGCCCACATTTTGACGAGGCACTTTTTGAAGTTGCGCACCTCGTCCCACACGTCCTCGTCCAGGTGCCGGCTCGCCACCTCGTGCTGCAAATAGGACGGAAGTGGGGTTTTGAGTTCCTGTGATCCACTATTCAAAGGATTTGTATATCTCAAAGCATCCCGATGGACTTGACGGCTCACACTTTAAGGAGGCCCTTTATGAAGTTGCACGATTCCTCCTGCAAGTCCTCGTCCCGGTGCCGGCTCGCCACCTCGTGCTGCAAACGATTCAGATTCATAACTGTAGTTTTTTGAGTCCCTAAGATCTTAGGTCTGGGTTTTTTGAGTCCCTAAGATCTTAGGTCTGAAGTTTGATCAAGAAATCGATGGCCTTGGCGAGGAAACATGTGAATGTACGCATCTCTTTGCACACGTTCTCGTCCCACCCATGCGTCAGCAGCATCATATTGACTAGGGCAGTCAGAATTCGAATACTTTTGAGTTCCATATCCTCTCGATTACAAAACAAAACCTTCTCGTTTCTCTCGACCAGAAAGCTCCTTGCAACACAACATGAAGAAACTGGGAATCCTGAGCGGTGTATGGCTTACCGCCATAGGCACAATGAAGCAGTGCCCCAGAACACGGTCCACAGGGGCGACAGAAACTGTACTTCGCAGAAGTCACAAAACGGAAGGCTCTTCGGTTACCTATCCGGTCTAAGTAATCAGTCGCGCGCCCTAACGAAATGAAGAAAATGGAACTTCAGAGCCGTGTGTGGCTTACCGCCATTGGCACGATGAAGCAATGGCCCGGAACAATGGTCCCGCGTGGCGGCAGCATCATGTAGACCTTGACGCCGATGGAGACGATGAGGTGCTTGGGCTTGCCCGGGTTGTCGAAGCAGAAGAGGCACCGGTCCTGCTGGCCTTGCAGCCGGCGCGCATCGGCGACCTGCGAAGGAGGGGAGATAGATGATGACGTCAGCGGATCATGAGGTTATTGATAAGCAGAGTAGGGGACACTACGATGACGTCAGCCAAGCTGGAGGAGCAACCCGTTTGAAGCAGATGAAAGGCACAAATCCTACTGGCACTGCAGCCGGCGGGCGTCGGCGACCTGCGGAAAGGGGGAGAGAGATGATGACGTCAGCGGATCAAAGAAAAATGGTGATTTGAGCAAGCAGGGAACACTTCGACGACGTCAGCCAAGCTGGGGAGAGACGAGTTTTTGCAGCAGAAGAAGCACCGGTCCTGCTGGCTCTGCAGCCGGCGAGCGTCAGCGGAAGGGGAAAGGAGGGGGGAAAAGGGGGGAGAGATGATGACGTCAGCGGAACGAGGCATTGCTGGTGGTTTGAGCAAGCAGGGGACAATACGATGACGTCATTTGGATGGGAAGATCGGGTCGTGGAAGCAAAAGATACATCGGGCCTGCTGGATCTGCAGCCGGCGGGCGTCCGCAACCTGCGAAAGTGGGGAAGACATAACGAAGTCAGTTGACTCAAGAGATTGTTAGTGATTTGAGCAAGCAGAGGACACTACGATGACGTCAGCCAAGCAGGGGAGAAACCAATTTGAAGCAGAAGAAGCACCGGTCCTGCTGGCTCTGCAGCCGCAGGCATCGGCAACCTGCGGAAGGGGGGAGGAACGGATGACGTCAAGCGGATCATGAGGTGTTGAAGACTCTGGCAAGCAGGGGACACTACGACGACGTTGGCCACGCCAGAAAACAAACGGTGGGTTCGAAGCAGAAGAGGCACCGGTCCTGCTGGCTCTGCAATTATGGGCGTCAGCGACCTATGGAGAGCGGTTACCAATGAGTAACCAATGATGCCGTCAGTGAATCACGAGATTGATGGTGACTGCAGCAACAACGAAAAGAATGCGATGATGTCAGCCAAGCTAGAAAGAAAGCGGCAGTTCTGATGCAGAAGACACCGGTCGTGCTGGCTCTGTAGCCGGCGGGCGTCCGCCACCTGGAGGAAGGAGGGAGGGAGTACGCGGATATGACGTCAGCAAGATGTCGGAAGATGACGACAGTAAGGTGGGAGGAGTTCATGGCCTCAGCGTTTTCGAAGGTCCTCATTGGGTGAATGAGCCGAGCAAGGAGCGCCGTAGTGAGGCACACGGCGAATTACCAAAGCAAGACGGAAATACATTAGAAAGAGGAGCGAGTTCACAGAAATTTTGCGGAAGCAATGAAGCACTGGAAAACTTCGCCACAAGCAGGAAAGGCCGAGACAACCACGATATTGGACATGAAGAGGCTGAAAGAAAGTTGGGAGTTCAGAAGCAAAGAACGGACAGTATGGCAAAGCAAGCGAATCCAAAACAGAGCAGGAGACAACCCCGCCCGCACCTGCTTGCTGTGGAATCGCTCCGCCTGTTTCTTCTGCGACCCCTTCTTCTCGCGCGACTCGTACATCTGCAATCCATCGTCATGCTCATACTCCCCATCCGCATCCGCCAACCCCTTAAACCTCTGGTCCTTGACAATGTTCTCCGCCAGGTACTGGTCGTAATCCGCGCCCCGCCCGCGCTTCGCCTCCGCCACAATTGTCTTCAGATCCTTCTCGTCGTCGTCCGCAAAATAACGCGCGCGTTGCGGCCCCGCCGAACGCAACCCCCCGAGGCCCGTCGGCACCTTCTCTTCCTCGCTCCCGCTCCCGGAGTCCTCCTCGACCTGCTCCGTCGCGAACCGGGGCTTGACCTTCGGACGCCCCTCGTTCCGTCCGTCCGCGTCCGCATTCCGCCCGGGAACGTCCGGATTCCGCCCAGCAGCGTCCAAGTCGTACCGCTGCACCCGCTTCGGCTTGCGCTCGCTCGCGCCCCCGATGGGCGCGCTCCCGAACGCCCCCGGCGCTGCAAGGCCCTGCGCGTCGACCAGCGGGAGCGTAACGACTTCCACGGAACGCAGCTTCTGCGCTTCCTTCAGCAGCTTCTCCGCTTCCTCCGTCTTTCCCATTAACTTCAGCCGCATCGCCTTGGCCGCCAGCTGGTTAGCGTTTAACCCCGGGGCTTGGTTAGCGCTTAACCCTGCAGTGGTCTCCTCTCCTCTTGTGCCCGGTTCTGAAGGCCTTGTAGCAGCCTCAGGTCGGCTTTCCTGCTGGGGTAAAGCGGCGGGGCTAGTCCGAACAGGGCCTGCAGCAACGGGCTCGTCCTTCGATTCCGACGGTTGCGCTAACGCGGCCACCATGCCTCGAAGCGCAGCTCGCTCCTCATCCAGAGCGCTTCTTGCACTTTCTTTCTCCTCCCTGATCCCTCCATTCTGGGGAGGCCCCCGTTCGGCCCCCCCCAAAACCCCTCTGCTCTCCTGCTTTCCGTTACTGCCCCTCTCGCTTTCAGACGCCCGCTTCTTCTCCATCCTTGCACCCTCCCCACCCTTCGCCTCGTCTTCCTTCGACTGCGCGTCTTTCTTGAACTTTGCCAGGAAGTTCCCGTCGTTTGGGAACTGGTTCATCGCCGCCGCAGCCCCCCGCAAAACTGCGGCGTCCGCCTCTCGCATGGGCCGTGCGCGAGCGCCCCCCCGCCACGAAATCGGAGCACTCTCAGCTGGCCGCCGCATCTGCGACTTTTCCGACTTGACGTCCCGCAGGTAACCCCGGTCGTCCTTCCTCTCCGGCCTCTTATGCTCGTCCGATCTCCTCTCCCCCGCCGGCCTCCTCTGCTCCTCCAATCTCCTATCCCCTCCCGCCCCCCTATGCTCCTCAGATCTCCTATCCCTTTCTGGTCGCCCGTGCTCCTCCGCTCCTCGATCCTTCACGCTGGTCGATGTGCGCTCTTTCTCTTCAGAACCTTTCGCATCCCCGTCGCCTTTCTTCGCATTGCCAGCCGGCCGCCCCTCCTCGCCGCGCCTCTCCCGATCCTTCTGCGCAAAGCGGTGCGCATATGCCGGCGCGGCTCGCCCAGAAGCCACGCTCGCCGTCAACTGCCCCAGAGAATCCCATCTCTCCTGCACGACCTCGTTCAAATCTTTTCCCTCCCGCGCCGCGGCTTCCTGCGCCCTTTTCAGCGCTTTCATTCGCCAGCTGGCCCCCCCGTCCCCGATCCCAACCGCAGACTTCGCCCTACCTCCCCCCAGTCGTGGGTTTGCCTCTGGGGGAAGTCCCTCCCCCCCTGTTTTCCAGTAGGGGTTGAGCTCCTTGCTACTGCTCGGGGGCTTGGTCTCACCCCCCGGCAACTTCGTCGTCTCGTCTAGAGCTTCCGACTTTGGGCCTAGAGCCGGAGCTGCTGTGCCGGAAGCTATAGACTTCCCCGGGGCTGTCATCCAGTCCAGGCCAGCTTCCTCCCGAGTAATCTTAGCAACCACGGGCTTGTCTTCTGTCGACTCTGATTTCCCAGAGACTTCCTTAACCATATCATCCTCGTTTTTACCATCATCCTTCACAGGGTGCTTCCCTCGTTTCTTCTTGCGATCACTGACGTCATCGCCTTTCTCGCTGTCCGGGCTTCCCTCCCGCCGCCGGTGCTTGCCGTTGCGCTTCTTTGCCCTCCGCCGGTCCTCATGATGACTGTCGCTGTCATCGCTGCCCGACTCGGCAGGCTTTGCCTTCCGTGTTTCAGAACCAAACCGCCTCTCCACCCCGGGTGCTAGCCACGTCAGCTCCCCAGTCTCCTCCTTTCGGCGCCTGCATGGAGGGATCTTAAGTTAGAGACCTAAGGGCACTCTATCATTTGCAGTCATATGAGACCACTCAACGTTGAATTAAGATGTGACGAGTTGCAAAGCAGGAAGTGCACTCAATAAGAAGAATGAGGGAAAGGTAGCGCCACATAATCAGTTTTTCAGCCCAAAATATCGTGTTTCAGAATCTGCCCAATCGCTGTTGGGGCACATCATTCGGCCACCTTATAGGGATTTGCGACCACCATAGAAAAGCCGGACTCGGAACTCATTTTCAGATTGGAACAAACGTAAGTACCACTGCTGGTAGCAAATAGCCTCCGTGCCTTACTGATTGGCGCCACTATCGCGAATTTCGAGCAACAATATGAGGCGGAGGCGAACAAAAGCATGGTGCCGGCTGCTCAGAAGTGCTCTCTGTACTTGCGGATTGGCGCCATCACATGCTGGATGTGATACAACTGATGTCTACTTGTGCCATGGAATATTGAGCTGTATTCTACTTGTCCAAAGCATTGCCAGGGGAAGACGCAAGACTAGAGGCACAGACTGCTGTTGCTACGACAAAAGAGGAGATATATACAAAAAAGGCTGCATGAAAGAACCCCCATGGATTCTGAGAGCAAGTGCTCCCTGCAACAAAGGCCCACCTTTCTTCCTTTCTCTCCCGTCGCTTTTGCTGTTTCTCCTCCTCAAGTTCCGCCCGTGCCTTGTCCCGCTCCGCCTCCTCCGCCGCCTTCTTCCGCTCAAGCTCCTTCAGCTCAGCTTGGCTCACAAAGCGGACCCCCGCCAACATGGTGGCCACCTCACCAGCACATCGGCAGCTTCCTGAAGAGGGAATTGCAATGTGCAGGCCTGGCTGGTAGTGCGCGCCTTCTTTTTTCTAAGTTCTAGCTCCCTCGTTCTCGACGAGTCACATGCTGACAATGACATGTGACTCTGTTTGTCCTGAGTGCAGCGCAAAATCGGAGAAGGGGAGGGTAGCAGTAGCCGTATTCTAAATTTGGTTCCGTGGATAGACGCTGGTCAACCACTTCAGAAACAGGTGTTTGGATGCCTCAATTCTCACGCAGTGGCGTCTCCTCGGAGACGAAGTAGGTAGAGATTTGCCAGCAACAAACACGAGCTGCTGGCACCTGATCAGCATGATTTCTCAGCAGATAACAGCAAATGCAAGCGCCACAGAAAATGGTGGCAAAGGGACAAGAGTAGGATCAAGGCATGACTGTTAAGAACAATGCTGTAGAAGTAGTTAAGACCGTGGGCTTGTTTTTGGCAGCGGGAGTGTGTGAGATCGGAGGCGGCTGGCTCGTCTGGAAGTGGAGGAAAGACGGGTGGCATTGGGGCTACGGAATACTCGGTACGTCGCAGACCATTTGATCGCTGAAAGCCTGGAGTCCTTGCCGCCAACATTGCATTGTGTGGGAGTTGTACGTGTTTCTTGTAGAGCCAATGATGGTGGTATGAGATTTCTGGTATAGTCCAGCGCCTGCCATAGAAAGCTTTGGTATGACAGGCACCATTCGATCTACCAAGGGCAGGAACCTTCACCACTGATATCTGAGGGCCCTCTGCAGTCTCCGCCCCCTCAATATTTCAACCAATTGGCTTTTTAATAACCTTTGCATGGACTGCGAAGTGCGAACATGTAACTTACCGAGGCTGTGGTTCATTACCTGTTGTACTACGCCTTACCAAGCCGAGGTTTTATTACCTGTTGTACGCCTTCAAAATCTTACTACCCACCGCAGACTTTAAAAGTGTGCTGTTTGATTTGTTGCCTTGCACATCTTGTCCACTAGCAGCCATCCAAATGTCACTGAGAACGACGTCTAAGGCCCCAGACACAGGGAAGGAAGCACAAATGACGAGAAACCCAATCTGATGCTCGGATGCTTTTCTTCCCACAGGCAGCCTGATTCTCGTTGCATACGGCATCATCCCCACTCTCCAGGACAACGACTTTGGGCGCATTTACGCCGTGTACGGCGGCTTCTTCATCGTGCTCTCGTTCCTCTGGGGCTGGGCGTTTGATGGGAATAGGCCCGACAAGTGGGACCTGATTGGCTCCGCGATAGCGCTCACTGGAGTCTGCTTTATCATGTTCATGCCTCGCAAGAGCGCTGACCCGCCCCCTGTGATTGCACCGGAACCAAGTCCCCTTTAGTGTGTGTCTGCACTTGAAAGCGGTGACCAGATTAAGAAGGCGAGTTGCTCGAGAAGGAACCTTCGGGACAGGCCAAGGAAACGGACAGACAAACCTACAGATTGACAGCTGAAAGCGGGAGGGAGAAGAAAGTAGCGAGTCGCTTCTCCATTGGAAGAAACTCCCAAAGAAGGGGGCAACAGTAGGCCGCTCGCCACAATGCCGCGCGAGGGGGTGGCGATCTCAAACAACGAGCGGGCGTTCATCCTAGCGGCCCTGCAAGCGGACCAGCGCATCGACGGCCGGGGGCCGTTCGACCTGCGCCCGCTGAGCATCGACTTTCTGGGGGGGTCCGGCCCAGTCGAGGTGCGGCTGGGGCAGACCCGGGTGCTCGCAGTGGTCGGGGCGGAGCTTGGGGCACCTTGGCCGGACCGGCCGAACGAGGGGAGCCTGCAGGTGGGTGCAATTTTTCAAGTAGTGCTTTTGAGGTGTAAGATTGTTGTTGTCAGGGTTTTGCGGATGTGTTGACTGAGGTGTGCCATTGTCAGTCTGGTCCAACGAGGGGCGCCTGCATTTCAGTAATTATTTGGGCAAATCATGAAGATTCTGTGGGGTCGAATGCGGGGAGATGGATGGCTCTTCAGTAAGAGTCTAGTGCATCTCTAAGTGCAGTCTTTCAGGACAAATCAGTCTCTTCTTCCTGGTTCTGGATGCTCCCATCTTCCTTCACTACGGATGCGCTGGTCGTCAATCTATATCGAGCACTCTTGTTGATTGCTCTCTTTTCCCAGCAGTAGGGGCTTTCTGTACAGCAGACACTGCGGCTCCGTCTCTTCTGATTGTTGCGTAGCTTGGTCCGACCTCTTGTTTCAGGTATATACCGAGTTCTCCCCAATGGCAGACCCGGCGTTCGAGTCCGGCAAGCCTGGAGAAGCGGCGGTGGAACTTGGGAGGATCGTTGATAGAGGCCTCAGGTGAGGAGACTGTGAAAGAGAGAGGAAGAGACAAGTTTGTTCTGGCTGGGGTCTTGAAAAGTACCGGAAGCTTTTCAGACATGTTATGAGCCATATGCGAGATGTTCCCTTGCATAAGGTTTTTGTGGTTCATTTTTCTTACTGGCACTGCAGGTAAAAGCATACGGTTGAAAGAGGGGCGCAGCTTGTGACAGAAGCTTGATTGCGAACTTTGAGACCCTTGTCTCACGAAAAGTCTGCCGAGACTACTAAGGATCGAACAGGCAAAGAATGCAGAAAGAATGAGAGGAGACCAAAGATCAGGCAACCCCGAGACATTCAAAAGCGGTGTGCGATGGCTTCTGCGGTTATTCTCACTGGTTAATCCCATAAAGTGGGAAGATCAAGAAAAAGAGAAGATTGGAGCCAGAAATGGGAATGAATGGGATCTGTCCCGTTCCTTGTTGTCCCAGTAGAATGCGTGGTGGCGAATGTGCGGTCTTGAAGCTGGGGATGTGAAGAAGGCAGTTGGCTGGCAGCATAATGAGGACTCCAAAGGATTTTAAAAGTATGAATACTGCTATCTCCCGTCTCTTAGAGCGCGGTCTGATAAACAAGGAGCCCATTCCCTGGTAGCAGTGCCACAGCTTACCTCAGGACTCATGCGAGTGATTTGGAGTCTGTTCCACTTAAGTCTGCGAACAGGAGCAGGGACTGGCGCAGCTTCGACTGAAGCCCACTCAAACGACGGGACGAGATATTGGATAATTTATGAAGCTCAAGAGACTCATCCAAGCGTACTCTCACTCTCGTCTTTTGTGTAGGAGCCGTGCAACTAATATGATATGGAGGCGCGGTGCGTGGTGGCACTTGTGCGACTCCTCTCCGAAGCGTTTACAACAGTGAAAGCTCGGAAAGTCAACAAACCCCCCAAACCAACGAATGCGGAAGAAAAGAGGGAATAGAAAAGGTGAAGTTCGTTGTCTTCAGGAAGAGCCGGGCGGTAACGACGGGGGCGTTCTGCGAAGTGGCAGCTCGACGACTTTTCTCAAAACTCTACTCAGATCCTGAAAGTTCGAGAGAGTCAAAAAAGGTACTCAAAGAAGAAGCTGAGGGACCAAAAACGCGCTTCATTTCCTTGTAGGGAGAGCCGTGCAGTGGATACGGAGGCGCTGTGCGTTGTGGCAGGCCGCGCGGTTTGGGCCGTTCGCCTAGACCTGCACGTGCTCGACAACGGCGGCAACATGGTGGACGCCGCGAACGTCGCCGCTCTAGTTGCGCTGCTCGCGTTCCGGCGGCCCGAGTGCAGCGTCGGGGGAGCCGACGGGACCGAGATCATCGTGCATCCGCCGGAGGTGCGTCGAGTTTGGCGCCTTCTTCGGGGCGTTTTCAGCAGTGCTTGCTGGTGCCATGCAGAGAATTGATGGGCAGTTCTGCTTGATGATGCTTGATGAAATAAGTGATCATGGTAGAAACGTCTTGGTTTCCGCCAATCTTTTGGTTGACACGTGTTCTTTATGACGTCACCAGCGTCCTTGCTTATGAATTGCAAAAAGGTAATACATGTTTTTGCTTGTTGCAAGCTAGGGAGTGTTTGTAAGTCCCATTTCTGATTACTATGTGCCCTTATGACTTGATACTGCTTGAGAACCACTCGGTGTACAAGTTGCTCGTGCGACTGCCAACGAAGACAGTCGATCTTTGACCTTTTTCTCCTTTGCCACGTTCGATTGCGTGTCGGTTTCTCGTCTGGAAAGAACGGGGCGGTGTCATGACTTTGGACCAGTCTGCTTTTCAACCCACAGCAAAATGGCTTAGCTCTCCCAAAGTTGAGGAGCATTCCCGCTTGAGTGTACCTTTCGTTCTTGGATTCGGCTCCTTCTTCTCATCCGCAGCAAGGAAATCTTGACGTTAACCAAGTAGAACAATACCTCAGCTGCCTTTTTTTAGCACCTGATAGCTGTACTGGTTCTGTTCTCAGGAACGCGACCCGGTTCCCCTCACTATCCACCATCTTCCAGTCGCGGTCACTTTTGCGTTCTTCGAGGAGGGCGAGCTGGTGGTAAGACTCTTGTCTCGCACTTCTAGTTCTTCATCTTTTCCGCACGTTCTCTGCTAAGCACTATCTGCATTTGATTCGAATCCGCACCTGTCAACAGGGAGACCTTTCGCAAGCGGCAGCCTCTCAAGTTCGTTCTCGTTGTGGCGATCCAGATTTCTGATCGAGTTGCTCACGCAATCTGCAATGGTCTTTGTCATTTGATATTAACAGCGTGAGCAGCACTTGCTCTCGATTCCGAAAACCATTCACGAAAGGTGCGTAAGTCAGATTTCAAAGTCAAAGTCGGAAGCTCTGATAAACACACTGGGTGTCGTTTTCTGCAATCGTCGTGTCTTAAGTCAAATGTCAGACACTACCTAGGTGTTTGAGAATCCGATTGTAACAACTATTGTAACCTGCACTTGGGTAATAGCCGCACACGTTCCGACGCAGGTGTTGGACCCTGTGTGGAAGGAGGAGGCGACCATGGGCAGCCGGATGACCATCACCGTGAATGCTCACGGCGAGATCTGCGCCATTCAAAAGGGCGGCGGCGTCGGGATCACTTCAGACCAAGTAAGGGTTGCTCTCCGAGACCGGGTTGCTCTTGTTGTTCAAAACCGCCGCCCAATTCTTGGAAATACCGAAAGTTAGATTCTATACATCGACGCTTGAGTGTATCGGGCTCGAGAGTCCGCTTCTGGTTTTGTCCAGTGTCGGGCTGTCTTTGCGGTCTTAAGCCTTATCCCACGTGTCTTAAGCGGCTTCTGAAAGCATTTTAGCTCAGGGTTTTGACGGCTTGGAAGTACTCGGGGCCGAGGCGTGGCGTTCAGCGGCTATGCTCCTCGCAGTCAGTCCCCAGCTGACCGGCAAACGTATCATGGTCTCGTCGCAACAATCTGTGGTCTTGCTACAAGCTAAGATTTTAACGGACATTCTTCCGTCATATAAGTGTAGTCTGATCTCATTTTGGCCCAAAGCAGCAAGTTGCTCGGAGAGCCGTTTTACGATTCTTTGAAACTCCGACTCCGCCGTTTGTTGATCGTCTTCGGCGCCTTATCCACTGTTGAGAAATCTGAAGTCTCGATTCACAAGCCGGAATGGTGTCCAAGCTTCTTCGTCGTCAAGACAGTAATTCTGTCTGTCAACCAGTCGTCTGAACCCCGCTTCGTTACCTTTTCCTTATTCCGAAGCGAAGCCCCGTCTCAAGTGCTGAGAAATAAGGTTCATGGTTCGAGAGGGGCCAAGCCTGGAGAACGGTCGGGGTCAGGGTGGGGGTTAGGGGGGGGATTACGAACGCTGAGCGCTGACTTTGGGATTGACGATTTCAGTGTGTTCGAGCTCTCAGCATCTGCTTTTATCTTCTTTCTCTTTGGACCTAAATCTTAGGAGATCCCAGATTTATCATCTTATGGCCCTTGTTCTGGGAAAAGTATTCCAGACGTATCCCCCCTGCTAGGTGCTGCGGTGCGCGCGCATCGCCACCGCCAAAGCCACAGCCATCACGGAGGAGATCCGCAAAGCCGTCGAGGCGCACGAAGTCGAACGTCAGCAGAGCAAGGTGAAAAGGCACCCGCGGGCCCCGTCTGGCGCGGACCTAGTCCTCTCCGGGGCCGATTTACACTCTGGTTCCGCCATCATGCTCGAAACGACGCAGGAAACAGTTGGGGTTATGGAGGTAGAGGAGGGGTTAGCGGAAGGGTTAGTGGAAGAGGATACCGATGAGGAAGACGAAAGCGATGAAGAAGAGGAGGAGATCGAGGAAACTCCGACACCGGTGGTTGGGAAAAGCAAATCGGGAGCCGGGGGTGCAAAAAAGGGCGCGGGGGCGTTCGCCGGGGGCGCGTCCACGTGGCTGGAGGAGGATGACGTCAGCGGGGCGCAGGCGGGGCGAAAACGGGACTGGAGGAGGGAGCGGCCGGCGGCCAAAGGTGCGGCGGCCTTTATTCGTGCGAATCTTCCGACGCTTGAGACGCTTGAACGATTTTTCTGCCCCAGGATAGGTTTGGAGCATGCATTACTGGCTTTTCAAAAGCTGCTTAATGAGGAGAAGCCACATGGCTTGGTTCTCTACTACAATTGGAGTGCTTGGAGGCATTCTCAGGCCATAGATAGGCATCTTCCTCTCTTGCAATTGTTGATCACGGCTGCTTCGTCTGCAGACTGCCGCTAACCCGGTTTCCGCACTGTTCCCTTCGACGTTGCGTCTCTGTGTATCTCCTTGTCTGATCCTCAAATTTGACAGAGCTATGACCAACAACGTCTTTCTAGCCTCCGAGCTTATCACACATCTCCCGGTTCAGCACTTTCGCTTCCGGTCTGCGTCTGTGCCTCTCGCTCCGACTGTGTGCCACCGGCGCATTCCACTAAGCGGAGCTGACAACAGTCGCTCTGAAAAGTGGCTTGCACTGACGTCATCCTTTCTCGCCTTTCCAGGGGGTCCGACCGCCGAAGCTCTAGACGAGTTCGACCAGGTGGCGGCTCTTTTGGGGCAAAAGCCTCCCCCCCAGAAAACCTCTTCTAAACCTCAAACCCTCCTCAAAATGCAAAACCCTGCTAAACCCGGAAATGTAACCCAACCGGCCCCCACGCCAACCGCCAACTTCGCCCTAGATAGCGACGAAGAGGAGGAAGCCCGAGTTGAGCTACGGGGCGAGTTTTCGGGGGGTTCCGGGAAGCAACTAGAGGCGACGGAAAGAGGGGGGGCGGGGGCGAGCAAGAGCGTAGGGAGAGAGGGGGTGAGGATGGAGGTGGACGACGAAGAGCTGACGCTCGAGGCGGCGGTAAAGCCGAAGGCGAGGAAGAAGAAAAAGAAGCTGAAAATACAGGGGGACGAGTAAGGGACGGCAACTAGAGCGAGTGCTTAAGGACTCGGTCAATGCGGGGCGTTTCGGTTTAACACCACTAGATACTTTTCTTGGAATTCTGCACTTGTAGTCTTCCAATGCATGCCAGCGATCCCAATGAAGTTGCAGGTTACGGGGGCCGTCGGACATTAGCAGTAAGAGAAGGTGGTGACCAAGTCTGCCAGCCAATTAGCTGACGACGGTATCCAGGCAGTAAGGTCGTCTTTTCAAAGCAAATAGTGCGGCAAATATGGAGCAAGCCTGGATGTACGGTATTTAACAGTGGTATCCCGACTTACATGTCCAAAGGACAACGGATGCCTGCTGTGTAAGCGCTATAACCTATAGATTGGGATTGGATGTATGGTTTGGGCCTCCTCATCGTTTGATCGGCCGGATCGTAGCCATCAGGAGAAGTTGACAAACTAGGTATGTACTAATCAAGCACTGCGAGATGGCGGTGGGGTAGCTCTAGGCGTTCAAGTGTCGAACATTGATTCCCATGGATGCCATGGAAGCCTATGTAGTATGGCTCATGTGGCTACGGCGGATCTAAAAAGCTAGAACATCGTGCGAATGGAATGCTCCGAGTCGCAGAATTACCACTCTGCGGCCTTCGTCGCCAATGCGGCATGCCGAGCATGTGGTCGTATAGGGTATGCACAAACCAAATTAATTCAGTGTACTGGCCGGTAGATGTCGACATCGAAGGATACTGGTGTACATGGGGACGAATTCTGCACCATGGCAGAATTTAGAAATAAAGCATGAGCTATTTAGTTTGGACTAGTCACTACACAAAGTACACTAGCACTAGTGCCATGGCGGGGCTGTATCGCCTTCGGCACTCATCGCGAGCCCAACGGGCGCCCGCTTCAACCTGTGTAACTGTAGTCTGGAAGATGATCACCTTAAAAGCCTGAACAGGCTGAAGCGAAGTTTGTACACTGGCGTCTGTCAATAAGTCAACAGGCGGACCGGCAAACGAAGCGTCCGACTTTAGAAGAGCGAGAGATACCTAAACAAACGCTTTGTCTTTGACTTCATAACTTTCCTGAGTTCATTTGCACATTCAGTAATTATAGGGGACTTTGCAAACCATGGCTCTAGCGTCTAGCCTGAAGCTGGCTTTTGTCTTTGCCTGCACCTTTCTCTGGGTGATCAGCTCCGGTACTGTTTCCGCTGAGGGCAAATGTGCAAGCGCGGGCATCTGCGGCGAAGGTGTTTGTGCCGCCAGCCTCAACTACTGCTATTCGAACGGCACACAGCAGCTGACGTGTTGCACCTCAACGTAAGCCTGATCAGCAAAGATTTGGTGCCATAGTACTGCACTGAAACTTCGCTGTAAATCTTGATCAGCTTCTTGGTTGTCTTGGCCTCTCCCCAACATGCCCTGCCAGCTTGCACTTCACATTGGGCTATTCCGCACATTGGCAGCATTGCGCAGCTGGATTAAAAGAAGGATACAATACTAGCTTCCTGGTTCTTTCCCCTCTTCTTTGGAACTAGGCCCTGAGCTCAGCTTAAACACACTCATTGTACACTCTGGTTCAATCTGGTGATTAGTAGCACAGGAGGTCTCAATCAAAGAGCAGCTTGGGGGCTGGTGGGTTGTGACGCATACTACTCGTAGATTTCAAAGTCTTAGAAACAATCAGAGTTGTCCACTTACGGGCCAGAGCAATAAGTCAGGCCTCACCATCCATGTGGAACTTCTGTTTGGCTTAGCCTAACAGATGCAGACGACACAGTGCAGCTGTTGGCAATGACGCCATCAACTTCGTAATCGCCTTTCCAGATTCTGTAGACCAAATAGCTGATTTATGCTTTTCTAACTTTGTACCCCGGTGACGACCCATTGCAACAACCTTATGCTCTCGATCATGAACACTACCTTACGGGGTTGCTGACATTTCTTTCTTCTGGAAAAGCTGGTGTGACAGCTACGGGTAAAATAGCTCTCCCATCTCTCACGTTTTCAGATGCGACAATTGCGACCTGAGCACCGGCCAACCTCCGAGCGCTTTCCAGACGATTGAAGTGAGCTCTTGTCCTCTGAAGCCTCCCAAACCCGATGAGATCCTTTATCAGAGCTCGTCAAGCCATTACCTGTATGATAACCAACCATCTCGCGCATAATATCAGGACGTGAGAGGCCAAGACTCTTGGAAGCAGCTTCTGTTGGATCTTCAGCTCAACACGCGCTAAACATTTCGTTCGAGTGCGTCAGCCCCGCTTTCAAAACGCTCTTCTCAGCTTGAACATCCTCACTTCCCTTCAGCTTGTACCACCCTTGTACCTTGTGCCTCAATAACGTTATCTGATTTCTGATTTTGGCGCAATTGTCATCTTTTGTTTTGCAGCTTTTCACTCAGCGGCCACAGATTCCGGGCCCCCGCCACAGTGTCATCAACACCTCTGACATTGAAGGCGGGTTCAGTTTCTCTGAGGACTTTTTCCTTTCGGACAAGCTCCCAGCAGACCTGAACAACCCAGTATCCGGGGAGAGTGCAGGTGCGCTTAACGAAAATGCAGATTTATCATGCTACAGACAGATATATATTGTTTCAAGCAGGTTCCCTTGAAGATGTCAAACCTCGACAAATTGTTGCAGGCCGTAGACTGTTTTGCAACCACGAAAGATGAAGGGAAAATTAAAAGGCTTTGGGTTTCTACGACAACTTATAATGCACACACGGAGCAATCAAAAGAACTTATACGTAGCTCTACACGTGTTCTTGAATTGGCTTTGAGTAAGCGTGCCGGCGAGGCTTACTGAGGGCTCGTAGTAGTGCCATCAAGAATCATGAGCGGCCTTTTGGCACTTTAGCTCGAAAGCCTCGACTCTCTTTCACACAGTTAGGGCGTGAAGTTTTAGGCATTGCCCACAAAGCAGATGTTTAAGAGGTTGAAAAGCGAGTAAGAATCAGCGTTAATTTGACAACGACTGGGTTAGGTGACGTTCATCTGCTGATATGGTTGCCGTTTGTTGCATCTTTACAAAATGGGGGCAGTCAAGCTGACCCGTACGATTGCAGGGCTTGAATCAAAGTGTCAAAGTGACTTCTGATTACTCCGTCCTTTCCGATCCTTTGACTTCCAGGGCTGTTCCAAGGACACTGCTTCGTCACTGCCACTGGACTTCTTCCATTCAACTCTTCCGCCGCCTTGGAATGTGTCCAGAGCTTTTATTTCATCATCGACGGGGTTGGCACATACTACGACTCAATCTCATACAACGTGAGTGATCCAATTTCATTACTGCCACCATTTATCGTTCCGGAGCGATCCTCACCGGACAGCTTAGCCTGAGGATTCGGAGCAAGTCTGAGCCGCCCTTCAGCTGATAGAGGCCTGCAGAAAAGGGCCAGTAGATCGCACTTCCCCTGTTTGAGATCGGCCTGAATCTCACAGCTGAAAGTTGAAGATCGAACCCGATTCAGGTTTCTCTGATAGATAAACAACTGACATAAGTAGACCGAAACAATTGAAGGCAAGGATCGGAAAGATCCCAAATAGATCGTCAACGCGAACTGGATTGTGGTGTTTCTCGAGCTTCCGGAGTTTTCATAAAGCAGATTCAAAGACTTTGCGGCGCACGTATCGGAGATGCGAGTGACTTATAATCACCCGAAGTTTGACACATCGATTTAAATTGTCTTCGCATCGGTAATCAACGAGCTGGATGGTCACTGATTATCTTTCACGGAAGCTTTTGCCACCTCAAGTCTTTCAACCGCTCCCCAAAGCTCTGCTCCTCACCCTAACTCCTCCGATCGCGAGGCCCCTCACGTGATCAAGATTCGGATATACCAGGTGTGATCAAGCTGTACGACGGTGTTAGGAAGCCGCTTAACAATCGGATTCGCTAAGCGTCCGTGCCTCTTCCCTGTACTCGAATCTAAGAAGAATAAGTTTCGTTCTGTCTTTGCAGGCTCCGTTCTTTTACAGCGACGCCGTGAGCCGGGGGGTATTAGTAGCGGGACCGGCAGGTTCAGGCTTGCCCGGGGCGAAGCGATTTTCACCAGGAGCATCGTTAGCTCCAGCGGAAACCACACCTACGATGGCGTCAAACTATATTACGCACTGTCGTGATAAAGAGGATCAAAGTGATTCGAGGATTGTAGAAGATGTACAACGCGAATGAACGAAGGCAGTCACGCGCAGCTAGCTGTCTGTAGCTTTCAGATGGAACATGGACGGGCAAGGTTTGGTGAGTCGGTGCAAGGGGCAGACTCTGCTTCCAAAACCTGGTTCTGAGGAATAGTACGATGTAAACTTTGTTAGCATGTGCTCCATTTGTATTCGATCTCTACCTCCATTTGCTAATGGACCATGTGCCTGATTGACTATGCAATCCGTTTCAGTAGATATACGTCTTCAAATTTAACGCTCATTCCAATTCGTGCTCCTCAACTATTGGAGACGGTCTCCGCTGATCACAAAGTTACTTTTCATATGGGCCCGTGGGGGTCCTTCTGAGATCATGAGATCGTAATCCGTCATGTGCAATATTGATTTTATGGATAGAGAGAGAGAGAGAGATCATCACGAGATTGTCATATGCAATATAGATAATATCATCTCGAGGCCAATACTCTCCTGATACTGTATCCCTTTAGCCCGGTGGCACCCCCGCATAGGACAGAGACGTATATAGTAAGACCTTCTGCAACTTCGACCAACTCCACATCGCATATTGCTGCGACTGCTTTCAGCTTTCACTTCGGGCTGGCTGCGGAGGACCGCCTTTATCACTTGCGGACGACACGTGTCAGCTGCTCGGAGAGAATGAGTCCGGCGCCCAGCGGCCAGCGCAACGTGCCGCAATATCTGACTCGGGACGCCAGATGGCTGCGGCCGCGGCACAGGGTGTATACATGGCTAATGACGAATTCGACGCCTTTGTCGTTCACATACTTTTCTCAGCCGAAGTTGTCAAATGTGGCTGACATGAGGTGCAATCATGGTCAGACAGCCTTCGGACACCACACAGACATGTCTGTCCTTGTCTGATCCAAGGCGCGGCGTCTTTTTGGAACGCAACGGACGGACGGGGGCCGTCCGTGGAGTAAGACATGCATTCGACACAACAAAAGAGGATGAGACATGTATTAGGCGGGGATCAGACTTTGTTACCTCACAGTGATGTTCAAGTGTGGTTTCTTACTCAGAATACACTGCTAACCAGACACATCGACATGCAAAACAGCTGCCAGTGGGCGACGTCGCATTGCTTCTGAGAGAAAAAGAAGACGCTTTTATAGAGCTGCTGGGTTCATGAGTGTTCTACATTAGTCGAAGCTTTGGTAGAGACGAAGCGTTCTTTGACGACTGCGGTTAAAAACGACCGGCCCAGCTGTGGGAGCTCCACATACTCTCCGACCAGGACCTTATTCTCGTCACAAAAATACCATCATCAGTACGAACACGATCGGGCTGCTTGACTGCATACCCCTTTCGACCCACGTCAATCAGTAGCTACTCCATACTTGGCCGTGTTATCAGCCTCGAACCCCGAAACTAATTACGGTCGAAGCGGCTTTTGAAAAGTCTTTGAAGGGGTCGTTCGTCCCAATAACTTACGACGCTGCCCGTCTTTTTCACAGGTTCTTCAGTGTGAACGAGTAGCCGTCATAGACATTGTTGCCACTGGGGCTCGTGGCAGCCTCCACTATATTCTGGGCTTCCCCCTGCACGTACTTGTACTTTCCGGTTCCGCCCGTGATCATGAGCGGAGTGTTGCCCGCGGAATTGGTCAGGAACAGGCTCTGCACGCGAATGGAACGGAACGCACAGGTGAGGCCCGGGGAAAGAGATGGGTTTTATTGTGCTTCATGGCGCCAGCGTACGTGGAGGTTTCTAACCCGCTGTTAACCCTGGAATAGTCCCGAAGCCCTTTCAAAGGTTCAAGGTTGAAACCAGGAAGCGGAACGAGCATCTCGCTCCGGGTCGCAGATTGCAGACAAATAGGAAACGAGGCTTCACTTCTAAGGCTGAGGCGCGCCAGATCATGTCAGACGGATGTGCCCCGCACATGAAAGCCTGGTAGTAAGGCATTCGGGAAGAAAAGAGAGGCCACGTGGCCGACTCCGATAGTGATCTTCTAAGGGAGAAGCACAGCGCCGCGCGTTGTTTGGACCGGGAGCCGCAGAGGGGAAGCGAAAGAGACCGGTCGACCGGTTAGGAGCCAAGAAATCACACCGGAAAAACAAAAAACACAAAATGCAAAAACATTACAGAATGCAGAAAAGAAAATAAGAGTAAAAAAAGGGTGGGACGTACCCGGGTGCCCATGGAGTCTTGGTACGTCCCGTCGGATGAGATGATGAAGTAGAAGGTCTGGATGCATTCCAGGCTGGGTGGGGGGAAAAGCAGGGTGGGGCCCGACGCGGCGGTCACCCAGCAGCGGCCCTGCACAACACCTGGTCACAGAGATCGCAGAGTGTCAGTCTGAGAAATTCGCAGTGCAGCAGACGCTAAGATCGACTGTAAGGCGGGCACCCCTAGAGACAAACATTTCCAGACGCTGACCTCGTGCGCAGGGCAGTGCAGCAGACGCAAAGATCGACTGCAGTCGGCATCTGACGCAGCTGCTCTGAGACAAATTTAGACACAGACACCCCAGATCTCAAGAGTCGCTCGTAGGATAGTACGGGGGGGCGGATCCTACTGCTTGTGAATGGCAGACAGGACAGCGGCCGTGACACGTGGACACCGTTCAAACCCAGAGCTCGCAGAGTGGTCCATCGTGAAGTTTGGGCCACTCGGACAAGCCATCGGACGAATGCACACCAGGATTGGAAGAGCAGCCGCTCGAAGACAAACCGAGACAGCTTCTTTCGCGGCCAACGGGTCAGTAGCCGGCAAAGCAAAGAGTGCATAAGCCGCCTACGTTACGCCAGACGTGCACGTCACGAATAGAAGACTCAGAACTTAAAGAGAAGCGCTCAATCAAAAACAGATGCGCCCAGAGGCTTTATGCATCATCAGCGGTCAGGTTACCACATCTACACACAAGCGGAATTTTTGTTCGCGAAGACCGAGCCTTCAGTTGTTTTTGGATTCTGTTGGTGTTCTAGTGCTTTCAATCCCTGGTTCGAGTTCATATGCTTTCGTCATTTCAAGAACGGGCCTTTCCAGACAGACCAATCTTCAGCTTCGCTTACAGATACAGCTCTCTGCAAGCAATCTGCCAGTTTCAGATAGAGAGGGAAGCTTAAAAGTTTGTCGATGTTAGTTGACGCTGTATGATTTTCGACTTGACTAACTTAGTCGTCTAACCTCAAAACCGGCAGGATGCTTGAAAAGAGCTGTAGATATTGCAATTTCGAACTCAGACAGTTGTGAGGCGCCCACCTGCAGTCTCGGCCTTTGTGTAGTTGTCCAGATTGGAAGGCAGCGCTGTGAAAAAGTCCAGGCTGAAATTGAAGCCGTCCTCGATCTTGGCGTCACTGCCCCCATACTCCGCAAAATCTTCGTGGCGGTCCGACGGTGTCGGTACGCGCACCGAGTATAAAGCTGCAGAAAAGGAGCACAGTCAATAATTTTACTGCGCCCTTCATTTGTACGCCGGTATTAATAACTCTCAAGAAAGATGATAGTAAGCCAAGATAGAAGTAAGCTCCGACTAACACTAAAAACCCCAACCTTAATTAAAAGACCCGCTTCGCACACCCGTACCCACCCTAACCACCATACTAACCCTACCCGTCACAGTGCGGTTACCTTACTATTATCTGGGCTTACTATCATTCGTCTTGGTTTTATCCGGTTCCGTGTCCTCTGCTGAGGAAGTTAATAAATGTGTGGACATCAGCTTCTTCCACAGCCCAACCGACGAAGATGACAAGAGCCATTGGGTTTTGCGTGTAAGAAGGGTGGGTTTGAAGGGTGCCTGACCCGGAGCAAAACTAAATCGTCTCGTAGAAGGCTGCTGAATCGAAACGGACCAGGTGATATGTTGCTTGAGACTCAAACTGTTGGGCTCTCGAGCGTAACTTATTTGATGCACAATGTGAATCCTTCAGCCCAAAGACCAATGCCTGCATGAGGTGAATTGCAGGAAGGGAATGCTTCTTGTCAGACAAGGCAACTAGCTGGAACTCCTTGGAGGCAGCCACCACAAACAAAGCCCCGCGGTTTCATTCAAGATCCCTTCGCAGCAGTATGTTTTACTGTCCTTCAACCCAACCAGACAAGACCGCCCACATTCTATAGTAAAGTCCTGCCAGAATGGTTTCTTAGAGAAAGGAGGTCCGTTTTCAGCAATTATGTCCCGCATCTGCCCCTTTGGAAGCTTTGGCTAGAAGGATGATGATTGGGTGAGCAGATAAATTTTACGATCATCTGGAATTCCCCTGACGCCAGGCTTGTTGGCGGAAGGCCCGTAGCCAGATCGCAGTTATCGCAGCTGCAGGATAGTAAGACAGAAAGTTGGCAAAGCTGAGAAGGCTCTTAAAGGGAACTGAGTTACCTCCCTTGCACGCATTGCAGTCATTGTCGTTTTAGTAGCTACCTCGTGTGGCCGAAACGACATCATGGTCCTTGGAAAAGAGGACTTGCAAATTCAGTCTGGAGGCAGTTCCAGCTCGCTAGCACAGGCTGAGAGATACCTTCATCACGACATCAAGAAAGCTTCCAAACAGACATTCCATAAGGAAACAATGTGTCAGCGCAAAAGAGGGGCATGAAAGGAGGCCTAAAACGGAAGGGCTTACGTGGAGACGCAGCACGTCAGTTTGGTGCCACTGGCATCATAGCAGTAGTTGTAGCCCGAGGCGCAGCTGTCTACCGCAGCGGCCGGCTCTGCGAGTGAGATCAGCACGCCCGCAAGCAGCGCGCACGTCAGCAGCATACGGAGGGGAGCCATTGGGAGAGGTGATGAGAGCTCTTGGCCTTGAATGAGGCAAACGGTTAGACGCCGGCCTACTTCTTCTCCAATGCTTAAATATGTATTATGAGCGTGCCCTTCGAGCGGAGTTGCTGGTCCTAATTACTTTCTGCTAAGCACACTGAGCGGACCGCACAGCTCGCACTAAGGCGCTTCTTCAAATTTGAAGCTCTAGCTGCTATTATCTGCATACGCTATATTGCTTTCAGAGCGTCCACCTGACCGTGACTCGACCAGCATGTCAATACCTGAGTCTGATTGGTATCCCGAGTCCCAAAGGCCTACTCAGGCTACCGTTAATACCAGAATTTCTGCCAGTGGCAGAATGCAAACAGGACCGAAACAGGATGTTAAGAAGTGACTTCACAGGGTGTTCGGAAGTACTGTACCTGGCCCTGGCTTGTATGCAAGCTTAGCAGTCTTCAATTGAGGATTGCGAAGTGTACTGGCATGACATGGAAGTTGGAACGTAGGTACAACAGGGTTCAGGTACTGTAGACTGAACTACAACAGTCTAACGTACTCCTTTCCATCATGTGCAGTAGGTGTATGGTAGGCTGGCGGGCTGCATTATTAAACTATTTCAACATCTGCCGGGGCCAGGACTCAGGAGGATTCAGGTCGCGCTGCATTAATCCAGGCACGGTGACGGCAGTAGGTATGACCCGCGGGCCGCCGCAGCCTCGCCGGCTCGTGTGCAAGTTAGTGATCCGTGTGACCAGTAAAAAAGATGATGCAGATGCTGAGTTCTGATGCTCTGACGAATTGTGTGCCACAAAGCTTTGTGGCACACTTAAGGCAGCGCACTGCGCAGAGGACGCAGCATGTGACTCCCGTCAGTCACATAGCTCGAGCCAGTGATGCATGTGTGATACATGCACACTGCACAGGTACTGCGCTCGGCAGAGCCTTATGAGAAACGTCAAGCATGTTGACATCAGGAGATACGTACCTATACGGTATCAATTGTGGGAGGTACCCAGCTGTAGGTAGGTTGAAGTACCGACGGTACCTATACTACCTAGTTTCTCGATCAGGCTTTGCCAATCACAGTGGGTACCACAACCCAATCTACGAGAGAATACGGTACCTGCCATCATGACACCTTTGAAAGTCTGTCTGAGTATCTACCTGGTTATAAAAGGACCAGCTAGAAGTCTCATGTTGGCCAGGACCGGCCTGTACGGTGGCACTGGCATCATGCACTCAGCACATTTCAGTACCGTACTACCGAAGCATATACGGTATGCAGACCAGATCCTCATTGATTCCGGCCTGACTCACACCAGTTTGATTTTGACCAGTATCGTCATATCCGACCAAGGACTTGACCAGTAAATTCGAATTCACGGTACTGGTAACCGTAGACGGTAGTACCTAGGTCGGGACGGCCCAGGCCCAGTTGTCCGTGCCCGGGAGTCGGGACGACCCGATCGGGCTCGGGCACATGGCAAACTCAAAATGAACCCATTCGAGTTACAACGTACGCCGAACTTTCGCCGCATGCAGCGGCCGGAGGTCCCGATTCCGGCCGGATAGTCGGACTCGGGAGAAAGCAAAAGTCGAATCGGGTCGTAGAGTGCCCGCCCCGAGGGGCATCGGGTTCGATTTGCCTCTGTGCAACCCAATTTAACATGGGTCCCGACTCCCTGGGGGACCCATATTAAATGTCCCTGGTTATCACCTTCCAACTTCCAAGTTCCCATATCGACGCGCGGAGTAATGCAGCGTCGTCGACTCGTGCGGTACGGGAGACAATTAATTATCGATCCGCTTCGAGCGACGCCGTTCTACGTGCGGCCGCTCTGCCATGGCCACGCGATGAGTTGCGCCACGGTTCACAACTTCACTATGACGTCTTGAATTTACAACCACAAAAGACGGTAAAATGATTGGACCTGCAAGTCGCCCAACCCCGTGCGGCGGCGCGCAGATTTGGCACATATCGTCGAGTCCGCCTTCGATATGCCGACTGATCACTTGACGTAAACGCTGTAACGCCAGTCGCCAGCGCGCTGGCAAATGGACAGGCTCACGGCCGCCGCTCACCTTTAGGCAGTGCTTTACGAGCAACCTGGATTACATAGTTGTGTCAAAAGCTCACCCCTGTCACCTGGACATATAATACTGACACAAGTAGGTTCCCAGTAAATTTCTGGATTTTATCGCCGATTTTCCGGCCGTTCATGACCAAGAGCCGCCACCATGGGCTGCCTGAGTCCTGACTCCTGACTCCTGACATGTTGACTTCGGATGATTGAGTTGCGTCACTGGCCCGCCACTACGGCCTCAATACCGTAGTACCTACCGGTAACCGTACCATCTGCAGCAGTACTCAGTGGTACCGTACTACCTACATTAGTACTCACTGCTCAGTACTACCTAGGCAGTTATGCAGTTAGTACCGGCGCGCCGCACGGCGGCAGAGTCCTGGTCTCATAACCTATAAGGTTGGGTACGTACCGGTAGTAGCCTGCACGGCCGATAATGACCGGTATAAGCTGGTCCTACAACTCACTCGCCACCCTCCTCGACTTGATAAATGGGGGAAGCAGTGTCGCTCTCCCGTCGCTCTTCGAAGCCTATTACTGTGTGTGATACTGCACACAGCTGCCGCTTCTAGGATACCTACCGTAGTCACGCCATTGCCACTGCTAAGAAGCCTTCAGAATTCTGGCCTCTCCTTTGATTCAAACAAACTCGGAAGAAAGACTGAGAAGAAACAACGCACTGCTCAGCTACAGCAACAAGGTCAAAGGAACCCCACCACCATCGCGCCACAAGAAGCGGGAATCAGGTGAATCCCTTTTGAACGAGAGCAAGGACTGAGACCCTTTTTATTTGGGACTTTTTGATACGTGTTCTGCCCAAGCCTCTTGATTAGGTTATATACGTGCTCCTTCGACACAGTGGGTGAGCTGATGACGGGGATTTGGTGATTGGCCGAAAGGTTTATTAAGGGGATCGCCGGAAGGGCGATCGACTAACATGTGAAAGGCGTTCTGTGGCATTTTCTTTGCGTCGTGTTGCGTCTCCCGATATCAAGTCAGAAAGAACTACCATCAGTCAAGCTCTGTCTAGAAAGCTGCATCATTCTGAATGGTGCTTTATAAAACGTCTAGTGTAGCTCCTCAGTGGAACAAGAAAGATTATTTACGAATCTATTGGCCCGGAAATGTCCTATTAACTGCCCTCTAGTGTCACAGTTGCACTACTAAGGATCTTTTTGTGTCCAGAATGTAATCAAGTTCCTCAATTGTTGACCTTTGCATTAGCAGCAGCAAACTGTGCAAGCCTCCCAAGGGCAGGCTTGTCAGCTAGCTGATGAGCAAGCAAGCTGATAGTCATAACCTGCATCTCGCGTGCATGCATATTCTACATTGGGGAGTCGGATATTGATGGCTTGCAATGCAGACCTGAACTCATCCTATTGCAAAGGCCTTTGAATAAATGCCAGGCGGTATGATCAGAAATCTTGTCATCGTTCCTAGTGCATATGCAGTAAAATAATAATCTGGGCTTCTTCAGAAGAAATTCTAGATGGCCCCCCAAAAAAGCATTCAAAGATTCAAACCGTGCCGCGATCTGTGCCAGTTTTACCAATATAGACTGGCCATGCACAGTGAAAAGAAGCCTGTGCTGCACTATTCCTTGTTCTTCATCTGATCTCCCAGCAAAACGACAGGATCCAGACCTGTGTAGGCTAGGTTGAAGTCCTTCTTTCCAAGGCCGCACTGCGGAAGAGCAGTCTGGAATGTCATATCTGACCTGCCACTCAACCTCATCTGCAGATCTCTTTGGTCCTCTGGATGGCGCGCTCTCAAGCCCATCTGGTGTGCCTGACCACTTTGGTCATATTAGCTTCTTTCCTGGCGTGCGCACAGGCATTGGGGCCATGCAAGCCACAGGCAGTTCTGACGTGAGTCTATTCTCGAAAGAAGATGCGAAGCCCATATTTTCTACTCAAAAGATTTCTCCATGGTGTATCCCCACGATTCAGAATGAGAAGCAAAAAGCTTCTCGTTGTTACTCAGGAAGAAAGACTGTAGTCGCAGACGGAGCTGCCTGCAGTGCTTCCAAAGAGTACTGAGGTCAGTCAATATATCTGTTGAAGAATTCAGATTGCTTGCATTCTTTTCAGAAAACCAAATGGCTGGGATTCCCTTGCCACATTTGTTTCCTCGCTTGACATTTCCTCGCTTCCCGTCCCAGGCTGATCGAGACGCTGTCCGCGAGCCGCACCCCCCGCCACACGTCGTACCCGAACCACCTCAACACCAGCAGCAGCCTGGTCCAGCTGGGCGACTACATAGCTTATAACAACGACATATTCGATATCACCAACATCACAGACCCGGGCCCTGACGGAAACCGGACGCTCGTCGCTTATGGCGCCGGGCACTGCACCGTCGTCCAGGCGCCCGTCCCCGCAAACGAGACCAACTTTGCGCTCTTCTGCCACGAGACGTTCGTGTTCTTCGCCGGGCAGTATGAGAAGAGCACCCTCGCGTTCCAGCGTGAGTGACGTCTTGTTGTGATTCCGCTGAAACGTGGTTTGCAGACAATCTCTGCATGCTCTTTGCTTCGACCAACCTTTTTGAGTGTTTGGTGGCCACAATCAGAAGCTTGCTAACAGCGCCATGCAGTCCAAAACTTGGAGGCTTCCTTCTCTTGGTCATTCCTCTGCAAATCGGTTTTCGGGGACGGTAAGAGAAGAGCACTTGGGGCCAGCTTGAGCCGGTTATGTTTAGCAACAACTTAGAATAGCTCGACATCGAGTCGAAGAATCTCTACTTTTTCTTCAAGCGTCTCTACCTACTCACAGCCGTAGCAACCTTGCGATTTCAAATGAAGCTCAGCAAACTCCTCACAAACCCGTCATCAACCCCGTCAGGACTAGGGTCGTCGTACGTAATCACAAACCCAATATTAAACCCATGAAAAACCCATCAAAACCTCCTCACAAACCCTGTTTGCAGTAATCGACGGCTTCACCGCGCTGCCCCAGCCTCCAGATGCGATCCTCGGCGGCAGCGGCTACTTCTCCGGCGCAACCGGGCAGATCACATACGTGACGAGCCCTTATGCAAACGTCTCCGTCAACGGCGAGGTCTACTTCTCGGTGTCCCTCTGTTGATTTGAGCAAGTAGGTCGTCAATCTTAGACTACTGTACTCGTTGATTTCTAGGTCATTTCTGTAGCATATTATAATAAAGCAGACCCGGGTTTAAGACCATATCTTAGGCCAAGTACTTCAACGCGAAGGGTTCAAGCCCGTTATCGTATAGAGCCCTGGTTCAACACACTCCGGTCTCGAACGGGTAACGGCACTTAGCGTGATCTTGAACTCACAAGGAGGAGCTACCTGATCTGAGAATGTTTCGATCTCAGTGGACTTAGAACAGGTGGAAGCCGAGAAAACTAGCATGGACTGAGGTGTTGTTTCGGATCCTGAAATAGCAAAGGACCTTATTATTGCCGGGCCATTAGCGGATACGAGACAAGCAATTTGAAACCTACGAGAAGCTCATATGACGCGTCGAATATCAATGTTGAGTGCGAATTTAAGAGTCGAGGCTTATGCTTTGAGGCAGATCACAGGCAGGCCTTCGTAGCTGATGCTAAGTAAGTGACGATGATGATTCAACCGGTTCTCTCATGCTCATATGAATGATTGCCCGCACATGAAGCAAGTCGTGATGGTTCATCGTATGCAAGAACAGCTGAAAGCGCTAGCACACAAGATGTTGATGGTGAAACGGGCTGCCCCGGCCCGCATCGACTATGATTCAGACCCGGGTTTAACATTGAACGGAGTGGGCAGCGGAACCGCTTTGCTTTTAAATCAGACCGGGATAGGCATGCAATTCGAATCGGTCTGGTCTTAAACATATATATCTTTCGGTTTAAGGCCGTTTCAGACCTGAAAACTGAATATTTAAGGCTGAAATTATCTCGAAAGGAAGCAATAAAGGTCGAAATAACCTTATGCTCGCTTCATAGATTCGGGGCAAGCTTTGATGCTATCACGGCTGGTATTGTTTGTCGGTCGTGGTTGTTTTTTCGTTTACGATGTCCGTCAATTTGGTCAGAACGATCTACTAGACTGCAATGAATGCTACAGGAAATTCTGCCAATACTAGCTACCCCGGAGTACGAGTCGAATAAGAGACTGGCTTTTTACCAGGAGACGGCCGGCCTATTTATCTCGCCAACAGCTTCCATCGACCTCTTATCAACCACAGCGGCCTACTTCTGTGGTGCAATCTTGCGGCGTTTCGCTAGAGTTGCGACTCAGGAGCGCGCGCGGCCCATCAATGACCATCCCCAGTGGACTGGAAGCTCGCCCACTGAGCAGAGCCATTGCTTAAAATATGGTGTACTTGGACGGGATGGGGACGTCTCGGCAGTCCGAGTCGGTCTTCGTGAGTGCCGCATCGACGCGCGCGCGGTGCCCGCCCAGCTTCGGCCCCAGGACGGCGGCTCGGACCCCGGAACCGATGACCTGGAGCAGACTTCACAAGTTTTCGAATGACGAGTCCCTTGGAAGCTGAAGATACAGGCCGGCGGATTTGCTCGGGATTTGCTCGTGACAAGAGACTCGTTTCTGCAGCCGCATCTGAGCTCCGAATCAGGTGCACCAAAGTGGAGAACCAGGCCCTTTGACGAAGTCCTAGTCCGATGTTTTCAAAGCTTTACCCGAGCATGTCTGTGCCGCGCCGCCAGGGCGAAAAATGAAGTTTGGAAAATTGGATAAAGTCGCACATCGAGGAAGGATGAAATTAGGGAGCGCACTAACAAACCACGGGAGCAGAATCGGGGGACGCGGTTCACCCGTTAGGCGTAACAGCCCCGGAGTAGCACGGAAACGGAACGAAAAGCAGTGAGTGGGCCAGAAGAAGTGCACACGTGGACGACGTTTAATAGCCAAGACCTGCTTTGAACTGGTTGCGGTCAACTGCCGATCGGACATTGTCTTGAAGTGGACCAAGCGGAGCCCCACTTTGGTTCAATAAGAAAGTAGAACAGTCTAATCGAAGACGAGAGGTCGATTCGAGCCCGCGATTTGAGCACGCGCGGAGAAGCCAGAAAGGAAAGGTTCGGAGACGAATCAAAGGTGGAGTTGAAAGGGTCGGACGCACAGTTGGAAAATGACAAAGACGCTAAGAAGCGCAACGAGGCCGCCGAGCAGAAGCAAACCGGAAGCAGAACAGCAGCGGACGGAATGGATAGAGGAAAGCCGTAAAGGAAGCTAAAAATGCACCGTCGCGAGGAGGATGTTATTCTGGCGCGCCTCAGTAACGGAAATTACAAACGAAACGGGAATCCAGATGCAGATTTGATAGCAATAGAACGAGCCCAGTTGGACTTCGATCAGTCGACAACTGCGCGTCCGGGAGAATGGTCTGCGTGGGGCTTGACAAACGGCTGCGTCTTTTCTTTGTATTCTAGAGGTGGTACGCCCCCCCTCTCCCGAGCTAACTTCTGCTCTCCGCCGTTTGCAAACCCCTCCCCGGTGAACGGACCACCGGGCACACCCTCACCGTTCCGCACCGCCCCTCCCGAGCTGATTCTTGCTCCCCCCGTCCGCAAAGCCCTGCTCGGTGAACGGACTACCGGGCAGACCGTCACCGTTCCGCGTCCCGCCCCCCCCAAGCACTTTCTGCGCCCCGCCGTTTGCAAACCCATCCCTGGTAAACGTGTCACCGGGTAGAACCCTCACCGCTCTGCGCGCGCCCCCCCCCGAGCTAAGTTTCTGAACCAGGCCGTCCGCTTACCTGAGCCCGGTGAATGGACAACCGGGAGGCCCTCAACTCTGCGCTTCCTCCCTACTGCAGGCTAAATTTCCTACCGGTTCCAACGGTCCTGGAATCCGATCTGCTTGAACAAGATTCAAACACCTGGCTCCTTCATTCTTTGCCGTTTACTTTTCAAGCTTACAGTCGTGGGGCGTTCCTGCATTATTCTCAACTGAACGGTCATTCAAAGTGTGGCTGCTTCCATCGCTGAGAGGCGAGACGTGCTTATTCCAGGTGTAGTAACGCCATGATAGGATTTTTATAGGCCAGGTGGCGGACGCACACGAAGCGAGGGAGCCGGACAACTCGGAGGACCCCAGCTGCTTCATCTCGAAATTGTTTTTCTCGAAGCTGACGGACACGGCGGCTCGGTACCAATACGAAGCGCTTCGAAGATGGGCGGCCAGAGGGGGACTGGTCTTCTACATCTGACTGCAATCTGCATTCCTGATGAGCCTTGGTCCTTACAGTACGTACTCATCAGGCAGCCGGCCGTGACACTTGACAAGAACGGTCATCAAAGGCGTACGCTTAAATGCGCGCGCGCCGGCGGGAAAGTCGTTGTCCGAATAAGGTCCGAAGCAGATCCAAAGCGAAGTGCACTTCAGATCCTGTTTGAACCGTACAAGTTCGGGTCGATTCGGACACGTGTCGGACCGGGCCAGACATGTGGCGGTGTTGCTTCGGACCTGATTCAGCCCACTGGATTCGGACTCCGTTTGGACTCATCTCGAATGAATCCTTCTTCAGAATCAAACACTATCGGACCAGATTTGGATGTGGTAATCTGGTCTCAATCAGTTCCGATCCAGATCTGCATCAGCTCTGAATCTAATGCAAAGTGGATCTGAAGGACGGCAATCGCTCCATTCAAGCGCGCTTCGTCGAGAAGCAATCGGTACTTCAAATGCTGCATATCGAAGGTCCAATACGTCATACTATTGTGCTCCTTACTGTCCTTGTGTCTACTTTCTGCAAGCGACGTCAAGCAATTGGTCCTACCTCACGATCTATCTGGCGCTTGCGTCACAAGCCTACGTCACCACGAGGCTCAGTGCTTTCACTTCCAACCCAGCCTTGCTCGTTGCTGGCCGTGACGGCAAGGTCGTTCCATCGTTCTCAGAGTTGTTTCTGCGCACACCTCGAGCAGAAGGTGAAGATCTTAAACTGGGCGTAGGCGTCACGCCGGCGGCAGCGCTGAAGCGTGACGACGGCACACTAACAAAGTGCGCATCGTCCGATAGATCAACTCGCGCGTTTTTGCCGTCCGATTTTAAATGCCCTTGCGAGTGCAGACGCCCCCTATAAGAAAGTCGAACGAGACTCTGATGAACGCGTGGATGAACGGCTCAGCCGGGTCACTTTGCAATGGGCTCTGGTGAGCACCAGTAGAACGGAACGGGAGCGCCCGGCACAGCGGAACGGAGCTGAACGGGCCTGGCCGCGAAACACCACAAGAGAAGGGGGTCTGCACCCGTGCTGCACAGCGGAAGCGGGCCACCCAGCAGCGGAACAGTCGTGGGGTGGTGCTGCGGAAACAGGGGCTTGACGTACGCCACCAACAAGCTGTCGGAACCGCGAATTGCGAGCGAGCGGATTGATCTGGTTGCGAACCGCAGGTCATTGTAAATGATCGAAGTTCGAAGTTCGAAGTTCGTGAGATGCTTGGAAGCTAGTAAGCCGAGGCGCACACGAGCGCAACGGAACCAGAGCGCGAGAGAGCGGAACGAATCTCTGGCTTCTTCTCTATCGACGCTGTACACGAAGTGACTGGATTTGCTGCTTAATCAGTGAGCGTTTGAATTGATGGACGGGCGTTTTCAAAGATTGGGAAAGGTGCCGCCCAAGGCGCGCCCAACGGAAGGACTCGGCTGGGCGTCGAGCGGAACGGCCGAACGGGGCCCCCGGCAGCCCATCCGGGCTCAGCAGCGGAACGGAACGAAGCGGTGGCGCCGGCGCACCCAACCGCGGAACGACTTGGCCCGTGGAGCGCTGACTTGAAAGAAAGCCGGAGCTCGACCACCCGCGGCGGAACAGAAGCGAAACCGACGTAGCGGAACGGCCACGGTGCGCAACAACGGAACGAGGCACGGCACGTCCTGTCGCCGAAGCCGAGGCGGCCGTTGCGAAGCTGCGCAACCCCGGAGGCGTGACGTCGCCAAGTTATATGAAGCCGCTCTCGTCTTCCCCTCTGCCGCACGCCGGCGAGCCGTCATTCCAGTAAAGGCCGATATGTTGTGCGCGGCCCACGGGCCTTTCCCGCTGCTAATGTTCGGCGTGCGCCGCGGTTGTTGAGGACTTTCCACCGGGCGCTTTGATTGTACCCGGTGTACACTCTTTTGGAAAATGAGTTTGACGGAGGCCCAAGACTGGAGCCAGGAAGAACGAGGGGAGCGCCTCCAAACAATACGATAGCTCGATGCGTCCGCGAGTAGCTTGGGAGAAGCCCTGCCCTGGGCCGTTCTTCTTCTGTCACAATACCTCTAGAATCGGTTGTAGCTCACCCTCAGTGAGCCACGGTCACCGCATCCTATTGGGAGACGAAAAAAAATCCTAAGATATATAGCTGGATTTGACATATTCCTGAATAACATTCATTGTTAATCCTGACTACTCAAAAACGGCTTCCAGTTGGGATTGCAGACGTGCCATTTCGCCGCCAGCCAGGCGCCTGCGCAATGCGGACGGATAACGCTGATTTAATTCTTTGCTAAAAGGTATGATCGATCTAGATCCGGAGTCCGGTGACGTCTGCTGCTACACGAAGGGTGGACGGTGGGATCCCCTCTTGATATTTGCCAGTACCAGCGGACAGAGGAGTTCACGGCCTGGATGATGATGATGAATAAATTCAATGTAGCAAATTCTAGCATTAATTCGGCCGGGTCATCTCAGGCTCAGTAACACGAACACATGCATGGCTCAATTATCAATTTACTGCCATGCGCATCCGGCACATTACTGGTAATTTACGTACTTATCCAGTGACGAGTAGGATGACGTGAAGACAGAAAGCTGGCACGTCAGGGTCAGACCCCAGACTTGGAAGCTTTGGACGGTTGTGAAGGTACAGCTGAAGGACAGCCAAAATTGGCAAAACGAGACCGTACTACCGTACGTTCCGTACTAGTAGTGGTAAGTACGTACTCTAGGACTACCGTAAGTACATGGACACGTGCTCCCTCGGGTCTGGAGCTGGCGGCTGCTGCAGTGCTGTCAACCCTGGGGCCCGGGCGCATTAAATACGATAATTGCTGTACCGTGTACCTCGTACTACCGGCGGTACTGAGTACTGACGTCGGAGCGGCAGGGCCTGCCGCCGGCGTATGATAGCGCCCCCAGATCCGACCAGTAGACCCGTTACCGCGCGGCTTTAAGTACGACTCCTGTACGAACTCCGATGATTTCGGGCGCAGCTAGCCGTAACAACTTGTAGCCGTACGGTACTTTGAAAATCTGCACACTTGCATGTAGCATGCAGTTTTAATTATAAGACGCCTTACCACTGGTTACCAGACTACCAGTGCACTAACGTAATTAAATAGTGGAGGCTGAGCTCTGTGACCGGAAAGAAGGTATTTCTCGATCCAGTGAACAGCAAGCCCAGTGAACAGCAAGCATTTTGGGGTTACTAAAAACCCTTACCTAAGGAAACACCCGCTCCGCACCCGTACCCACCCTAACCCCCTAACCAACCCTACCCGTCTCCGTTACTGTTCACTGGCTGTTACTGTTCACAGTTCACTACCTAATACCTACATCGATCGGGATGGAAAGCCGGGGCGGAAGCGGCGGGCTGCAGGTAGAGAGAACTTCAAACATTTCACGGGGATATCCTGACTGGATATGCCCGAACTGCCGTGTCCACTTACCAGTACGTCGAGTCTCAAATTTCGAGTTTGCGTGAGGATACTTTATGGAGTTTGCTGCGCTGGTGTCCGAGTCCCGTTTCCGCACTTGGCGCGCCGCGCACCTGCATGAGAAAGAAAGCAGGGGTAGATGACGAAACGCGGACGAAACTGTGTTGGCCTTTAGCCAGCCGTACTTGTCAAGGTGTTCATGTCGACCCCGTTGAGTGCCAGTCACGCCAGAGCTAAATTAAATGCTAGTACTTAAGCTTACCACCCCCTTGGAACCTAGCTCTGCTTGAAACTTGTATTCAATATTGATCACACCAGCTTGACTCCGGCTCCTGTTTGGCTAGAGGTCATCCAAGAACGAATCCAAGCCAAAGGTGAAGTTGCTCGCATATAAAACTGGTAAAAGGGCCCTGTAGCCAGCTGACCTCTAGTTTCGCATTTGCGTACAGAATTCCGCGCTGCTCAACTCTCTTGCTCAAAAACTCAAGCTGCTACCAACTTTCTCAGCTCACCAGGCGCGTGACTTTGATCATGGCTGCCTCCAGGCAGGTTTCCGTGGTGGTGGCTGGCCTGCTCCTTGCGTGCAGCTTGATTGGGGTGAGCTTCTTGGCGTCAGAGTGTCGCTGCCAGCGCTGCCTCTGCTCTCATTCTGAATTCTGAATGAGCATCAGCCTATAATGCGAAGCTTTGGTGGGCAAATGTGGAGTCCTGCTTGCGTTTATTTGAGCTGGCAATAATCTCGCATCAGTACGGTCAGCTTACAAGGGCAGACTCCAAAATAAAAATTCTTGGTGGAGCTCTTTCTGAATGCCTGAAGCCCAATGCTGAGCTTTCCAGCTCTTGTTGACCAAGCACTAATACTGGGGTAGAGGCATTGATGAGTTTGCTGATGTGCCATGGTTGTTTGGTAGAGTAGATTGTCTTTCAACAATCTTAAAGAGGAATCTTGATCCGCATCATGGATGTTATACATTGGACCAGCTCGATGCCCCCAGCAAAATGTGCACCTCCTCCAAGGGTCTACCTGCAAATGCTGCTGTCTTCCTTTGCCTTCTACACTTTTCCCAGCCCGTGACATTTTAAGCACTGCAAACCCCCCCAATATCAGACCTTTGATATCGCCTCATCTTGGTACTTTTACACAGTGCCAGATAATAATGCAGCTTTTCTTTCAGATGAAAATTTCTTGCAATGCTGAATGGCGGAGACATCAACATCGGCCACATCATGGGGCTTCAATGAAGTCCCACCTCGGTTAAGCATTGTGAAGCTGAACGTTTGCAGGCTCACGCTCAGCCAACCCTCCAGAAGCTGACTTTTTGGAGGAGGGACAACGAAACCTATGGCCTGGCGCGCCACACCCCCACCTGGAGCGCAGACAAGCTCCGCAACGGTGAGCCACACTGTCACTATCCAAGATTAGCCAGGCTATGATCAGATAGGACCTTTCATATGCGACATCTCGATTCTTAGTCTTGTGGGCTGTTTTGAGGTCCCCTTTTCTGCGTCCAAAAGTATTTCTGAGTGGCCTACTGTCTGTGGTGTAACCGGCGGGCCCAGCTTTATAAGCGGAGCTCTGCACTTGAAGACTGGCAGCAATGTTAGTGTAAAGACTGCTGTGGCGATCCCAAATCAAAGCTGCAAAGCTGGCGCATCTCCTTGTTGGCGAAAATGGGCAGGACTCTAGCTAAAAGGCGAAAACACACATGTATTGTGCGTGCATCACATTTCAGAATGCCAAAAGAAGTTCATTGTCTGGCTCCTTCCTGAACAGGTGATACCGACACGTTCAATGACGACTTGTATGACGCTGACATGAGCGACATGACCAAGGGCAACAAGATCGGCTACCAGGCCGGCACGTGTACCCTCACGTCAACTGCTGGGGACGGGTCAGACAGAGTGAGTTGCGCTCTTGGCTTTTTCTTAGCATAAGCAACTTGTGTGAGTCTCACACATTTGAGTGCTGAGACTTGGAAGTGCAGCGACTTCAGTATCAGAATGCGCTTGCCAGTAAGGCTGCGTGATACGCCCCGCCTGTGCGGGCTCCTCTTTGCCAGTGTCAGTCTTCCTTCTCAAGCACTTCGCTGGTGTTCAAGCGGCGCGCTCGGTTTGAGGCTGCATGTTGGCTACGGCACGGCCTCTACACTTGTACATCCAAAAACTCTTTTTTCGGCCCCAAAAGTCCCTCCAGAGGAAAAACTAGGAGCTCTTCCCATTACAAAAGTACTACTTCTTTACAGAAGGATTCGCGCGGAGAGGTCGCTGCCTTAGGGCACCACCTACGTGATCCAGCTGACATGCCATGGGCATCTCGCTCTATTTCGTAGAAGCTGTTCGAAAGAGTGTCTTTGGAGAGGAACCGTTCGAAAAAGGCTTGTATTTCCAAAGGACTTGATACTCTGAACGCCTCCCACTTATTTTCACAGGGTACAAACATCGATTCTGAAGCTCAAAACAAGCATTTGCTGGTAGACTGAACACTAGCCTTGCTCAGCTTTCCGCCACACGCAGGCTTCCTCCAAATGCCAATAGCCCACTACGCAACCTTTCCATTTCCGATTCGAAGAGCTGCTAACCGCCTCCCCTGTCGTGTTTTCCAGTACGTCTACATCTGCTACTCCATCTTCGCGTTCGACGCGGGCCTCATCGGCGAAGAAACCACACCCAACTCGATTGAGACTGACATCATCACCTGTCAGCAAATCTCCACTTTCCGCGAGGGCGACACCATTTCTCTGGAGACCCTTGTCATCACGGGGGGGGGCGGCAAGTACTTTGGAGCGCAGGGTAAGATTGTCCTTTGCAATTTTCAACACCTTGCTTGCATACTTAATGCTTGGGCTGTTCCGTTTCCGGATTCCGGTGATTTCGTCGGTTGTTGGATCCTTGCCCCTGCGAAGCGGACACGTAAGGTGATGGATCATCCTTTTTGATGTCAAATTATGGCGCTCGGAAAGTGCTCCAGTAGGCTCGAAAGTGCTCCAGTGGGCGAGCCTGACAGGATCGCTCTTTTCGAGGGCTCGACAATACTTACCGAGTTTCACGACTTCAGGCTGAATGGGCTTGCTGCTTACTTTACCTTTACAAGCACATTTGGCTGCGCTCTTGAAGATGTCTTGACATCGAAAGCTGGTTTACAAAGTAAAAGGGTCACTGGTGATTATGAATGTCTGTCACGAGGATTCTCTGCTCTGATTAGATTACTGTAGCTAAAGCTTCTCTGTCCAGAATTCGAAAGAACTTCGTTAATCTCAGCAGCTGTCGAGTTTGAAGAAAACGACCCTTCAGCCGGCGACTCACAGCTGACGTTGCGAGTTGCCCGCGTCATGCAGGCGTCATGCACCACGATGAGATCGGCGGTGTCTTCGAGGCTTACTACTACCTGCCCTACGACGTCTCCGTCGACCCCAAGGGCCTGGTCTCAATGCCGACTAACGCCACGTCCGCTTAGACGCTCTCATATGGAAGCGTTCGAGAGAAGACAGCTGTGCCTGAATCCATGGCATATGGATATTGGCATATCAAAGCGTATCGCTTTTTGCGTCAAATTTAGAACTCGTCTCGACTCTCACGCTCTCCGTGATCTGTCCACATACGTCGGCGGTCAGTACTAGCGCCGGGCTCTCATTGGCACACCAGTGGTTGAAATCTTCTAGCTAGACATTGACTGCCGTTGCTTCGAGGGCCCTCCAGCTTCACTCGATTTAAGACTGGCCAATGATAAATCAGGCCGGATTGATCCAAGCGTTCGCCATAACCTCTTAACGCGTCACTTCACTCACCTAGGCAACTTAGAGTTCCCGGACACAAGCGCACTAGCATGTGGTCTGTTGCACTAGTTGCACGACCTTGTAGCACTTTCGCCGTATATGGGTCTCAGTGCATCGTACGAACTCAACATAAGTGCATTCAAGATTCAACTCTTAATAAAGAGTTGCATCTTTGTATATGGATGAGGACTGGAAGGTAGGTGCACATGCAATTGTACAGTTGTTCCTTGATGAGATATGTACGTAGGCACGCATGCCTGCACGAACCCGCCGCCGTCATGATCGCACGGCATATGCATGTACACGGACCTCCGATTATGATGCTTTTGGTCCCGACCTTCGAACGTTAAACTGAAACCGCGCTTGCATGATCAGCATGGTTGGAGTTGGGCTCTGGCGCAAGTGAGGAGCGCCCTTGTCGGATAAGCCAGAGAGCAAAGAGAAGGAACTCTGCCCGATCTTGCGGCGACACGGTGTGCGGAGAAAGTAAACGTCTGGTCGAACGAACTTGCGAAGCGATCAAAGATTGCTGCGCTTTGACTCGTTGAAGCCTGTTTACTAAGCGGCCTAGATGGCAGCAGCGCGCGTGACTCTACAGATTGAGCGTGCCCTATTCTCTGCACTAGTGTGCTCGAACTTACAAAACTTGCGCTAGCCAGCACTACAAGAAACAAGCTGTACGTTTTCGAAGCCTCTACCATTTGACGACTCCTAAACCAGATCGAAGCTTTCTCAACCTGGGCGGCAGCACGTTCAAAATCTACTACCCCGTTTGCGTAGCAAAAAAAAGTTTGGAGCCAGTGTTAAATCATTGGACGTCTCAAAAGAGGTACAGATTCTTTTGGAAGTACGTGACAGTAGTGTTTCCGACTGTTTCGCTGGTTGGGGCGGGCGACACGTAATAGCCTCTCGCTCCTGCGTACTTCCCAGTGCCGCCGACGATGGCCACTTGGAAGGGCTGGCAAGGAATAAGGAGAAACGTCAGCACACACGTCAGCATACAGATAGTGGTGAGTGCACATGCAAGCGTGATGGACTTTGATAAGGATCCAGCCAGAAGGACCAAGCACGCTGGAGCAATATGCCGTCCCGTTTTGAAGTGTCCCGTGTCATATGACCCAGGTTCAGAAGTCTCCTTTCGGAAGTGTCTTCCTTCGTTTTCGGACATCGCATCAGCGGTTTGAGGCGCCAATTTGCGCAAATCGAAAGGCAGCGGAGTACGAGCTGTGACGGAAACGATATTGCGGACAGGTAAACGTTTTTGAATTCAGTAGCGGGAAGGGACGCTGACGCAACAAGCTTTGCTGTGAGTTCAGCTATTCCGCCCACACCAATCCTAAGCTCACAGCAAACATCCGCCTGTTGCAGGCAAAGGCCTCGTGAATCTGAGATCATATTTCGAGAAAAGAAAACTAAGCAGGCTTGACATCATACGACTCCTCCGACAAAAAACTACGAACGTTTAGTCCACGTCAATCAGGTCCTTCCAGCAATCCCTCTCAACAAAACCTCAATGAAAATTCTGTACTCTCCCCCTCCGTCAGATTAGTTCAGTCATTAAACGGCTTATAGTCTTCATGGTGGTGCTGATCAGGTCGAAGGAGTGAGGCTTACTTGGCTCCAAGCTTGGCCCAAACAGTTGATCGTATCGGGCGTGGCAGTCGCCGAGTTGTTGCCAAAGAACAGGGTTTGGTGAGTCAGCACGCGCGCCCCGTTCTCAATGATGACCTGTTCATTGGCGCCGAAGTTGCCGATCACGGTCCGGTTCGCGTCGAGCAAAGGCGTGCTGGACACGTGGCAGCAGACGAGTGCGTCATGTTCCGGACACGTAGAAGCATTGGAGCGGCAGAACAGGTGGAGGCCGAAGCATTGTTAAGGTCACGGGTTTGGCCCTTCTACTGGCTTTGCATTTGATAGGAAACGAAACCATGCATGTTCACGTGACATTCACGCAACCAGGACTACACAAGGAAAAAGGCCGGAAGCCGAGGAAGCAGACATCCGGGTGCTAAGCTTTGGATGCAAAGCACGCTCCGAACACAGAAGCTCGCGTCTCTGAAGCAATTTTGGCCCAGCCTTCTCGAACGCACGTGAAAATACTATCGAAGCAGCGATCAGTTGCCTAATACGAGAAGTTACGCGGAACAGCTGCTTCGACCCCCGCCCCGACGGGCTCTAGATTTTTGGCACGAGCTCAGCGTTCGGAACTGATCGACTCGAAAGCCTGTGTTACAAATAGAAGAAACCTGACGTGCCTGTTGGGTGGAACGACGCAAACAGGTGAATAGACTTTTCTTGCTCAATCCGGTAATGTGTGCTAAGAATCAGCCGGGAGCGGCTTTCTGAACAAAGAAACAGGCAGTTGAAACCACTCCGATCACCACTGACTGGTCGTTGAACACAAGACGACTTCCTAACCAGGCCTTAACCGACCACAGTTAGCTGTGTCCCAAGTTCCGTGCGAGCATAAGCAGCTGACAGCTTACTAGTAGACACATGAGTCGGCAAACCGGGTGCCACCACCGGGAGCGGACGTCTGGTTTGCACAGCTGGCGCCAGCGTCGGACGCGTTGAAAACAGCGTACACAGTGAGGGTCTGCACCACAGAAAATTCTTGTATGGAATTCATTCCGGTTTGCAAGCAGGCAAGGAGTCGACTTCATTGCCAACCTGAGAGAGGGCCTCGTAGTCAACAGTGATGGCACTTGAAAGAAAGTGAAGCGTTTCCGTTCCTACATGAATTACCTGGATTATGAACGATCCAGGTTTTGATTCTTGGTGCAGAGAGGGGAAAATCTCTGTTTAGATGTAGTTGCGGATTTTGACTGTTATCGAGGAGGCTGACGGCAAAAGGTAGTGTCCTGAACTTCTGTTGACATCAGTGGAGGCGGTTCAGAAAGAAGGGGGTCTTTTGGGCTACACTTGAAAACGGCTGCAATCTGCATTTGGGAAGATAGTGAGCCCGCAACTCTGAATTTGGCGCTTCTGTCCTTTTGAAAGCAAAACATGCTTCATTCTTGTGATCCAGAACTCAATCTGCAAGAGTTCCTATTTGAGAGGTGTAACAAATTACGACCATAAACACCCTTCGTCTTTGTCTGCTTCAAGCTATGGTGACTTGGGCCAAAGCTTGTGTATCTGGACTAGCTCAAGAGATGGAAAAGCATAAACAGAAGAATATGGGATAGGATATGCACTCACTGGCCTTGTGGCGTTCCCAGATGTCAGGTCACAGCTGCCACACCTGCCAAGCAAAGATTTCGGTTTGCCTCAGTGATTATCGAAAGTCTCTGCTTCCGTAGAAGGTGCAAATTCAGAGCATTTCTAGGAAAGCAGATAATTTGGATTGTTGCCTTTGAATGAAGGTGGAGTACGATTGTCAAAGGATCTGCAACGGTAAATGGAGGCCGTTTTGAGGAGTTCCAAGTCGGACCTGATGGGGCCTATAATGTAGCTTCTGTCAACATCCGAGCTGCATGCAAGGCAACGAGCTGATAGGCACCGCTCAAGTGTGACCCCGTCGGCAGACCCTCAACCAAAGCTCTTTTTGGAAGAGTTCTGCAATTCTTTCTTTCCCATTCTACTCTGGCTTCTCCCTTGGCTCCTACTTCCTGGCTCCACTTTTGACATCGGAAGCTCAAGGTAAAGGGGCGAATTGTGATGAATTCTAGAAGCCCGGTCACTTTCAGATCGAAAGTCCGCAGCCTTCTCGGCTTCTCAGGTGGTTGTGGAGTTATCAACTTGCCTTCCAAGAATCTCAAAGAAGTTGGCAGGTGTACAAAGGAGCTCTGGTCATGCATCCCTGTCTCCTGGCAACATTGTGAAAGAGAACCCTCATCTTCAAGCTAAAGCTACAATTGACAAGGTCCTGATTACACTAGAAACCTTCTTGCAATGCAGGTGTCAAGCTTGTAACGAATCGCCTCAACTGGCATGTGTCCAGCTCATACAAGACACCAGGTTGTGGCGCAAAATGAAAAGCAGCTCTCACTCACGGTGAAGTGCAACAAGTCAGCTGGTTGCCCGTTCCGTTGTAGCAGGGGTTGAGACCTGCACCACAGCTGGCAGCTCCGCAGACGCCCGCGCTTGTGCAGCCCTGCCCAGCAACTAGGGCGACGAGAAAGCTGAAAGAGACCGCAACCACGAGCAGCAACGAAGTGGCCGCCATGTTGGCGTGCGGGAGCTTTGGAAAGAAAAGCCTAGGGGTTGATGTTGGTTATCAGGAAGGGTGTGGCTTCGATTGGGTGAACGAAGATTGGATTGTTGCGTGGGGGCAACTCAAGAAGAGCACAATTGCCAGATTGAGAGGAGACTTAGGTCCTTACTTCGAAGAGTTGTCAACCTGACTAATAGCAAAACATGTTCTATTGGCATCCGACATCCGTTGGACTGGCCGGACAAATGTCAGATGATCTGAATAGGTATGTAAACCTTACCTACAAAACCAGCAAACAATGTCACCGGTAGGAACTGGCTTCTAGGTAACTTCAAGTCCCTCCTACCTTCTCTTACCGTATATTATAGGTCACAAGGTGGCAGCTTTCGGAAACTTGAAAGCCAGAGTGCTGGCGTTCGGCCGCCGGCGCTAGTACTACGGTTGTACTACCAGTAGATACCCGCGGATTCCGCCAGCTAGGACCGGGCAATCATGGGAAAGTGCCACTTGGCGTCTGACGAGGTCATACACAGCCGCCCGCTTTATTGACGATGAGGACATTCCGAGGTAGGACAATGATGTCGCAGGTACGACCGTTTACTATATTAACGGTCTCTGTCACTCTACTACCTATACGACCGTTTACTATATTAACGGTCTCTGTCACTCTACTACCTAACATAAACCACTGAGACTACAGCTTCTTCCGAGCAACCTGCTAGTTTTATGAAAATATCCGAGTAACCTAGTCAGTCTGTAGATGAGTGAGATTAGTCTAATTTAGATGACCCAAAAATTGGCAGGTTGGTCGGGAGGAGCTGTAACCAGCCTGGTCAACTTCGCTGACCTATGTGCGCGGAAATGTGGATCGAAGCGCAGTACGTGCTTTAATACGCGGTACTGCACAGATGGGGGTATTGACGGTTGCAATGCAGCGAGTACGAAGGTTTCTCACTCCTCCCTGGCAGTCTGGCCAGCTGCCCTGATACGCACATGAGCACTGAGCATATCAGGTGCTAAGCTGCAGTAAACGGTATGAGCCCACGTACTGTTCGTCTATTTTTTTGTATTGAGTGACCTCTTCCTTAAAATGGTATGGCCGGCAACGTCACATGGAGGGGATTAAGCATTCTCGCCAGAGGAGAGAGCTTTTGACCAGAATCCGAGAAGTGAATCGCTTGGACACAAGGACTAGCAGAAGGACTCTTTCTTCGTTCACATATTAGAGACGACCAATTGACAGTTGTCTCGAGATGAGACTGTACCGACACTAGCGAAAGATTGTTGGAAACTTCACTCGCTTGCTTGAGAGTGCGCCTTCACAAGCTGCTCTTGAACGTCCCTCGTTACCGGTTGGTGGTCCATGTACTCCATCGTAAACTCGCCCTTGCCTTGTGTGGTCGACCGGAGGTCGGTCGAATAGCCAAACATGTTGTTCAACGGAACCTGCAAGAATGCAGAATACCAGTCAGTGTGCCGGAACTTTAACCTTCACCTAGGACCAAGGAGCGAAGCAGACATGTGTCAATCTACAGGCAAAAGTAGGAACGGGTTGCAACAAGGCCCCTTCAGGAGCCTTTTGAGCCGCCACATGCAACCATTCTTCTGGCAAAATCGTAGTCTGCGGCTTGAATGTTCGAGCACGAAAGTGTGCTAAGGAGCAACACCACACAATCGAAAGGAGTAGCTAAAGTCCTGAAAGCTACTGAGGAGCGCCTGCACTACGGACTCAATTTACAACCCGGCCACAAAGCGGAATACCCCGCCAATGACCAAGAGTATATTTCCGCCCTTAAGCCCTCTCCAATATCGTCCCATCCTGAATCTTAGAAACACAAGAAAGAAAAGCTCTAGGTGGTCCCGTGCCGCTTTCGTTACTTTCGTCTTACTGCAACTGACACAAGACTCTTGCGCCTGTTCCCACCTCTCTGCCTCCCAACTTTCAGATCACTCGCAAACCGAATCCTCAACTATTCACTTGCGCATTAATGACAATGTCGTCATCCTGACAATGACAATGTTCACACTTCTTCTGTCTCCAGATCTCAGAATCGCCCACATACTAGAGGGGGAAAAAAGCACTTACGTGCGCATTGATGACGACATCGTCGCCCTCCGTTTCGCTGCCGACGATGAGGCCCTTCCGCCTATTCACACCGCTGACCACGGCGCCCTGGAACTCCTGGGGCGCCTTGATCTCCACGTTCATCAACGGCTCCAAAATGATGGGCGATGCTTTCGAGTAACATTGCCGGAACGCGTACCTACACGGGTTCGGGCAAGAGTGAGCGGGTTAGCAAGGGGTTGAGAAGTGGTTAGAAGACGGGCAAAGGGCAAGGTTACAGGGCGCACTTGTATGCACGTTCGTCAACGGCTCCAGAAATGATGAGCGAAGCCTTGGAGTAACATTGTCGCAACGGGTACCTGCACGGAGTAGGGCGAGGGTTAGCGAGTTGGTTAGCAGAAGTTTGAAAAGCGGGTATGAGCTGGTGAAGACAGTCCATGGGCGATCCGACCTGCTGGACTGTGTATAGGTATACCTTCAAACGCCGGGCGCGTCTCTTAATCAGTGTTATCGCGAAGGGATACACTTTGACAAAGCTGAGGATATCGTCAAATGCAAGCTTTGGATGACGTGTTTGCTCTCCGACCCGGGTTGATCAACGACGCACAGATGACTTCGCGCGGTCCTGTTGTGTCTTGTTTCAGGTGCTGTCAACTTTGCTGTCACAAGTTCGGGTTAAGCGCGAGTGGAGTCAACGGACCACCCACATGGTTTGTTTCCCTTGTAGCGGCGGCCAGGCCCTGAAAAAACGGTTAACAAGATGACAAAGCTGCGCAAATCTTTCGGGAGAAAGTGAGACCAAAAGCCACTCACTTGCACAGAAAAGGAGGAGGAAAAGAAACCCGGAAGAAAGTCGGAGATGCCCCGTGACCGAGAAACCACAGAAACGGGGGCCCGTGCAAACCAAGGACAATCAACATGGACAGAATGATTTCCCGGCGCCAGAGCACTCACAAGACGCCAGCTTAAACGCTGCTCGCTCGTTGAAGTCCGCCGCGCTTGACGCCGCATCCCCAGCAAGGTGCAACCGCGATTGCTTAAATCAAAAGTGGGAACGAAAAGGTAGAACAGACCAAAACAGTTTGCTTCTCCGGGATCTGGAAAACTCACACTGACGCCAGCTTGAATGCCAGCTCGCCGGAGTCCACTGCGTGTAACGCCGCGTCCCCAGAAGGTGCAATAGCGGTTAGGATATCGACAAATAAGAAGGAAATGGAGAAAAACTAGGCCAACTCTGCGTCCCCGGGCCCGGAACACTCACACTGACGCCAGCTTGAACGCCAGCTCGCTGGAGTCCACCGCATGTGACGCCGCGTCCGTCAAGCAGATCCGCACATACTCCACCGGATGCCCGATCAGCGTGCCGGAGTTGGCCGCCTCCAGGAACCCTTTCTCGCAAGCCGCCACCCAGGATGGCGTCAGCACCTGCGTCAGCCGAATGATAGAAGAAGTCAGCCGTTGCTAGCAAGTGTGATGCGGAGAATCAGGAGGCCGCTATTGCAAAAAACGTTCAGTGCAAACAACTATTGCAAAGACCGCAGGCATTTGATCGAAGGCAGCTCCAGGGATTTGATATTCATTGAGACAGCGACGTTTAACAAGCTTGCGAACGGGCACCGATTGTTGCGAGCCACTCCAATGCTACACTCCTTTCATGTTGTTTGAAGGTCGCAAAGACGGCCATCCGCAAGCATCACATTGCATGCAACAGCGCGAGATCCTCCAGCGCTCGTGACTCGAGTAGATGCAAAGGGAGTTCAAAGGGTGGGCCTGAGCAGTGGAATATTCGCACCTGCCCGATGATTTCGTTCACAAACTCGACTTTCTTGGGGTGGTCTCGCGGAAGCGGCTCCAAATATCCAATAACCCGCCCGAACTGGCCCTGCCCGCCCGACTGCTTTTTGTGTAAGTAGTCAAACTCGGCTCGTCGCGTCACTGATTCCCGGAAATTCACCTGAAGAAGAGGATAACATGGGAGTTTGAGGATTGATGGTTGAAATGCTGGGGCTTTAGCACAAATGCTTCTTCGGCAGAGAAGTGACTCGGCGCAGCAGAATCAGTCCTCCGGAAGAGGATCGGGAAGAAGCAATAGTCTGGACGCAGAATGCCGAGAGTACGGAATTGAGTGGTTCAAGTGGCTCAAACGGTTCCTGTGGCCGGGACGCAAGTCCGCGCTGCGCCCGGCTCTTTTCTGATCAGTATGCTGGGTACGGAAACTATTCTACGGTCTTTGTTCGGTTTTCACGGACTGAAGGTGTGTGAAATCGACAGCCCTTTCTGGGAAAAACAACGAAGGTGGCGCAGCGGTGGCGTCTCGCAAAATCTAGAAAGGACCAGACACTCTCGCTTCCTAGTGGATTTTCAAGGTCTCTTCAACTTCGACTCGTACGCGAAACTCCGGAGGATTGACAACTCGAATGTTCGACGATCCAACCCTTCATGCTTACGTCAGAATCACCTGAAGTTTGATAGACTGGTTTTTAGAACCTTCAAATCCGTCTGTATCCGCAATCTCTACACGAGATCCTCGCCCCAACCCTCCGGAAAAGTCCGCCGAGAACAAATCTCACCTGGCGCTTGCCTACGACCTTTCGACATTGCACTGGCGCTTGAGAACTTAGCCATGGAAGTTGCCGGAACAGTCCCATACACTCCAGACAATCAAACTCGTCAATCCCCCCGCAGACTTCGCAACAAATTCTCACCTGCGGCTTGTTGACGGAGGCTTCCACCGTCTACTCGCCTTTGAAGACGTCGCCGGGCATTGCATCCGGATCGGACCCGTAGATCTCCAAAATAGACTCTATTCTCGCCGCCGTAGCGAAATCAACACAGAACAATCAAGATTACAATATAGAACCTCACAAAAGCGTCCCCGTAGAACAGGGGTAGCTAATAACCTGCGGCTTGCCGACGGTGGCCTCCCCCGTGTACTCGCGCTTGACAACTTCGACGGGAAGTTCCCGAAGCAGTCCCGTACGCCCTTCAAAAAGAAGCCTCATCGATCGCAGCACTGACACAATCCGACGCAAATGGGTACACGTTAAATCCACAAACCCTCAAATCAAGAATCGGAGAACAAATCTCACCTGCGGCTTGCCGACCGTTGCTTCCACCTTGTACTCGCGCTTGAGCGTCACTCGTGAGAATCCGCCGTGATCAGTTCCATGAAATCTGGGCAGAAACTAATCTGAGTCGCCGTGCTCAGGGAACCTGGACGCAGAAGTTTCCAACGAACTCTCTTACCTGCGGCTTGCCAACCGTCGCTTCCACCTTGTACTCGCGCTTGAGCCGCTCGACGTAGATGTCGAGGTGCAGCTCGCCCATGCCGCTGATGATGGTCTGCCCGCTGTCGGGGTCCAGGCTCACGCGGAACGTCGGGTCCTCCTTCTGGAACCGGTTCAGCGCGCGCGAAAACTGCGCAGGGCGGGAGCAGTGTGACGTCAGCATCTTAGCACCGTGACTGAGCCTCCTAGCTAGACTAAGTTGGGGGCTACTTTTGAGAGACAGTCACGCTCTCTTGAAGCAGGCTCACGCGGAACGTTGTGTCCTCCTGGAACCGGTTCAGCGCGCGTGAAAACTGCAGGGATCGACGTCAGCAGGTTACTGAGAGCTTGTAAAACGTGTGTCATGAGGCCCAACACTCTTGCTCAGGTCCTCCTTCTGGAACCAATTCAGCGCGCGCGAAAACTGCGCAGGGCGGGAGCAGTGTAACGTCAGCGGGGTTGCTGAAAGTTTGAACGGAAATATGTGGTGATTAGATTTCAATTTGCTTTTCGAAATTACCCGGCTCTTTGAAAACATGAGTTGAAAGCTGTCTCTTCTGGGTTCGTGTCTTTCAAAGGACCACACACCAAAGATTCTTCAACATTAAGCGGAGCCTATTGGTTTGAGCTCGTCGACTAAGTGTGCGCATCAGATTTGTCGATCAAGCGGGCACACCCTTAAACCGCCGGAAACTCCTCCTGATATCTTTCAGTCTGCAAGAAGTGCAGGATGACACTGATTACGAGACAGGCCTAATTTGACTTTGATGGACCTGACTCTTGGAATTCCGTGACTTCGCAAAATCTCTCTTGAGAGCGCTTCTTTTTGAGAACGTCAATCCAGGACATGGCATTTGACGGACTCGTCAAGTGAACGCCTTCTGGAACTCTAATGTCTTTTCACACCTAAGGTATCAAAGGTCCTTTGAAAAGAGCAGCAGAAAAATACGCCTCACATTCGTGCTCCCGTTTGGTTGGTCAACGTTATCGCCAAAGACATAACTGCTCCGAAACCATCATAATACATAATCCTCTGGGCAAAGTCACAATCGTCAACACAATCAACCACAAACAAACATGTAGGTAGCCTCTGATTTTTCTTACATTCGTAGATCCTTCCCGATTGGTCGGCGTGATTGCCAGCGACATGACCGGGTCCGGGACGTTCATTGACGTCATCGTGTATTTCACAGAACCGTCGGTAAACGTGTCCCCGCTCGCGCAGTCCACCCCAAACATGGCCACGATGTCCCCCCCCCGCGCCTCGCTGACGTCCTCCATGTCGTCAGAATGCATGCGCACCTGGCCAGAGCGGAGCATGACGTCAGCGACTGGGCCGGCCAAAGGCGGAACCATTAGAGGACTTACCCTTTCCAATTAACCAGCATTCAGCCTCATAGAAACGAACAGTTTCTTGGTTGATATAAAGCTGACGGTGGGTCGGTATCAAAGGCAGCCTTTCTCCTTCCCTTGTTTTCTGCAGTGGCGTCGTCGAGAATAGCTTAAAGAAAATTTTCCAGCACAAACACCACAAAGCGGCTGCCCTCCGCTGAGCTTTCACGCCCGTGACGTCAGGACCCTCCCCACTCGTAGCACGACGTCAGCAATGACTTGGACCGTGGCGTCAGCGGCCGGCTCACCAGGCGCGGCACCTTGACCTTCTTCCCCGTCACACAGTTGGTGATGAACTCGCCCTTGCGCAGACTGCCCTCGTAGATGCGCATGTACGTCAACTGACCGAAGCGCCCCTCCTCCAGCTTGAACGCCAGGCCCACAAGTGGACCGCTCGGGGAGCTCGTCAGCGGAACCTGTGCAGATAAACCGGGTTAGCAGAAGGAATGTTACAGAAAAAGGGCTTAATAAAGCGTGCCTGTACGTCAGCTGACCGAAGCGCCCCTCCTCCAGCTTGAAGGCCAGGCCCACCAGCGGGCCGCTCGGGGAACTCCTTAGCGGAACCTGTGCAAATAATCCGGGTTAGCATGTACCAAAGGAAGAATAGGTCCGCCCCTTTTCAGGATCCATTTACTGTGCCTGTACGTCAGCTGACCGAAGCGCCCCTCCTCCAGCTTGAAAGCCGGGCCCACCGCTAGGAGAGCTCGTCAGAGGCACCTGGGCGATGCCGCCAGGTTAGCCCAAATGTTGGCTTGAGACTTTGCACGTTTGCATTAAGTCGTCAGCAATAGCGATACTTTTTATTCACTCCCAGAATGCTGTTGGACAATCGTTTGCAATTCTGGAAAACACCAAGAGTCCAAGCTCAGGCTCCTCATATTATCGGATGTTAAATTCACAAAATTTTGGAACTTCACATGGACGAAGGCTCGAGGCGTGCGAGTCCTCTAGATGCGCATACGGATGAAGTGCCCACAAGCGGGTTTGGTAACAGTTGTCGTTCTTCTCTTTCGGCCAGCCGAGAAACGGCCCTTCGCTGTCTACAATCGCTCTTGGCAATGAAATGGGGGGCGCTAGCCCTACTGACGAAGTTTTTCGGTCCGCCGCCAGAGGCGTCCATGCAAACGACCTCAGGCTGCCCGACTGCTCGTTTCCGAGTCTTACGTCACCGCTTCCAGATTTGACGTCAGCGTACCTTGGCTTCCTCCCTGTTCTGGTCCAGCGCGTGGTTCTCCACCTCGGTGGGCGCCGGCAGAAAGTCGATGACACCGTCCAGTAACAGCTGCACGCCCTTGTTCTTGAACGCGCTGCCCATGAAGACGGGCGTGAACTCCAGGCTCAGGGTCGCCCGCCGAATTGCGGCCTGTTTGAAGGAAGTCAGAAGTTTTGAATGCGTAGATTATAAAGTTTCAGTTCACAAGATGGAAGAAAAGGTAAGCCAGCGCGCCCTTGTTAATGAATGCGCTGCCCATGAAGACGGGCGTGAACTCCAGACTTTGGCGGCCTGGTGAAAGAAAGATTAAGCAGGTTGGTTGGAAGTGTTACGAAAGTCTTCTTTACTTGAAAAGTCTCAACAGACGTAACAAGAACGGCCTTGTTCTTCAAACGCGCTATCCATTGAGACGGGCATGCAATCCAGGCTCAGGATCGCCCGCCGAATCGCGGCCTGTTCGAAGGGAGTCAGAAGTTTGGTATAAGTAAGCTTTAATTTTCCACTTCAAGAAACAACAGAAAAGGAGAAACCAGCACGCCCTTGTTCATGAGAGCACTGCCCAAAACATATGCGTGAAATTCAGGCTCAGAGTCCCCCGCCGAATGGCAGCCTGTTAACACGAATCAAAAAGGGTTGTATAAGTGAAAGGTACGAAAGGAAGTAATAGAAGGGGTATTGCTTCTATTACCCCTGTGATATTTAGACGCCGTCCTTCTTCAACGGGTTGCCAATGAGCATGGGAGTGAGAAGTAGGCTGAGGCTTGCCCGCCGAATGGCGGCCTGCTCGAAGAAAGGATTTGTATGGGTACGTTTACAAGCTTCCCGTTCACAAGCGACCAAAAGGGAAACCGGCACCCACTGCTTCTTGAACGCGTTTCCCATGAAAAGCGGCGCCGATTCCCGGATCAGGGTCGTCCGCTGAATGGCGGCCTGGTAGATTATGTTGGGGGGGGGTGGAGCGCAGCCGTGGCAAATGGTCTGAAAAGACCACAGCGACGTTAACAAATTGCGGGTCAGGAGACACGGTCCCCTTGACACACCGAACCCGCCCAAAGGATGCAACGCTGAACCCCATCAACCTTTGCCAAAAGCTGCCCTCCTCGTCTGGACAAGGATATACGGAGAAGATGAGCAGAAACACAATTCAAACGCGAGAAACAGAGAGACACAAAAGACAAGCAGACAAAACCTGTATTCGGGCGATGAGGAACAGAGAAGACAAGCAGAGAAGCCCTACCTGCAGCATATGCGCGTCAACCTTCTCCTCCCCCAAGAACTTTTCCGCCATGTCCTCGTCCACCTCCGCCAGCTTCTCAATCAATTCCGTCCGCTTCTCCTCGCACAGCGCCTGCATTCCGGCCGGAATGGGCCGCTCCCGGATCGTCTCCCCGCTCGCGCCGTCGAACGAGTAGGCCTTCATGTCGATGAGGTCGACAAGACCTTCCAGCTCGTTTTCGAGGCCAATGGGCACTTGGACCGCCGCGCAGTTGTGCCGGAGCTTCGTTCTGTACGGAACAACGGAACGGAATGAAATACGTCAGAAGAACGACCAACGGGAATCGAGTTTGGAAGGAAATGACAGGGCCCTAGAAATGCCTTTCAGGCCGATGGGCACCTAGACCGCCGCGCAGTTGTGTCGGAGCTTCGTTCTGAAAGGAAAGAACGGAACGCAACGGAACAAACGCGTCAGAAGAACGATTAGGCCTACATGGCAATGAAATCCACACAGCCTTTCAGTTCGTTCTCGTAGCCGCTAGGCACCTGGACCGCTGCGCACTTGTGCCGGAGCTTCGTTCTGCCCGAACGAAACGGGAGTGTCAGAAATGCGAGCAGGCCTTCATGCTGATACGATCGACCAGGCCCTCCAACTTCTTCTCGGGCCAACGGGCACCTGTACTGCCGTGCAGTTGCGCCGGAGCTTCGTCTTGAAACAGAACAGGACGGATGCATCATAAGGAATGTGCTCGTCGCCAAAGATGGGGGCTCGAACTAGAGGAAAAGGACAGGACCCTGGCTTTGCCTTAAGGACCAAACAGCATGCCCGAGATGTCTTCGACTTTCGGAAAGAGTTGGATGCAGGTCAGCTTGGTTGCCGAAAAGATCGCTTTTAGGAATATTCGCCACACAGAAGTTTTCGGAGCTGCGGCCTGGAACGTGTTATGACCAAACGGCCCCACCGAGAGTTCCTCAGTTGCGGACGAAAACAGTGTCCTGTAAGGATGCCGTTGCACGCTGACGAATCACCTTAGGGAGGCGTAAAGACGATCGAGTATCGCTGACTATCGTGCCAGCTTCGAGATCATACAGCGGACTCGCAGTTAAACCAAGACCCCACACCTCTCCTCCTTACCTGAGCTGGTTGATGACCCTCCAGGGGTCCGCCCCCGCTCGGTCTAGTTTGTTGATGAAGGCGACACGTGGCACGCTGTAGCGTTTCATCTGACGGTCCACGGTGATGGACTGCGACTGGACACCCCCCACGCTGCAAAGTACCAGCACCGCGCCGTCCAGCACGCGCAGAGCGCGCTCCACCTCGATCGTAAAGTCCACGTGACCTGGGAGGAAGGGAGAGCGGATGAGAACGAAAATACCCTCAGAAAAGCATTTGGATTCATTGAAGGAGTGGCCGGTAAGATCGACGCAGCACACGCAGCACACGTTTCATCCGGATTGTCAGATCCTTGAACATGGTCGGAGAAGGTAGTAAAGGAAGAGTGTCTGGGGACCGTCAGATGAGTGTACGAAGTACTAGCTTGTGAGGGGGTTCGGTCATGCACACAAAGGCCCCGCTTTCCCTCAACTTCAAGATTCAGGAAAGACAACTTGGGAAAAACCGTCCTGGAAAATCTCGGACTATCGGCATCCGAGAATCTTCATTTAGCACGTCCGGAGTCATTCCATTCCTTTTTCAGATTCGTTTAGCCTACACAAGGGGTTGAGGCGGAATTAGTGATGACTTAATCCTGGACACGCAAGCCCGCTTTGAACCTGAACCAAAATAGCGTCGAAAGGACTGCGACACAGGTTGGTCACCTGCAATCAGAAACTTGAGAGAACCTCCCGAAGAAAACTAGGTCGCTTCAACTGAGGGAAGAAAGGGCTCCTGACGTTGATGGCTCCTGACGACGCCACACGAAAAGAAAACGCCTTCATCCCTCCTCCACGGGAAGAAGACGAGCATGACGCATGAAAGAAACACGAGTTACACATTTGTTATACCACAAAGAATCAGGAAGAATGATGATATGAACGCTCATTTTCTGCCCGACATTCTCCGCACTCACCTGGTGTGTCGATGATGTTGATCTGGTTGTCGCCCCACGTGCAGTGCGTTGCGGCAGACTGGATCGTGATCCCCTTTTCCCGCTCTAGTTCCATGCTGTCCATCTTGGCCCCCACCCCGTCCTTTCCCCTCACCTGAAAATGATGAAAATTAGAACTGGGCTTCCAGCGAGCTTATCTGCGAAATCATGTTTTGAAATATTTGGATAAAGTCGTCTGGCGTCTGTGCATCCCGAGCACTGACAGACTGAGCCACAACAGTCATAACAGCTATTAGAAATTACAATACTTACTGGCCACTTAAATACAATACTTCTGAAACAATCCGTGCTTAGTCGAGCCGTCATTGCCTGTACGGAGCCTGTGCTCGTTTCCTTGCTCATGTCTGCTACAAGCTATCAAAGTTGGCCACATGATTTGCGAACTTAGTGCAGACTGTCACGAAGGTTTCCTCGTCCTGATTGATCGCCGTATACCTCGATTCGTCCTCTTTTCTGACCACCACTTCTGTTGGACTCAACTTGACGCGTGTTCAGCGAGTCTACCAGGAAAGAATATACCAGTGCAATCAAATTCTCCCTTCCACTTGTAACGCACCTTCTGAATCAAAACATGCGACTTTTGTAGCACATAAATCATAGCAGCAAATGGACCACAGGAAATGATGAAGAGGTATTCTTGAAAAGAGTAAAGGCAACCACAGCCTTACCTCATGAATCTCATGGATCCGCCCCGTATAGAATAGAATCCGCTCAGTCAACGTGGTCTTGCCAGAGTCGATGTGGGCGCTAATGCCAATGTTGCGAATCTTCTCCATCTCTGATCGCCATGCTTCCTGAAGTGGGAAAGGAAACATTCCTCACAATTGCAATTTTAAAACCTCGTTTCCAGACCAGAAAGTACCATATCTAGCGTAATGATAGGTCTCTTTTGACGCGGTATTTGGACGCAACGAACGGAAGTTGCCAGGGTAGATTACTTGGTCACTGAACAGAGAGCTTACACCTGGCCTCTGTTTCGCTCACTTCAATGACTCTGGAAAAGCAATGCCTTGGAGATTGACAAGGGAACCGATACAAAGGGGGCCCTATCAAGCAGGTTCCGCCGGGCCTCAAGTCGCAAGTATTGTACATCATACAAGAGATCACTAGAAGAGGCCTCAAAATTTAAAAAGTTGCAAGACACAGAGATGTACAACGCTTGCACTTACGATGCCACTGTTGGTCAAGGCATGCCAAGGATGCATCGCCGGCGCACTGGACTAGTCCTTTCCCTTTCCAAAAAGCCATCTCAAAAAATTTCCATGATGGAATTGTTGTACGGCATTAACATGGTACATTCCCTGTTGCATGCCTCAGACACCTCAAAGTCTTTGAGGTTTTCCCTATCTGTTCTGGAAACATCCAGTGCCGGCGCTTGACTGATTGACCCTACAAAGGAGTTCGTCACGGAATAACGATGCACGGTTATGGATAGCTGCGCGATGAGAAAAGGCTACAGAGCTGTGCGATTGCGACTTTTAGGGCTTCAGCTGCTCTTGATGTCTTTGACCATTTTCAGGAGTACAGGCGCCTCACCTTCTCGTCTTTCAGTGCAGCCAAACTTGCAAACCCTCTGACCCTGATGCTCCGACCAGAAACTGACCCGCTACTCAACTGCACGATGTTAGATGCGGACTAGTTAGCAGCTGGAAGTGCTAATATAATCAGGTTGATGCACGATACCTGAAAGCCAATTGCCTGAAGTTACCACAGACTCAGCATACAATCCTAGAAACACCACTTCTTTGATAGTGCTGAGAACGCTGCAAAAAAAAAATAACGCTGATTCAAAGACACTCGCAGTTGCCTTTTCCGAACGAAAGGTTTCCTTGTTCTTACCTCTCTGCAAAACAACCCCGACAAATCACCACTAGCGTTTGCAACAGTTCTCTCCAACCCTGAAGCTATCTGCCCTGTGCCAGCATTTGAGTGGTGAGAAGTACACCGCAGATTCTGCACGCGGCCCAGGATCCCAAAGAGACCCCGGGCCCCCACGCGCCCCATCATTCCTGACGGTGCTCTGGAAGCCCGACTGGCCGGAGACCCGTCACTTTCGTCTCAGGCCTAGGCTTTCAAGCATCGGGAGGAAACTGCTTTGCGCCACCATCATCAGTGATCACGAATGCTGCTGCAGTGCTGGCTTAGCCTTATGCAGCATGCTGATCTTGAGAACCTCCTGTGTAGGAGATCTACCGGTACGTAGCTGAAAGTTCAAGGCAGCCTTGGTTTGCCCAAACTAGTGGGTTTATTAATAGACAACGTCACCACGAACAGGACGTCTGATGCCGACGCCGACGCCGACGGCGCTTCGAGCTTCGTGTCGGTCTTGCGGGGGATCATGGCTGGGATGGCTGGTAACGGTATCAGACGTCTGCCGTCTCCTGTCAACCTGAACCTCTCTAGACAGCCGTTGACGCTTCAAACCTAACTTATAATACCTAACCCAAAAAGCGTTGGGTAAAGCCAAGTGGATTCCAATTTCTGAGTTGTAGCTCTGAAAGATCAGCAGGTGGATCTAGCTAGCAATTGGGGGCGCCTTCATGTCGGGCTATCTTTCACCAAAATCCTTCTTCATCACCCTTGCTCTTGCAGTCTGCTTGTATTCCATATCAAATCATCTGTTTGGAGAAACTGGGGTCAAGCCCGTCCCTCGGCGGCGGGGCACTCAGGTAGCCAGACCGGAGGTGGTGGAAGAAAGGCCCTTCTCTCTGCAAAAAGCTATCCGAGATCGAATCCCCATTGTAGATACAAAGACTGAGGCTTTCATGGCTGCGAAGTGGGTGCAGAAAACAGTGGTGCTGCCAGCGAAGAGCAGGGGCTGCCACCTTGTCACTGATCAGGTAAGAGAATGCTGATACACATGATTCCATCTCTTGTCTATTTGAGCTGCTCAGCTGTTGTCTGAAGAGGTTCATCTCTGCAGATTGTAGCGCATGCACAGCATGGTTGTTTGTAGGTTTGTCGCAGCTTACGCTGACCAACGTGCGCTTTTGTGGTTGGCTGCTTTTGGGATAGTGATGTAGTCAGCTGCGCAAGCCTACCAGGGCCACTTTTGAGTATGCACCAATACTAAACTTCTTGACAGAACGTAGTGTGACATCATGCATGCAGCTCAGGGCTGCTTGTGGGAGTTTCGTCGCAGCAACTTTCCTGAGCTCGTCAACGGGTTCCTTCTCCGCAGTATTGAAGCTGCAAGATGTCCTGAAAGTTGACTGGTAGTTGTCATGTATTGAGCCGGAACGTAGCTTTCACAAAAGAACCCTGTCTTCATTAGACGCTCGCTGCCCCTCCAACCCTCTACTGCCGGATTTTTCATTCTGACGCACGAATATCAACGTCGGTCAAAATCCAGTTGTTGCGCTTGACAGACTGTTACAACCATACAATCGTTTGTCCTGACATAGCTGTGAGAATCTGCAGGTGTTGAAAGATCTGAGCGGGGATCTGAAGCAGTTCCAGACAGGGCTCGCAAACTTTTTCCTACAGGTAAGGCCATAGCATTTGAACAGTCTACTGTAAAGGCGAACTCACAAGCTCCACTGATTGCAGCAATACGAGCAGTGTCTGCCACCAAGTCTAAAGCCGTGTGTCCTATTATTGGCACGCACTGAAGATGCTGGGTTCCCCATGCCTGATCAAGTGCGCAAAAAACCCTTTGTTTTTGGGTATTTTGCAACCTCACCATCTCCATCAGGAGCCACAACAATTGCATTGATTCTAGTGTGAGGTATCTGACACCGCTTCCTTCCTCGATCGCCCTGCAGTGAGAGTGCTTGAAGCGGTCTTCTCTTTATCTTTGCGAAGATTATGAGTAGCTCTTTGGGCCATCGCGTTCCGGAAACCTTCACAAGATGATGGAGCCAAGCAATCTCTTGTGTTTTCCAGCATACAAGCGCGTCGCTGACTGTCAACGAGAACTATGACGAAGACGTTAGACACGACACCGAAACCTTCCTGAACACGGTCGTTCCCGAAGGCAAGAAGGCGCCCTGGCGGCACACGATTGAAGGATCAGATGACATGCCTGCACACATAAAGGCGTCCATGTTCGGGGCATCGCTAAACATTCCCATCACGGACGGAAAATTGAACTTAGGCACATGGCAGGGCATCTGGCTGTGTGAACATCGAGATCGGGGTAGTTCGCGTAAAATAGTGGTTACCATGCAGGGAGTTTGATCATCTTGGTAGCAGCGATTGGTGACTCAGTTGGTTGTCGAGTTCACTGCCGATTGTACAAATGTTCGCATTCAGACATTTGTTGGATCTTGAAGCTGTAGAGACAAGTCGTACTCAAGGGAAAGATATGACCGCAAGTACTTCTTCTTAGGGCATGAGTCTGGTACGTAAGAGTTGGAGGGTGTTGGCTTGAGGACTCGGACATGAAGTAACATGTTTGCGGAGTTGGCATACCTTTTCTAACGTCTTAGGTCTGTTCTGAGTTAGATACCTCTTGATGTGACAGATCCTATTCAAAATGGCTTGCGAGCTCGTTATCACATTGCGAGCAAAATAGGCCGCCGACGGTCGACTTAGAGCGGCTTCTGTCAATGATCGAGTTTATGTTGACTCATCTTGCAAGTAGTATATGAACGCAAGAGTGCATTAAGGAGCCTGGGCAAATACGCTCGATTTGCAAGCTTACTACACGTCTGGCATACTAGCACGATCAGTCTAAAGTGGAAGCAAGGAGCGTCGTCTCCAAATTCTTTTGTATCGGCCTGTCCGTTTGGATGCAATGCAAGGGACTTCTCATCTCGTCGCATTCAACAGCTCTGACTATGCTACAATTCCAGCACATAAGCAAACTTGAATATATTCGAGGGCCCTCAAGGCAAGACCTACACTCAGGTACGGTATCTCGAATATATGCCATGCACAACATTTATGATAGTGATATGATCGAACGGGCCGCATGGGGTTTTTCTGATTTCATTCAGAGGACGGTATAGGACCGTGATAGGACCGTGTCGCTGTCTATATCTTCATTGCCTTCGCCCTGCTGTACTGCAGCTGTACCAGAGTTAGTGTCTTCTGTCAAATGTCCCCATACGAACTTCAATCAGTAATAATGTGCACAATTTCATGGCTCTCCCAGTTCGACTTGATTGGCTACTACGTTGTGCAACGGGCTTCTCCTTTCTTCTGGCTCTCAGAAACTTTGGAGTGACCGACCTCGAACCAACGGAGTGCAGATTAACCTCGATCGGCCGTTCAAATTCTTTGTTGATGGCAACGTAATGTCATCTGCCGTTGATCATTTGCCTGTTGCCGTCGGTCCATATCATTAATTACCAGCATCGATTTCAAGTTCGATTTCAAGATTGCGTTGGATAGAAGTTGAAAGCCCATCAGAAAAGAAGGCTGGATTGTGACGCAATTACAGTGTTGAGAGCAACTTGGTCAAGCCAAAGCCATTGCGCAATCTCTCTAGAGCTCTAGACAATGAACGACTCAGACTGCCCGTCATAGGATCATAGCGTCATGAGCATCATCATCACAGATCTCACAGAAGTAGGTAGGCAGTTGCCAGTATGATCGTAGGCGAAATGAAGTGGACGGTCTCGACCGTCGATCGCCGAAGCGCATCAAATCTCCGCCGTCAATTACTAAGTCCGAACTGCTGACCCGATGCTGATGTCACCGCAAGCTTCCAGCTGCAAGTTTCGGATTGGTCGACGCTTCTCTGGTACGGTCGCCGCGCGAACAAAAGGTTTTAAACCTACCGTAGTAAGTTATACGTGAAACTTCGAAGTTCCAACGACCGTCAAGAACCGTCTGGTCGGCCGGCAGACATATCGGGAAATTTCTGATTTTTGTACCTACTACCTGTAACCGTTTCTAGCTACGGTAGGCAGCCCTGATAGATCGACAAGCTACCTATCAGGATTTAGGAGCATGTACCTACTTTTGCAGCGGCAGCCTGCCATACATAGGCGGCATATGCACATGCGGATTCTTGCGGCCCGGCGGCCAGGGGGTTGTTCCACTGTGCAAAGCAGTCCCCGACCCGCTCGCAGAATGGGTCGAAGAAGCTGCATACCTGGCACCGGGCTGGCGGCCTTGGAAGCTCTTCGTTTGGAAGGTTCTGCCGTACATTTCCTATGTGGACACTGCAAGTCGAGTGCTTGCTACATACTATGATGTAGGTACACTTCTTACCAGCTGTACACAAGCTCAGACATTAGTACTCAAAATAACGTACCTAAAACCTACCGGCTTCTAGTAGTACTAAGGTACTACCAGAAAGCTCTCATCAGCGCCTCTGAACTACCTGTAGACCGACACTGGAAAGCTCTCGAAGCTCCCCTGTGAAAGCAGCGCGAAAGCAGGCCACTAAGCTTAATGCACAAGCTGCGAAGTGACGCCGCCCCACCAGAGTGTGATACTCGACTGGAACCCAAAGTACCTGCTAGTAGTAGTGCATGCCCACCCATGAGAGTTCAAATATTCCATGGAACAGCGCTGGTTCTGACAATCAGTATAACTTCACTCACCACTTCTCAGAACATTCATATCCCTCAGCTGCTTACCCAACTAGCCCGTAAAGCTGTTCGTGACCAGCACTATAAGTAGCCAAGTGGTGCCGTTCCTCAAGCTGCAAAGAAACATAAAAGAAGCCCTCCGCTTGAGGCTCCTGACTATCCCCAATCTGCTAGCCCCAGCTCGTTTTCAACAAGTTTTCACTGCCCAAAATCGCACAATCGAGGCGCCGTTCTGTCCTTTTCCTGCCCACATTTGTCGTTTTCCTGCCCACATTTCAACCAACACATTATCATTTCATAAGTCCTTCCAAACCTCAGCGCGTGAGGAGATGACGGCCCCAAGAGTGGTCATCATTGGAGGGGGCCTCGGCGGGGCGGCAGCTGCCAAGAAGCTGGTATGTCAGATGCTTGATTTCTTCACTCACTTCATTTGCAGCCTCGTTGTATTTTGAATCAGGTGACTTTTGGTACCTTTCAAATACAATCTTCTTAAACAGTGTGTGCCAAGCTTTTCCTTGTCTCTGGACTCTGGACAGCAGCTCTGGGCACCCCTGCAAAGCTCGAGTTTAGCAATCCCCTTGCATCAGATTGGAAGAACGAAAGCAGAAAGTTCGAATGATTGCTTGCATTCTGTGCAGGGTGATAGACAGTTTCAATTGCAGAAGCGTATTGTATCCATGTTTTGCAAGGACTGAAGGGTGTTCTTCTGGGCAATTCAACGGTTGCCTTGGGTGATGTTCTGATACCTTTGTAGTAGAGCCAGCTTACAAATCTGCACTTCTCAGAAGTCCCAAACCCAGCCTGATCCTAAGGCCGGTCTGTTGTAAAGCCACAGGCCATAAGCACTTGCTTCTTTCAAGATATTGTGTTGAAATGCACCCCACATTAAAAACATCTTTTGGTTTTCCGTTGGTAAAGGGGATTGGTACCAAGCTTAAGACTTCTACCAGTGTTCTGCCCTTTAGCTGACCGTTCAAATAGGTTCCTTGACTTGGGGCCAGACCATTTGACACGAGTTCTGCTCTTGACCTTCGTTCAATCCAACTCGTTCTGTGATTGATGACCAGTTCTCTTACACACTGCACTTTCTTAAAGCCCACAAAGATTCTCTTGAAACTGGGCAAGTGACTCTAGCCTTAGCATTAGAATGTTAACCATTCAGACATCTTCCAGAGACCTTATCTTGTAGTCATGAATATCCCACTGTGCACATAAAGGAGGCTTGAGTGCCCTGCTGACGAGAGGATGGCTTGCTTTGTCCAAGCTGATAGTCTGGATCCATCAGTGATCATTTGTCGAGCTTAGAGCAGGTTTAAGTTATTGCATCAAGTTAGAAGTCGACTCCAAGATCTGTATGGTTGATGTTTGTTTCGCATGCCATTCAGAGCTAACGTGGTTTCAGCTTCAAAAACTGAGAACCTAGACTCCAGTGTCCGTCCCTGATCTCTTTCCACCGGCACTTTCGCTCATACTCACCTCCTCTCTCCTTGAAGGAGTCCGCCTATAACGACGTCAAAGTCCTAGAGAAAAGAATGAACGATCTCATTTTTCATCGGAATTGTCTGGCTCCCTTTCTGTCCATCATCTCACTCCCTATGTTTTTGAAATCAGCTCACATATTTGCAACTCTCTGCCCCAGGAGTCCACCTATGACGTCACCCTGATCGACGAGAAAGAGTTCTTCGAATATCTCATCGGGAGCGTGCGGTTCTTCGTCGACGAGAACGCCATCACCCAGGGCACGTTCCTCCACTCCGAGTACCTCAAGCGCACCAAACTCGTCGTCGGGCGCGCTGAGACGGTCGCCCCCACCCACGTGGAGACGGATTCCGGCGAACGGATTCCGTTCGACTTCCTGATCGTTTCCTCTGGGTCGTCGTTCGCCGGAACGCCCAAGACGCTCGAGGAAAAGCGGCAGTGGTATCGGGAGCAATACGAGGGGATCAAGGCGGCTGACAGCGTGCTCATTGCGGGTGGTGAGGACTGTGGTTTAGGCAGAATTTTACGTTGGGACCGTCTTATCTTGCGATAATTGGCGTTAGAGGGTTAAGCTTCCGCTTCCATGCGTTGGTCCGGGCAATACTTTTCAGTTGGCTCGCCCAACGACAACTTTGGGTCTTTCTTGCATGGAAACATTCCTCGAGACTTTTGACTGTAGCTCAGACCCTGCTGATCTGGGCGAGGCTATAGCCCCTCGTTTGGAGTTCCACAATGAAGGCCGAGTTGTCGTAGATTCTGGGTTTCCTTCAGGCGTTCCTCTAGTCCTAAATAAAACTATTGGAAAAGGGGTGGAATTGCAGAATTGATGGACTTAATGTTCAGACCTCCAAAGCTTGAGTAACACGAGCGATCGTCTTTTCTGTCAGGTGGCCCGACCGGTGTCGAAATTGCCGCCGAGATCATAACGTCATATCCCGACAAGAAGCTGACGTTGGTCCACGCGGGGGAGCGGTTGGTGCCTTTCATGAACGAGAAGGCGTCCGCCAAGGCAAAAGATTTTCTGGTGAAGCGGGGGGCGACCGTTCTGCTCAACGACAAGGTGAGGGGGTCGCCTTGTTTTGCTGTTTACCCGTTCGAGAGCGTTTCTTACAGCTTGCCGTCCAACATTCGCTTCTCAAATGGGCCCTCTAGTTGACAACGGGCCACCGTTTGCCAGGGAAGAGTTGGGTGCGTGTCTCGCTGTCGCTTCGCTTACAGTTGCACTTGCGCTTATTTTTGCACCTCTGGAGCTTCTTTCGTGTTGATTGGTTTTCCTATGGACATGTCTACCATTTGCACGCGCCGAAAATCTGCTTGATGAGTCCCTGTGCATGTAAGTCTCAGTCATGCCCTTTCCCGCGTCGCTTGCCTGGACAATTGGTGAGAAGAATACGCGGCTCGCAAGCCTCAGAAACAAACCAAAAGCCAACTTGGGGTGCCATTCAAGCATAGAAATACCAACGGATTGTCATCATCACCTGATACCTTTGCGATCGAAAACTTCATACGGACACGGCTTGACGATATGTCTCCAACCTCAGGTTAACTTGAGCAACACGAGCACGCGCGAGTTCCGCACGACTTCCGGATACGCCATCACGGCGGACTACACCCTCGCCGCCACGCGCGCGCGCTTCGACAGCGCCTTCATGCGCGCGCACTTCGCGACCGCGCTGAACGCGGAGGGGCGGGTCAAAGTGGAGCCCAGCCTACTGGTGGAGGGGACACGGAACAGTGAGTTTGATTGTGTCTGATTCTTCCTCTTTCCCTTCGAAAGTGTGGAGCCGTGTACCCTTTCGCAGTGTCATTTCTTACAGGAAACTGTGTATACGATACTCGCTTCTCTTGGGTGCACGCTGCAACCCTTTGAAATCCGACGGCCTAGAATTGTTGAAATGAAACGGAGTAGCCAGAGTAACCGAAGTGAGAAAAGAGGAGAGCGTGTAAGTCCGAAGGCATATCTGGTCCGCGCGCTTCACCCTTCACTTGCACAGAAGAAAAGCACCCGACCGTTGCATCCTGCTGAACGTTTTGTCTCTACGTCCCAGCGCTTGAGCGCGCACGCACGCAGACATTCTCAATGTGAGATTCGTAACGGCCCGTGACCTTAATAAAAACACGCGGCAGTTCAAGCCAGGTGTGTTTTTGATACACATCCCGGTTCAAAGATGTCAGCGACTTTCAGACCTTTGATCTTGTAGAAACTTGCGTCCCGTCCACTCCAAATCGACCTAAACAGCGGAATCCAGAACGGGCCTGCCGTGTCCGACATAGAAACCCACGTCGGAAGAATCAGAACTTCAGCTCAGTGATCAGGTTTTCAACAAGCGTCCAGTATCCTTTCCAAGCAAACTCCAAAGCCAACTCCGCTCAATTCTCGAATCAATCCGAGGTCCTAGCACGGATTGCTGATGCCGCTCTTTCAGAGTACAGCCTCACGGACTTTGCTGCTTTCAATCATTTTTCAACAATGGAAACGTAGTTTTCAAGCTACATGAATTGCCCGCGTGCTTGAAAGGCTCTTCCTACTCAGAAGTAAAGAATCTCCGTTCTCTCGCTGTAACCCAATCGCTGACAGTTCTCTTTCTCCGCTCACTCTAGTTTTCGCCATCGGTGACGTCACCGCCCTCCCGGAGGCCAAGCAGGGCTACTACCTGACCGCGCACATCGCGACCGTCGCCGCGAACCTCCAAACCCTGGCCAAGAACGCGGCCGCGACGCGGCTGAAATCCTACAAGGCGCAGACGACGACCGCGGTCGCGCTCGTGTCGCTCGGCAGGAAGGACGGCATCATGCAGACGCCGTTGCTGACGTTTTCGGGCTGGGTGCCGGCGTCACTCAAGAGCAAGACCCTTTTCTTAGACAAGGCGAGGAAGGATTTCGGCCTTGCGTCATAAAGGGGGCGATCGTTTTGTGTTTTCGGAACTGCTCGCAGGCTGCCAGCGGAAAGCAAGTCGGGTTTCCAAGTCCGTTCTGCATTGATAGAAGTTAATACGCTTCGGTTGACTAGATAACTGAGCATAAATTGACTGTTTCTGAGGAGGCAAGCACTGGGTTGGCCCTTGTATAGACAAAAAATTTAGCCGTTGTGATAACCGTCATGCCGTCAAGTCTACCTGATATAAGAACCACCGTACGGTCGAGGGCCTTAAGTAAGTAGGGGTGTGTTATAATGGCAAACTCATCTTGTCAGGGAGTATAGGCGAGCTGCATAGAGCTATTGTGCTGGCCGCGGACGGTTCCTAGGAAGAGATTTGATATAGGAACACTAATCAATTGAGTTATACAATCCAATGGGTTAAATGTCAGTTGTATCTAATGATTTGCAGGCTACCGAAGACTTTTTTTCTTTCAATAGCACTTCGGTTTGTAAAAGCTATGAGTTCCAGTGTTGCAACACGCGGCATCTCAATTTATGCGCATGCAGTTTGAATTCTTGATCGAGTCCGTGGCTTCCTCATGTGCTGGCAGTGGCAAACGAACATATGAGTCTCACATGTCTTAGCACATGTCATGTGATCTCAAAGAATGGACGAATGCTTAAGTCCCTGCGGCGGCATGGCAAACTCATTTGGATCGGTAACATTCATCGGCCGTATAGACTGAGCGCATGTGTGTGACAGCTAGGCCCGGCCGCCCAGATGCAAAAATGATGGTGGAACTGAGCTAGCCATCTCTGTGGCCCATAAGCGGTAAGTTGGTACTGGACGAGCCCGGAGGAATCCGACTCGCGGGTTGCGCTGGGCGGCATGGTTCGAACTTACGCGTCTGAATGATAGCGCATGTCTGGCGCATGCTGTGAAGGGACATTTCAGGTGCTGCGCATGGACTCGCACTAATTCTCACGTAAACACTCATACGGGTGTACTTGCAGTGACAGCGGCGAAGTATAGTCTCAACCTTTGCCCGGGGATCGTATAGTTGGCCGCATTCGAGCCGCCCCTTGAAGAATACATCAGGGGCCAAGCCCCACCAGATCACCATCCGATTCTACACCACGCAGAATCATCTAGTCGTCCTTTACCGGGCCTGGTCGAGGGACGCCGGACGCGAAGGGAAGCCGTAGGTTAGCTACTGTACGAAACGTCCGCGGCACAATCTTATCGACGTACAGAGTACCCGCCAGATGATCGCACTCGTGCTGGAAAATACGCGCGTGCCAGCCCCGGGCTTGAACGGTGAGCTCATCTCCGTTTCGGTCGAGCCCGGTGACTTCGACCTCTAAGTGCCGCTCCACGAGGGCCCGGTACCCGTCAACACTGCAGGCGGACAAAAGTGAAGACGTTTAACCTCCTTAAGAAACAGACAGGTTGTCAGGAGGAAAGAGTACGTCAGTCGTCGGCTTCAGAACTGGCGTTCGCTTTGAAGAGAAGGTAACGTCAACGCATAGACGTCAGTGTCACTGGACAATTGGTTTCGAGTACTTCCAAGTGAACACGGGGTTGACGACAATCAAGTCAAAAAGTAGGGAGTCGCTGCTACCGCTCTGCATCTTGCGGGAATCGAATTGCTCTTCAAGAACTTGCGATATACTTCCACCGCACAACTTCCAACTGGGCACCAAAATGAAGATCGAGTACAGAATTCACCATGCGTCAACACTCGCGGCTTATGCTACAGGGCTTGGCGTGCTCTTGCTGACAAACCCCGAGCTCTCTTTCAATGCACAAGCCTGATATATTATCGCGGTTTTGATCGTCCCAAAGTGGTATGTTATGACAGCCCTTCCAAACGAGCGGATTCGTGCCAAGCAAGGAACGAGACTGACTGTGCCAGCCCTTTGCCTCGAACAGGCTCGCTGAATCGAAGATTCCGACAGTTCGAAATGGTTGAATGACAACCCAACGCCACAGATTGTTCAGCTTTTCTCATCTCCAACCGCATATCACTCTCTTCACCGTTGATTTTTCTGCCAGCTGAACTTTGGCCAGCGTACTTTGTTCGGCTAGATACCTCCCCTTGGCAAGACGTCTTTGCAAAGAGATCTCCCCAGAATTGCAGCGCAGACGAGTCAAAAGTTCGGCGGTTCGGGAGACACACCTGAGGCAACCCTCGAGGAATATGGCCGTGCGGCGGCCCTTCTTGCTCAGTTTGGGGTTTATCACAACCTGCTCGTAGACAAACGGCGACGTAAAAAGGTAGTCTTTGACCTGGTAAGCACAATTTCTTTATCCGGGAAGCCGTAGTGCTTTATAGGCTTTTTCATCTCTTTGCTCCAAATTGTCTTGACGACGATGACGCAATTGTGCAAATTTCGAAAAGAGCTGAGCACTGGCAACCCTTCATGGAGATGAGAATTCTCTGGAGTAAATCAGGTTAAGGGTTTCATCTCCGTCTCAAACGGGCCGAGTATAATCCATCGCTGCTACAAGATTTTTGCCCCTCTCTTGGTAGACCCGTTTAAGGAGCCTGTGGCTTTCACTGACCGCAGTCGGGCACCTTATTTCAGGATGAAGCGACCAAACTCAAAATTGATTTTCCTGTTTCACACTCTCCCAATTGAGCTTTCTGGCGAACTCACAAGTAGATCAAACGGTTCTCGCTCCTGGTCTTGCAGTTCATCCCGATCCACTCTTGTCATATACTCAGGCTTGTCTTCAAGGACGATGATCTGCAATACGAAGAGGATTCACTGAGGTTCGTATTCAGAGACGCATACTAGGGCCCGTCATCAAGAACGATAATCTGCAAAAGTAAGAGAACCCGCTAATTCAGACGTCCAGAGATGCAGAATTTCACAAGCGTTATAGCCTACGGTTGAGGAGAGAACTTTGCGGTTGAAGAGCGGAAGAGGAGCATAACAAGGGCTGCATCTTCCAAGCTGGGCCAGTCCTTAATGTTGTGTCGAGATGCGCGCATCCAAAGGAGCTGCTTGGCTGTTGATACTACATACTTCCTAGTGAAGAGATTGTCACTCGGCATGACGCTGCGTCAGTCTCTTGAAGGAACAAAACCCTCAGATATCAAGTGAACCGTTGAACAGAATGGCAAAGCGCATCACCACATGCAGCTTCTGCTTTTCTCTTAAAGGCCCATACGTGTGGTCGGTACTATGGCAACATGGGCAAAGGGAATTCGAATCTGCAATCTGGAGTCGCAGAAGACTGGATGCACTGATACTATTTTCAAAGTAATTCAACGCCCAAATATCTTGGGGGCTCAGAAAGGAACATAAGTACACGACTGCCATAGAAAGATGGACTCGAGTTCCCTATTCTGGAAGTTGCGCTTGTGAAGTACAGGCTGACCTGCTTGTTGATGCCAATTTGAGGCGCTGCCAAGCCAACGCCAGGGGCAGCCCTCATGACGTCAACCATCTGATCAATGATCCGCTCTAGTTCTGGCGTCCCTATCTCAGAGCTTTCAACAGCTGCAGCAGAGAGACATAGGTTTCAGATTGGATAAACAGGCGCCTCTTCAATCCCGGCAAATTGGTTAGTGTGAAAGTCTGTATGTTACGAGAAGGCTTATGAGTTGGATGTCAAGAAAGACACTCTGAAGCACTCCCTGAAACAGGTGTGATGTTGTTGTTGGGTTGCTTGCGCTGCTAGGAGGTTTCCTAAGGTTGTATCTGCAAATGGGCAGATTGTAGCTACGAACGGGCAGAGTAGGGAAGCAGCTACACTACAGGAACTGGGTAGAGCCTTTGTTAGGGGGACCAATTAGCTGGAATCTGACAAACTGGTCAGTCTAGTGTTCTCTATTCAACTGCATGGATCCCTGAGGAGAATGCTTTTTTGTTTTACAACACCCACATGCTAGCCTCAGGTGGAGGATGAAACAAACGTGATCGCCTCAGTCTTTTGAGTCTGCTTAGAAGCTGTGGACTTGCCTTGAGCTGGCTCGTGCAGTACGGGGTCGCCCGCTTGTACAATTGGCGGAAGATTCTTGTCCCCCTTCTTCTCTTCCATGAGTCCACCTTTCAGGAAATCTATGCTTATCGGCAATCGCCACCCTTGCTTCTTAGTCGACTCGATGGAAGCAGGCTGGCGTGATGCTGACCCTTCAGAGGACGAAGCTCTCACAAAAGTTTGCTTCTCAATGTAATATAGATATCTGGTCAAACGTCTTGAATGCTGTGTAGCTGCCTGCAGGACCTTCTGCTGTGCACAGGATGAAGAAGCTTTCCCCAGGTTCTGATCTAAAGGTGGTACAGACCATTGAAAAGCTCCCAACGACTTAGCTTGACTAATCATGTCGAATGTGGCAGGGATGCACCACACGCCTTTTGTCTACCGCCCTAAAAGCTGCCGCAGAGTTGGTCAATTGCCAGCTCAATTCCTACCAAGTGCGCTGCTTCAGGGCTGAGAAAGCATGACGCCTGGTCAAAGAAGGGGCGTGTGTAATAGATACTAGCGTTGACGTCTTACAGCCTGTTAGAGGATGCTTCGCCCTGCCCGAGGATCTGTGAGGACGTCAGCTGAGCTTGCGTGCAATGCTGAGAAGAATGCTGCAGCTGCTAGGAAGGTGTCTCTAGCCCCTTGAGTCGATGATTGGCCAACAAAATGAAACATTACACGTGTCATCCAAAGAAACCGGTTTCAAGGAAACTGGATCTGCTCCGAAGTTGCTTGGGAATTTTGGTGCAGCGGCCAGCCGTTACCTGGAATACCTCCTGGAATACCTGGAATACCTGGTACCTCCGCAGCTCCGTACAGCTGCTTTCCTTCAAACCTGCCATCAGGTTCCAATTTCTCCGAGCAAGACCTTTGAAATTGTATCTGCCCATTTTTGTGCTCCGAGAATCGTCGCCGAAGTCGCGACTAAAAACTGTGTTGCCGCGAAAGTGATCGAGAGTACTTTGGGTGGTGGAGAGTCGTCGGACGTCAGATCTCACTGACGGTTTCTACTTGGCGGTACCGTAAGCTGCCGTATGACGTCAAAGTGACGTTGGCACAATACGCTGACAGTAATGAATTGAATATATGCATATATATCCGAATATTACTTACGGAGCACAACCCAGCCAAACCACCCTAACCCTATCCAAACCCAACCAAGCCCGCTTAACCAGCCAAGCCAGCTTAACCATCCAAGCCAACCCAACCTAGCCAGCCTACTATTCTATACCCGCCCGACCAACCAAGCCAGCCTGACCAATCTAACCAGCTATGCTAACCAGCCTATCATCAGCCTGACCAGCATAAACAATACTAACTCGCTAGAAACGCCAGGCGTCGAGGTAGCCTATAAGGATATGGTAGATTTTTTGGCGCTTATATAACATCCTGAGCGTTCCAATTTCCGACACCCTTAATTCGTCCGATGTTTTCAATTTTGACAATCGGACGGCTAGGAGGACTTGTCCCTATTATCGGCCCCCTTCGTACTTTGGCACGCATAACTTGATGTTCGTGTGGTTTTCAGTGTGGCATGTTATGTACTAAAAGAAAGCTGGTCGAAAGAGCTTTCCAACCATATAAAGGTCTCAGATACAAAAATTCTCAATTTTAAGCTAGATATAAGGTCTTACGTTGTTCCGCGCGGGCGAAGTCGAAAATTCCGGTGTTCCTATTACCGGCCCCCTCGAAGTAGATGTTAAATTGAGACTCGATCGATCGAAACTCGGTCGGACTGGAACTCGGCTGGAGGTTTCGGTCGCTGTTCCGGCCCAGTTCCGGCCCCCCTTGAGCCTATCTCGCGCTAGGCTAAAACAGTAGCGGATGGCGACCAAAGTTGGTATGTAGCCAGGAGGCATCAAGGCCAAACTCTGGCAAAAAACCCAGTTCAATTTGGTTAAGTTTCGTATAAGTTCTGACCTTACAACATAGGGGGGCCGGTAATAGGGCCGGGCCGATAATAGGGACAAGTCCTCCTATAACTTAGGGCCTATTCAGACCAAAATCGGGATGTGGGGTTTCTCAGGCAAATCGCGCACCCGGGGTCTCGAAATTGACATCCGACATCCGGTTTGAGCTATTCAGACCGACCGAGTCTCTGCTGACGTCGGGCACATCCCGGATGTCCAAAATTTGCAAAAATCTGCACCCTGGCCCTTTGGCAGAATGTCGATTGCGAAAAGGGGTTTCGCTGACGCACGGGGGGAACGATGAAGGCGGCAAGTTGCCGATCGAGCGGTCTTTTCACAATTTGTACACGCGGTGTACGCAAATCAGTACATATGAGTGAGGAAAGCTGACGTACAACATCCCACATCCGGAACCCGGGACCCGATGCGGTCTGGATAGGGGTGCGGGGTTATTGAAACCCTGCAGTTTTCGGATTTGACAAACGTCACCAAAACCCCGTTCTGGACACCGAGACCCCGATTTTGGTCTGAATAGGCTATTAGGAGCCATGCAATCGGAGCATCTGGAACCCGATGGTAGGGTCAGGGCAGGTCAGGGGCTTCAGAGGAGAGGAGGAGCCTTTATCAAAGCATGTTTCATGTGCACAGTTTGTTTGCCCCAAATCATTGCTTGAGTCTTGCACCCTAGGAATTCCTACAGACGATGTACAGGAAAGCTCTGTGGAGCTTCAACAGAAAGGGGACCACGTCTGGAGGGAAGGGCGGCAAGACCCACCTTCCTTATCGAAAGGAACTTGGTTCTGCAGGTCGTAGCATTGTCAAAGAAGAGTGCTTGCTTTTTGATGTCGGAGGAACTCTGCCAAACCTCCCAGGATATCCAGGCATGCAGCTGTAGAATGTAACTCAAGAGAGCTGGCTCTCCTGTTGGAAAAATCTTTTTGAGCGGGTTTGCTTTTAGTTGCCGTCATCTTGCAAGAAAATCTGACAGCGTCTCCTTTAGGAATCGCACATTGAAAAATATCGGCCTCGTGAATCTAGTTACATTCGCGAATCTGTACCAGCAGCAGCAAGTTTCCTGTCTTTTTGAATAGCAGCATTTCAGCTCATTCCCTTTGACGTCACATCGCAATACGACATCTCTCAAGGGCTTGTCACAAGGTGGTTCTAAGGATAGGTTTAAAACTGCATCCGCAAAGGGGGGGGCATGACCTTTTGTTGGTTATCTGCCGTAGCGGAGAAGATTCTAAGCTCGACCAGGCTCTTTATCCAGAGTGACCCCTGAAACCAGAGTTGGTCAGACAAAAAAAAACTCCATAACTAGAATGGACACCTATCAGCAACACATCCAGCTGCCCCAGACTGGGCCTGCGTTATTTGCCTGGCCCCCTGGGGAGCCGCAAACGAGACCGGATGCAAAGCGGAAACTAGAGCCGGATGCAAATGAGGTTGTGGAGCGGCTGAATGGCTTCGTACTGTCGCCCAACTCATTGAAGAAGCGCCGGACAGGGGAGGTAAGGCTGACTGTTGCTGACTGTCAGATGTCGCTTTGGGATCTACATTTGAAAGATGTGCCAAGTTTAGGGGTTTTTGCTTTGATTCTGGCGCATGCCCTTATCAGGTTCTCCCTGGAAGCGTCTTTTTAGAGGGTAAACGTGTTGAGATCAAGTGTTTTATGGTGGATGTCTACAGCATTGCTGGAAAGGATGGATGCAGATATATTGACCGGCTGCACTTTCAAACATGTGGTTCAAAATGTCTCGTTGAAAAGCTTGGAATCCTGACATTCATAAAAGATAGGGCAACGCCCACAGGTCATAGAAATCGTCTGGAGAGGGGAATGCAGGTAGGGCATTGATAAGGCAGCGAAGTGATTCGGAGACGGGAGAGATGACTGGAAACGGCATTACAAGTCCCCCAACAAGTGGCTGGTTTGTGGTTTTGCGACGATGAGTCTCTTTGGCTACAGCAGGTTTAAGGGTTGGGGAGCCAAGCTCAGGTTCTTGTCAGGGAATACGTGGGAGCGTCCGCGTGATCTATTACCACATTCAGAAGCACGGCTTCGCTCGTTGTCATAACTCTAATCATGACCTATTTCTGACATTTCTTGCAATGATTCGAGTCTTTGAAAGATGCCGAAACAGACAAACAATCTGACAGGAACATTGGAACGGCTTGCCCTAGCCCCCTCGTCTGGTTAGAGGGCATTCACAGGAGTTCATCCAGAGCTTCTCAGTTGTCAGGCTACAAGCAGGCAAGAACCATGATGAACACAGTGAACTTAAAGCCTGAAGATGTTTCATTGCTGGTCTGTTGGCCTGTCCATCGCAGGATGCCACTGGAACCCCCATTTGGATTTCCCCAGACTGTCAGATCAGCAACCCACTTCGTAGACTTTCTCGTTGTGTTTCCAATGAATATGCCATGTCTAGTGGCAATCAAAACAGGGCTCTCCACATGCCGCACAGCGCTGTGTCCAACCTGCAGCGTTGATGAGTTATCAATGCCGACGTTGATGTGTAATGAAATCCCCCTTTCTTTGACACCGCCCTTACCTGCTTGCCCTGTTTCTACCTTGCAGGCTGTAGATGTGTCGACTGCCCCCACGTTGATAGGTTCCAGCCTGCCCCAACAGGGATTCGATGGGGCGGCGCTGGAGATCGAAGTAGATCCAGGACAGTCAGGAGACGACGTGCAGGTACAGGCTGCCCCGTACTTCCAGGAGTAGAGCATGTCCTTTCGTATACGTTTTTTAAAGATAACTTTGGATGGTTCAGATCGTCTCAGAATTGCTCGAAACATTTTTGAACCTGGCTAAAGAGCTTCCTGTCTGGCTACATCACTTCACTCTGCTGGTCTCGCAAGAGTTGCAAACGACATCTAGTTGATCTTTTTGGTCACGGGATTCGCTATCTGCAAATCTGTCGTTTCTCCTGACGGCCTGTGTTGGATAACATTCCGCATATTCCGAGTACCACCCTAAACTTTCTGTCGCTGTTGGTCCTGTTCGGTGTCAATAAGTAAATGATTCATCTGCGAAAGGCTGGTTGGAAGCGTTTTCAAGAGTCTGCCTGAATTTGGGCATACTGATAGACTGCTTCCATGGACTCTGTATTATATGCAGCAAAGGCCGACATGCCCCTCTTCAGTTAGCTCCTCCTCAGACTTTTGGCTCGGTCTCTGGCGCTTCTGTGTGGCTCCCCGCTTTCAGACCGTAACAAGCGAATCCTGTGAAGTATTAGCACCACTACCCCTGGATTAACACCAATTTTCTTTTTCTGCAGCAACGCCCGTTCATGGTGCAACTCCCATCCTCCAGCTCCCCTGACGGCAGCCCCCCGCGGGGGACACAAAATGCCATCATACCGTATCCAACTGGAAACATCTTTCCAGGTTCGACGGTCTTCCAACCTCCTGCTGCTCCTTTTGGGGGCAATTCTGATCTGATGCAAGGTGAGCCTTATGCGTCGAATCCCGTGCGCCGGTCTTTTGACACGCTGAAGATCGGTTGTGACGTTGTTGGTTTGAGAATGTTGATTTTGATTGCCATTGATATCGTCAATTCTATGTGAGGGAACTGGAGTGCTATGTTACAATTGTGGCAAATTGGCTACTCATTTACTTGCACTGCGATTCTGGTTGAGATGCACACCTGCAGAAAGCAGAGCAATCCACCCATATAGATTGCAATATCATAGTTTAGCCATGTACATACGCCTTCGAAGTTCACGAACAGATGGAGAACGAGGAACGACATTGAACCTGGTATTAGAGGTTGCAAACGGGGGGGTGAGGAGCCTGGGAATAATGTCGTTTGCCCCCGATCACTTGATTACTGTTCCACCAAGGTTCCTCGTTTGGGCTAGCGCGTGTGTCGGAGTCCGTCGGTGCTGCTCGGAAAGGGGATGCGATTTTCTGTGGCCGCCTTGCTTCCGTCCTGGCTCCGCCTTATTTCGTCTTGCTTCCGTCTTGGCTCCGCCTTATTTCGCCTTGCTTCCGTCTTGTTTTTCCACAACAATACGCTTCTGATCGTCAACCTCGGGATCTGCGCAGTCTTCATCTTCCGCGAAGTTGTTTCAAGTACAACCGCTTGTGCACTGCGCCTTTCTATCATCATCGCTGTCCACATACCGTAGCTCTCCATATATCGAAAAAAGGGAGCAGTTAGATCTTCCAACGCTCGAGCTGATCCACTATTCCAACCCCGAGTTGTCACCACGTTCCAGTACTCCGGTCGGGCACCAACGTCTCGCGTTTCGTTGATTTACTGCGAGACAGGTGGTCATTTGCATATTGAATAGGCTGTGAACGGGGGCCTCTGTCAGACCTGAATGAATGTCGACGCCGTGAGCTAGGAGCCGTTCCTCAGGAGCCGGATCATTTGCAAGTTCCTTCGACAGCTGTGTGGCGGCAGTGTCGCTTAAGATCCGTTCGCGGTTGCAAACAGTCTCCCAAAACCAAGTGCACCACGTTAAATCAGCAATAATGAGCGAACTCTTTGAATACGTCATGATTGCTAAACGCACTGCCACACCTTTGCAGCTCTGGACTTGAAAGGCCGTGGCGGCGCTGAGGCTTCGGCAGCACTTGACATCCCCCGGCGGCTCGTCCGCAACAACTCGTGCTCCTCCCTCCCCCGGTCGCTTTTCTTCAACTTTTCGGGGGGGGAGTCGACCGCGACTGAGATGGAGGAAGACTCAGACGACGACCCCAATAGTAAGGCGGTAATACCCTGGGCGCCCCCCCCGTTTGTGTTGCAGGGGGTTCTGGGGGCATCGAGATCAAGGCCGGACCAGCCAAAAGAGGAGGAGATGGAGGATGTCGGGGGGGTGTCATAGGGTCTTGTGTGGAGTGGGTTTTCTGCATTGCTTGTGTATGAGAGCGTTTGTAAAGTGTCTTGTATCAAAAAGAGGTTGACAACGAACAGATGTGCGGAGACTGTTGAAGTAACAGGGGTCCGTTGCAGTCCTTCGTAACACCAGTGTAAAAGCAGACACACTAATCTATAAAATGATCTATGGAGGGGTAGGATTTATGCCCAAACCCCTCTGAGTTGGGGGTCGAAACACGATCCCGAGGATGATCGAACGCTAGTTTTCGTAGCTCATTGTACCGGAGGCATTCTGTGGATGAGGCCACGGTGTCCCAACTTTCCAGTGCAGATTGAAAATTGCGTCTTCGCTGACTTCGAACCCGAAGCTTCCTGCCACGGTGCTTCATTCTTAACCTTTATCCCGCAAAACAAACGCCCAAGTCTGATAAGCTGGCATGGCAAGTGCACACTTCAAGGTATGCTGCAACATGCGGATAGCTGCAGTTAAGCATTTTTCAATTACCTATTTACTTCCGATCTGCATTATGTGTAAATGTAAAGGGAGCAAGTGTGCTGCGCTTTTTGCACTATGAGCTACTGGCATGCTAGTAGGTACGCCATCATGAAAACCAAGTTGTACGTATACAATGTTGTCGCATCACAGCTCCAATTCTACTGCATGCCCCTGCATATTGCAAGGATCATGATGAGGCATGTAGCACACGGCGCTCGAATTTGGACCCGGCGTCACCACATGGCGGCTCATGCGGTTGGACTGTATATGGACGCACGCGCTCTGCACGGAGCTAGATGTCGATACACCTGTTTGCATGTGACTCGAGTTCTGCATCTAAAACTTATATGCCATGGTATGCATGATGATGGTCATGATCGCAACTAATTCTCAAAAAAGTATTCACGCCTGGAAGTCAGGAATCTGAATTCAGATTCCTGTTTCATTCAAACAGTTAACTGTTTGAATGAAACATTGCACGAGTTGGTGCAAATTAGAGCTTGCTTGGACGGTTTGCATGGTCACCTTGTGAACAGAAAGGCATCTCATCACTACAGTACAGCTGGAGGCGCGTTAAGAAGCACAGAATTGGAATGGTGACTTACAGAGTGGTGACTATGGACATGTTAGAATAGAGAGGGCCAGACAGAGGCAAAGCTAATAACGTTAAAACAGTGGCCAGTCAAAAACAAGCAGCTTTGTGGCTCAACGCCCAATATTTTCATGTTGTGATGGCCAAAAAGCTTCTCATGGCACACACACATAAACTGTGATGTTGCTTCATGAATCAGATAGAAATGTGACACAGCCTTGCGGAAACAAGAGATTCACCTGAAGTGCTTCTGTCAAGAGTCTGACGCAGAGTGCTTCTGTCTACACTCCATGAACAGGACCTTTCTACCAAGGCTTACAAAATGCGTGTTTACACCTTTGAGTCCAGACATGCTTACACACTACCTGCTGGCTAAGTTATGCTGCATGTTTCAATGTTTTGGGCAATGTGCCTTGATCAATATCACATATGATTAATAACAGGATGGATGCAACCTGTCATGCTCCTGGAGCAAACTTTCAAGAAGTTACAGTATTTTTCAGTGATGGCAGCGCACTGCCAGGGCAGATGCTAAAAGGTTATGCCAAGAATCCGAGCTTCTCCCCATTCTTCTTGGCTAATCTGATAAGCCCTTGCCGTTGCTTCGCATCCGCACCAATGGTTTTGCAGAACTCAGTGATGACCTGCACAGGGCGAAACAAAACATCTTCAGTTTGCTGCAAGCTGGATACAACCCGATGAAACACACGGTGTATTTGAGAACAAACCGACACAGTGAAAGCTGAAGTTTCTGATAATGAGGTTTATCCGCAAGGTTCATCCGTAGATATCACAAGCTAAGTTTGTGTTGAACCATACAGTCACTAACCTACTCGGAGCTGAAACTCTGTTCCTTGCACCCACTTCAATTGAGTGGTATGCTCTAAGCTCTGGGCTGTGCAACTCTACTTCAAATTGGCAATGAGACTGCCTGTCCTTTGCAATGCATTGCAAGAGCGATGCCCAAGAGCTGAAAAGCAAAGCTTGATTTTGATGTTCATATGTCGTCAGGGAAGCCTGTCCTATGCTTCCCTGCCTGGGTGTTACTTCACTCTTACCACTTCTGATGCTGTTTCGAACCAATGTGAAGCAGCTTTGTATCCAAAAAGCAAATACCGTCAAGTCATTTGGTGGAACAGCAGATGCCACTGGGTCTGGATCTAACCCGTGCCCAGATCTCAAACTAAGGTCTCACTTCCGCAGTCACAACCAGTCTTGACAACTTTACTGTGAGCCTCACCTGTGAGTGCAGCGCAATGCCCTTCCCCCTCAACTGGTTGAATTCCTTCACACCCACAACATTCCTGGTCACCTTTACGATGGGAGCAAAAATACCCTTCCCTTCGTTCTTGTTTCCCATTGTGATCTCTCTCTTGTTACCACTGCGGCTTTGCACCACAGGGCTCATGCTGCTGACACCATTCCCCCTGAAGGAGCTCTCCCATGCTCCTGAAACCGCCTGCGTCTGCCGTAGAAGTGCAGGGCGAGGACTGCACGAGGCCTGCGTGTTTGAGTCCATCCGGCCTGAGTTTCCCATGGATGCCTGCACCCCAAAGAGGCACCGGCCAGACGTAGAAGCAGCGCTCGAAGCCATTTACAGATCTAAACCAAGACCGATAGATCTCTTCAGGCTAAATGAAGACAGAAGGGCAGAGCAAGAAGACAAGGCGCGGGTCGCTTCCCAGTGTCAGGCGCAGTGTGCTTGCAGGTTTCTGGGATCTAGCAGCGCAATAAGATACTAGGCTTGTCTTTCTGTTGTCGGATTTCAGAGTCGGTAAAAGTGAGTCAGAACCTGAGAGTCGAAAGTGTGTTGTGGTCACGTAGCTTCTGAACTGATCTCTCTTCACAAAAGCGCAACTGGCTTTCTCTCTATGTATTCAACAGTATTGTTCGACCTTGCAAGGTGGGTGGTCGTGAAGCACTCAGAGAAAGCAAGGAAGCCATCATGGCCGCGACCAAGAACCGTTGGCTTGCTCTGCTTCTACGTGGCCTGCTTGCGAGCGCACCAAGATCTCCTCCCGAAGAACCTGGAGATACTCTAACCGATGACTGGCTAGCAAGACCGGAGCCGCGGCTGACGTGGCAACCTTCTAGACGTCTGTCGACGTGCCATGCTCGTAAACCTCGAAGTAGGATCGGACGGTGAGCCTCCGCCCAGATTTGGGTTAAGGTTAACTTATGCGGTCTCTATTTGACCGCCTGGGTTAAGTCGCTGCTTCGCTGCAGAATCTCCAGATCTTCGTTCAGATTTCCTATGGCGCCCCTTCACTTGCTGACCAGATCAGGCAGAGGGATGGTGCTTCTCTGATTGCCTCTTGTGCCTCCCGAAGTCCCTTTCTCTTCGTCTTCAAGGCAGTTGTAATCTCTAGGTGCTGAATAAGTTCACTTCGTCAGCTGCTTTTCTTAGGCCTGTCGCTGTGTGTCTGAGGCGGTTTGACAAGGTTTTCAACATTTATATGGCAGTTTAGCTTGCTTATCTAAGCTTAGAGGATTCTTGTCCATTCTCGAAGAAAGATCACCATTTCGCTTCTGCACGTGACCTTCAAAGGGGAATATAGAGAGGCCACATTTGGTTCCAATTTCTGATCTCATGGCATTGCACGAGGTGGCGGCCAAGTCCTCAAGACAAAGTGCTGTCGCTTTGACAACTTCAAGGGGGTTAGGAAGTGAAAAGCAAGGCTTAGAGGTCCGTGGCTCCTTCCTGAAAGTACCTTCCGGTGCTCCAGACTTTGATGTTGTTGATCGAGCTCGGAGAAGCAGTACGTCAGCATGGCAAGACCATGCAAGAACGAGTCGCATAGAGTCAAGTTTTGGTCCCAGCACCTCGGGCCATCACTCCTCTGAAGTACGACCTCCAGAATCAGAGCTATTCTTGCATAGAAGCCGTATCTTAAAGGACCACCTCCCATCTGAAAGGATCAGGATGTTGCAAGGTGGAAGCAGTCTTGTTTCTACAACTAGAAGCAGGAATATTAGCAGGAGACAAAACCACAGAATGCGTAGAGTTCTATTAGCAGCCATGAGTCTCGACGCCGGGGGTGTCAGCTGGCAAGCCGTTGAACGAGGCAACTTGAATGAAGGTGGCGAAGGTGATGTCAGCGAGCCGCTGTCGTGCCTGTTCATTGGGCCCATTGAGGAGGCAGACAGAGTGCATCTTGAGGCGCTGTATATGCAGGTAAGTCGTGCTGGGAAGCTCTGACCGGGTTCGTGAGCTTTGTGGCGAAATCGATCCTCCTCCACTTTGACAACCACAGAAAATTGCTGACTTTTTGACCTGCACTTTCTGGTTGACTTCCTCAGACGTATGTCTCTTGCGACGTTTGGCCTCACCGTCTACAGTAAGGGTTGCCCCTAGTAATGTGGTTTTGTTTCAAGTCCTTGTCAGGACATTGTTGCTGAATTAAGCCTTGCTTGGCTGTTCTATTTGAAGCTAGTAGCGTTATCCAGCCTCCGTTCAATGCTGATAGTTGTTGTTTGCTTTGACACTGATTCGACGCACTTTGACATCACCATGTTGTTACAAGCGCCATCGCATGAGGGTCAAGCAAAATGTCAAAGTTTCTGAAGTCGACCGCAGATTTGCGAGGCAGGACCTTCTTTCCAAGGGAAGAGTTGTTACTGTTCACTAGGTGAACACTGAGTCGCAATTTGGATGCTCAGACACTCAGCGTGTTGCGAGTCATCGTTAAACACCCTGTCGCGACTTCTTAAATGAAGCTCTTGTGGTCAACTACGTTGCACAAGGTGTTGTTTTGTGAGGGCTGGAAGTGTGAAAGTTGCCGGGTAACATGGAGAAGGAATAAAGAGGTGCCTAGGACTTCTGAGCTCCAGGGTCAGCGGCTGCCGTTTTTGGCAACTTATATGTGTAGCACAGGCAAGACTGTTTCAGGAAAAGAATGTTCATCGTTTGTGCATTCAATTTTGCTGCCTTGCTACGGAAATGGTTCACTGGATGCGGGTGGGACGACTCAGAGAGGAGGATTTGCATTTTTGCTAGTCACTTCCTTCTTGGTGGAGATACCAGGCAACACCCCACAGGCCAATGATTCACCAACTTTAAGCAATTTGTGTGGGAACGACTTTCATAGGCACCTGACCGCACTTTTCTTGTTACTCATTCCAAAGGCTTTTCTTGTTACTCATTCCAAAGGCATCTGCTGATAAGGCCCTTGCCGTTGATGCTTCAGCAGACTCCGTGCTCACTGCTCATCATGGCCTGACATATTATGGAAATCCTAGGCTACGTATAATAGCAGCCCTTGGTTTGTTCCGACGTTCATGGTGGATGCATCCAAACGAGATTCGTGTAGTACGTCTGATTTGGTTCTCAAAGCGTCGATCCTAAACAGGACACATTCCAAGGAGAAGCCAAGCCCAACTGCAGAAGAATGAGCCGAAAAACAAGTGAGGGTTTTGAGCTTTCTTCTGAAACCTTTTGCAGGCACGTGACTCATACTACAGCGGGCGGCCCCTGATACTGGACGAAATGTTTGACAAGGTGGAGACTCGGTTGCGCAACTTGCGCTCCAAGATGGTGCTCAAGTATCCCCGCTGCAGCCTCAAAAAGTTTGCCGCGTACTCCGATGCAGAGGTACTCAATTCTGTTTTTACATTGGTTGTTCTTATGTGCACGTCTGTTGAGGCGTGCCTTACGTTGAGTGAACGAATGAATATAAGCAAGGAATCAGGTCTGATGGAAGTTGCAGTACGGTGCATAAAGCGTGACACGAATGTCAGGCTCTAGAACTCTTTCTGGTCACCAGATATCAGTCTGGGTCTTCAGCCTCAGCGCCTACTGGTGAAGTTCTGTCACGCAGTCCCTTCCTGCCACCCCTCTGTAATTGTCAAGCACCCAAGATCAAGGAGTCTTTCGCTGAATCCACTAATATGGGTCGTTTTGTTAATCTCTTTATTTCGAGTCTTTGGATTGCACATCCGGCTCACTGCGTCGCTAAGCTGGCAGGCTGATTAGGCAGGAAGGATCATGGTTGACAGCATACCTGATTGTACGGATCGGTGCCTTGGTATGTCAAACGGTTGGGAGATGGACCCGAACTTGCGAGAGTCGAGCTTTGGTGTTTCCTTTCTAGCTCAGGTCGCAGTTGCCTCTCCATAGAACGTCATCTGTAATATGTATCCAAGCATCACGTTCAACTCCTCGCAAAATCGTATGATTGATCCCTGGTTCTACGGAATTTTAAAACACCTGCAAAAAAGATTACCTCTGGCTTTGCTGACGAAGGGTCTACGACCTTTGCTAACTTTCGCCAACGGGTTTTATACGAACGCCCTTGCAGGAAGACACTTCCCAGATGTCAACGCTTATGGCCGTCTGGGGCGCCCTGGGCCTTGCTGGAGCGTTTGCCGCAGTCGTCCCCCCTCTTTGCACTGCCACGAGTGTGTGCGACCGGCTGGTGAACGAGGCCCTGGAGCCGTGGTGGGCCGCTCAGAGTAGCCCCCTCGCAAACTTCCTGCTCGCCCTGGGCTTGCTAGGGGGGGTCCCTCTGGCGTCCGCAGCGGGTGCGTATCGATCTCGATTTCTTGCACAACCTCTGCTCATATTTGCAAACTGGCTTCTCTGTCCTCTTGCTGGTTGCCCAACCTCCGCTGCATACTTCTAAGTTTCCCGTTCCGTTCTTTCACTTCGGTGTTACCGAAGAAGACTTGCCGCTGGTTCACCTGCTCTTGAGATCCAAAAGGGCGACGGATCTCAGGAGCAGCAGCGCGGGATTGCAAGCCTCCAGTGGGGATTTCCGAGAGCTCGCAATGCTTCGAAAGTGCAATAAATTGGGCTTTCAGAGTCTCGATGCAGTAAACTTCCTTTTCACGCCGCCTTACACTTGGCTCCGCGTATTTGCAGTGCAACAAGTCAAGTCGCTACTGCGTGGGGAGGTGGTCGCCCTTAAAGGTTGCTGCCCAAACTGCGGGGAAGAGGTGTATGCGTTCCTAGACGCCAAGGAACACAAGCCGCGGCACAAAAGCGAATGCCACGTATGCGAGCACCCGCTCGTTTTCCACGCAACTGTTGAGGTAGGTTCGACTTCGTTTGATTATTTCGATTCAATTACCGGTCAGAATTTTCAGATTGTCGCAGTTACGTCTTCCAGGGTTTCTTTGTTGAACAAACCCGTGCGTCGTGTCGGAATTGCATGCGCCTTCTTAAAGAAGTGATTGAGCTCTTCAAAGGTTTTCGGGCCCGACCGCCACTCTCTTCAAGTTGTCAGTGCGAGGGCCGTCTTCGCTGTTCTTTGCTCTTCTTCAGCTGTATCTGATTGCTCAACCCGCTCTGATGTAGGACAGAATTGATGGCGTGGGTCTTGAGTCTGAGATATGTTTCTTTTCTTGAAGGAAGGTAAAAGCACTGCTTTTTGCTCGTTCACTGCAGTTTTCGCTAGCAGCAGCAGCTGTTCTGATAGGTTCCATTCTGGTTGCAGACGTCAAAGAAGGATGGCAAGCAGTGGGCGTACGGACGAGTGTACCTTGTCACGCGATCTAAAGACTTGGAGCCGCAGAAGAAAGACCGAAGCCTTAGGTAACATTCGCTATGATGAATTGTCATTCCGCTCATGATGCAGCACATCTGGTATTGAAAGTCCCGTCGAGTGGCCGACTCTTCTTGAGAAGCCACATTGGGTCGTGCGCTCGAGATTGGCGGATGCACTATTTTTAAGGAGTCCCCCCAAGTCGCTCTCCGATACGGTCGCCCTTTTAATATGGGAGGCGGCTTAGAGAGAAAGAGTCTTAGCTTCCACAGTTGCTTCATGGTTCGTATTCCTCATCAAATTGGTATTCAGCGCATGTTATCATTGTGTCAAGTCTAGTTTTAAATCGAACATGATTTGTCAAAGAAGTACGGAGCATCGAAAGTCCAGTTGATTGCTAATGCACCGCACCTAGCTATACCGTGACCCTTTGCAAGCGTTACTGGCCATTGCTGCGCACGCCTGGAGATTGGGTCTCGGACTTCTAGGCTCTGCCGAGGAATGCAATCTGCTTACAACAGATGCGTTTTTTTTTTTGAATGTGCAACTTCTGGTGGAAGTTGCGCACACCAGAAGTTGCGCACCATTGAAAACATGATGCTGCAAGCTTGGAGTAAGTCCACATCACGCAGGGTTCTGAAAATATGAGTGTAATCATCCCCCAGCCACCGAGCTGTGTCAAAAAGTATCAATGCGAATTTTTTAACGGTATCTGGCAGTCCCCAAATACGATCATTTGCGTGCATTTAGGACTCAAAAAGATTAAAGTCGACGGTTCTTGAAGCATGAGAACCATACGTAATGTGAATGCTTGAACTTGTAGCCCACTCTGCAGAGACTCAGAACTCTCACACAAAATGTATCTAGTGGGTTGTTGGCCATGCTCAATGCTTGCTTCCGTTGCCCATGTCGATTCAACTGCCTCGTCAATCTCGCCAAATCAGTGTCACTGAACACATTCTAGAATGGTATGAAAGTGCTAGTGTCCGACATTCATTATCCGGCTTCAATCGAGTTTTTAACAATCTCGATTGACAGCCTTGAATACGATCGCCAGTTTGCAAGACATACATAACTGGTCGGCCAATGTATCATTTATAAGAGCAGCGCTGATTGTATAAGATTGTACCATCCATGGCCCGGCCACATACAATCCGGTGACTATGGGCCGCTGAACCACTGGTCACTAGCCTAGTAGACTAGGCTAGCTTGGGTCAGTGGTCGAATTCCGGCCGGGTTTTGACTCCGGCCAAGTCTCCTCTACGGTAATAGGCTATTTACTGAACTTCTCAGCTATCGATGTTACTAGAATATTGCCCTGTTTCTACATAAATTCGCGTTTATCGTCGAAACCGCCGGATTCGATGCCGCGCGCTCAGGCGATTTTGCATTTAGGGACAGAATCTTGTGACGGTTCGAACTTCGTACCTCACGTCAGTTGTATCGAACTGAATCTGCAGCCATTTGAAGAGGGCGTCGAAGATGACTACTCGGAACGTCTGCGTAGGGCGATCTCTTTATTGAAAACCCACGCAATAGGTCGCCGCACATATCAAACCGAGGCGCAAGGCGGAAGTAGAATCGAGATTCTGGGATTGACCGTACAGTTCACGACTCGACTTGCAAATATGCGTTACAGAGTCAACCACACTAGCTGAATTGACCGGGTTCTTCTCCCCGGGGTATTATGTGGGGCTAACCGACCACTACTTTCTGTTCGAAACCCCAATTGCTT